TACTACTACTACTACTACTACTACTACTACTACTACTACTACTACTACTACTACTACTACTACTACTACTACTACTACTACTACTGCTGCTGCTGCTGCTGCTGCTGCTGCTGCTGGTGCTGCTGGTGCTGGTGTTGGTACTGCTGGTGCTGGTGTTGGTGCTGCTGGTGCTGGTGTTGGTGCTGCTGGTGCTGGTGTTGGTGCTGCTGCTGCTGCTCAGGTACCTATCTTAATTTGACAAAACTTAGTGCTCGGAGTGTACGAATTGGTGCCTGTGCCTGCCTACTAAATACAGTATACATACAGTACGCGGGGCGTCATGGTTCTGGATCCAGATCCAAGCAGCTGCACTCACTCGGGGTGACGATCACTGAACTGTTACTGCCAGCGCTACAGATACAGTTGCAAGTACAGTTACAGTGACGTAGGCCGGTCTGGCGCTGCCTCCAGCAGCCATTGTCGCTCTACTGCAGTGTCTGGTGTGCCAAACAGTACGGAGTACTCTGCTCAGTAGCCTGAGTAGTTGGAGGGAAGCAAAAGCCATGCACATGCACATGCGCTCGGCACTGACTGACTGTATTCTACGTAGAGAAGGTAACAGCACAGCAGAGCACAGCACAGCATAGCACATCACCAGCACAGCACAACACATCTACAAAAGTAAAAGCAACCGTGGGGATCCATACTAACTATAGCTAGGTCTTTGTACCAGAGTCTATCATTCATGTCTCGACTCTGCTGCTTCTTTCTGTCATGTCTGACCTCTACTGCTTCTCTCTGTAAGTAGAAGCATTCCAGCACAGCACAACAGGGCAAGCCAGGGCAATGAACAGGCAGCACTTATCTCGGAGCACCAAGTTCAAGTTCAAGCTCGACCCCCAGTTCGATGAAGAGACCGACGCGTCGCGACGCGATTCGCCACCACATGCCGCGTAGACTTGAGACATCGGACACGGTAAGTAGACTTTGGGAACCTTGACGGATGAACTGGGGAGCTTGACGGGGTAGACTTGAGACCTTGATCCAATAAACAATAAACACCGGCATCCTTGAGGCCTTGATCAAATAAACACCGGCATCCTTGACCGAGTAAACTCGACAATGATCGGCTCACAATCGCAAGCGTTTGTTTGGTACGGAATGGAAAATGGGCCACCGGCTCGACTTGTACCAAAGAACGGTCGGCAAGACACACGCCACAGGCCGCAGAAAGGCAGACAACCAGCAAGGAAGGCCGAATCAGTCGCCGATCTGGTCCACCGGGATCTCCGAGCCTTTCAATGCTGGTGTCTGTGTGGCTCAGGTTTTCTTTGAAGGCCGTGACCGTGGCCGCTGAGGTATAAGGACCTCGCGAGTGCGAAATCAATCTTCCTCTCTGTTCGAATCCAACCCAATCTGCAGTGCTATTCCTCTCTCTGCATCGCTCTTTCTCTCTCTGCCTCGCTCTTTCTCGTCGAATCTTGACTGACAGACTGGGCAACAAACACATCAACAGACAACAGCCAACAGACAACATCCCACACACCACACACCACACTCAAGTCGACTTTGCTAGTCGAAGACCAAACGTCAGCTCAACTCAGCTCAGCCCAGCATGGATCTTCTCAACTCAAGTCTTTCAGCAATGCCTTCAGCAATGCCTTCATCGTCCGCCTTGCTTGACACGGCTCCCGTCCACACTGCCATCCACTCTACCTCCCATGATCATAACACCCGAAGCAACACCCGAAACAAACCCACCAAAAGCATCAATATCACCAGCAACAACGCAACCGCCAAAAAAACCCCGTCAGAAACAAAAAGACCCGAAACAAGACCAAGCACAACATCGTCAGCAGCATCGACCACAACTCCAACGTGGAGAGGCGAATCCATGACCACATCTACCAACGTACAAATCCACTCACTGCACAAGAGGCGAGGCAGGAACTGGCAGCAATCATGGCGGCATCTCCAATGCCGGCGGCACTCACGACATCCGAAGAATCTCCCTCGGACGAGCCATTCTCGCCCCAACAACCAGATATACCCACGTCTAACGTGAGACAGATCTTCGAGGAGCCCAACAGCCGGCCGCCGACTCCTGAGAATAGCTTCCCGGAGAGAGAACCGGCCGAGCGTGCGCAGGAGGGCCTGGCGCTCCTCCAGGCCATCGGGCTCGGCGGAAAGCCCAAGCCGGCTTTTTTCGCCAGCCGGTCCCACCAAGGCGATTTCAAGTTGCCGTATCCTCTTGACAACGAGGCCTTCACTACTAAATATGTCAGGCCACTGTTTGAGACTGGGGGAAGCCTCCGAGTCCAAGAAGCAGAAATCCTGGCTGCCACCGTGATCAAGCAGGTCGACATCATCGATAGCGAGTGGTGCCACATCGCCGACTGGGCCGATCGCCAAGAAAAGGGTACCATCTTCAAACCTTCCGAGAGAGTCAATGATGTGCCCGTAGAGGGGTGGGATTTGCGCGAAGGCCCGGCGCCGCGGCCGGCAATCCCACTCCAAAGAAACAGCAAAAAGACAAACGCCCCCAAACGTGGGCGTGTGCGGGCGCGCAGACCCGGCCCTAAAAAGTTGAAGAGTACGTTAGGCAGCTTCCGCATGGCCCGAAGCGTGAACAATGTGCTCGAGATGGCGTACTCTGTTGGAGTCAAGACGACGCTCGGGAAGATGGATGACCGGAAGAACGAGTGCACCCACCTTCGCTATCGCCGCGCGCTGGCGTTGGCGAGGGCGGACAAATGGTTGTTGGAGGAGACAGAGGCCAGTAATATGCTGGCAACCCTACCGGCGTGCTCCGAGAAGGCATCGGATCATCTTGGAATTACCGACGAATAAAGATCCCCGCCAAAGGGTTGTCGAGGCTGGCTTTCTTGCCTGGATATGATATTGTTTGGAGCCATGGTGGGATTGCATTCAAGAGAAAAGGATGTTAGCTAGGCCAATTTGATTGTCTCGGAATGAATGTTGGAGAACTGGTTTCTTGAATTCTTTTATAAACGGACGTGCGACTTCTTGTTACAGGACCAGCTATGCAAAAGGCCGTGCTAGGACACAGGTCAGCACAGCTCCCTTGGTTCCATGATGCAAGCCTTAGTAGTGCCTTAATATCCATACCGCCCCAATAGAACTGACCTGTTGCCTCTCAACAGGTCCAAATTCCAACTTCACCGTCTCTTCGTCCCTCGATAAGATACCCATCTTTCAGTCGGACTTTCTCGACAGTGCTAGTCTTCGCACCTGCCATTCGGTCTTCGACGGATGTTGTCACCCCTGTTCCACAGTCCCAGTGTCTGCCGTCGGTCTTATCGTACACCTTCACAACGTCTTCGCCGGCAGCACAGACAATGTGTCGAGCATCAAACATCATGCTCGTAATCGGCGCATCGTAGGCATAAGCATCGAAAATGGTGCCCATTCGGAGGTCCCAGATCTGTTTCACAGTTAGCAAACGGAACCACTGGTGGCCGTGGTCCTCTTCTTACTCTAATGCTCCGGTCAAGGCTGCCCGTGACCAGATGGATATCGTCGAATTGTAAGCATGTCACTGGCCCTGTGTGTCCTACAAGACTCCGGTGAACCTGTCCACTCCTCAAATCCCACAACCGGACCATCCCATCGGCGGTTCCGCAAGCAAGCGCAGCATCAAAGCACTGCAGAGCACCGACAAAATCGGCCGTTGCATCGGCCGCACGGCCAGTCGGCCGCCATTGTGGCTCAGTGCTGCTCATCGTCGAACTAGCCTGGGCAGCTGCCCACAGCACATCCAATGTCTGCACGCATCGTCCCTTCACCAAATCCCATTGACGAATGGTTTTATCTGCAGAGCCTGACACAAGTGTGTCGCCACGGAGATGCAGTGCCGTAACCTCATCGACATGGGCTTCAAGAACAAAGAGGGGACAATCCCCCATGGCATCCGGCGGCGGTGGGGGGGGCGCGTCCTCATGTTCATTTCCAAATCCAAGTCCGTCATCCTCCTCGTCCTTATCTTCGTCACCATTCTCGACGATCCTGTGTTCGTAGGGTTCGTACTTGGCACGGCTAAGATCCCAGAGTCTGATTGTGGCATCCATACCACCTGTGGCTACGATGTTGTCTTCAACCTGGAGGCACTTGACAGAAGCAGTATGGCCCTCCAAAAAGCCCATGCAGCGACCCAGATTCAGATCCCAAACACGTACTGTGTCGTCGAGGGCTGCGCTGACCATCGTGCCAAAAGGTTGGTCGAAGTCTAATGCCGATATTGTATCGTTATGGGCAGGGATGGTCCTTATGTGAGACCCAGACTCGAGATGCTCATGCAGGACCGGCATAGATTTCCTCTTCGCATATGTTGGCCGTCTCTTAGACTTTGGTGATGAAGACGAGGGAAGCTTGTCGTAGAGAGACTGTGACATGAACGAGGCGTCCATCGACTCTGAGTCGGGAGTCACTGCTCGCGGAGGGTTGAGACTGCTCGTGGATTGGTCCAGTGTGCTCTGCTCGTCAAGAGCTTCTTGCATTTCCTCAATTTTGTTGTCCAGCTCGAGCAATTCATGCTCGACCTCCGCCTCGTCGGTCTCGAGAGTGGCAAGTCGATCAAGCACGGTCCGACGCACATTTTGCAGATTGGCGATTTTATGGTCTATATCCCGAATTTCAGTCGTGGACATGTTCTTCCTCACAGCCAACATTTCTAGTTTGTGGTTTACTGCATTGCGCTTCTTCTTGAGGCGTTGAATTGTTGGGGGACCATCTTCTTCCACGTCCCCGGCACCTAACAGCTTGTGCTGTTTGGAGCTCCGTCGGCGGTGTCCCTTGCGATGTTCGCTCTCCCCTTCAGGGATAGAGGCCTGGAAACCTTGGAATAGGGAGTAGGTATTATCGTCCTCGGGTATGTTTTGCAGTTGATCGTCGGGAATATACGTAAGGGCTCGATGTGCGATTTCGCTGGTGGAGAGCTTTGCTCTCACCAATTCCGAAGGAGCTTGTTGCGAGAAGGAAAAAACAGCTCGCTGTACTACAGGGCGCCGCATCTGGCGGGAGATGTTGCTCATAGCCGTCGGGTAGTGCGTAGAAGTAGTGTCGCCCATGAGATGGGTTGCTGTTGCCGTCACCTTGCGACCGAATGCTTCCAACTGGCGGGTCTATCATGGAGGTCAGTAAGCTCATTGAAGAGGGACGATGTCGCGCCTACATCCAAGACCGCACCGAGGACAGAGTCGTCCCCATCCCCCTGCGGTCTTCGTGTTTGCGAGGCATTCCGGCTGTGGGAGCGCGAGCTGGCCATATAACCCTGCTGCTTTCTACACTCTTGAGTGTCTTCGGCGCGAGTTCGGATCGTCCAGTGGAGGTGTCGACGAGTCACTGGGTCCAACAGGACTGATGTTTGATGACAAGGTTGCAGGTGAAGGCTCCCACAGGTCAAGCTTACTGAAAATGTGGAGGGTTCAGTTGGGTGGAAGTAGATCTGGGTTGCAGACGCGGTCCCGACGCCGCATCCTTCTGACGTACTGTGGACGACTCAGATCTCTACCGCGATTATTTGCAGCCCACTCAAGTCCAACACTCCATACTTTTTCGTGCTGTCCCCAACATCTTCACTTTTCTTACTGGCTGCTGACATGATATCTACCTTGGATATATAGGTGGTGCCATGGCCTGGAACCCATTTTCTACTTCCTCCCCCATTTGTTGACCTATCACAGAGACATCTTCATATATGACCAGAACGCGACCACCGCAGGAGCAAGATAGGTTGAGCCAATCGGACATGGATACCGCCATTGACCTCTCCGATGCCTCAAAGGCCTTGGATCTAGATAATATCCGTTTTCAACTGATGTATAGCACCCCAGCAATCGCCATGTGCACATAGAAACTGACTCCTACCCAGTCGACTCGAAGACACAATCATCTTCCACCTAATCGAACGAGTACAGTTCCCATTGAACGCTTCCATTTACGACCCTATCGCTCTGCCGGTGCCTACGAGTAACCTCGCACTCCCTCCCAACATCTCCCTGGCTGATTACCTCCTCTCTGAAACCGAGCGCCTGCATTCCACTGTGCGCCGATATGATGCCCCGGACGAATACCCTTTCTTCCCGCAAGTCCTACAGCGACCCATGCTTCAGCCGATAAAGTACCCAAAACTTTTGCACGACAATGATGTCAATGTGAACGACATCATCAAGGAGAAATACATCAAAGAGGTATTGCCTGAAGCCTGTCGTAAGTTTGGGCGTGAGGATCGGGGCGAGACTAAGGAGAACTACGGAAGCGCTGCAACTTCTGACGTGGCCTGTTTGCAGGCCTTGAGCAGGCGGATTCATTTCGGAAAGTTTGTGGCTGAAAGCAAATTTCGAGCGGAAACCGAAAGATTCGTGAAGCTCATCAAGGCTGAGGATCGGGCGGGAATCGATGCCGCCATCACCAATGCAAAGGTCGAGCAACTGGTCCTTGAGAGGCTGCGACTGAAGGCCAGAACGTACGGCAAAGACCCTTCGGTTGGCAGCACCAATACTGCTGGTGGAGAAGAGAAGCTCGATGTGGAGGCGGTCGTGAAGATGTATGCCCAGGTAGTCATTCCCTTAACCAAGGTGGTCGAGGTAGAATATTTGATGCAGAGGCTGAAGGGCACTCAATGGGAATGATCTGCTGGATTGATCACGCCTGGGGCTTCAGATACTCTGCAACGTTTTGGACTGCGGCCTTGAATTGATCGGCTGAAATCAGGATGGCGTGCCCTTGTGGCTTGATCCCAAGCTCTTGAAAGACTCGTTTCGAATCTGAATGCCCTTCATCTTGCTTTATCGAATAGTCGAATCCGCCGTGGCAGATAGCGTGCCTTTGCAGCACTTCGTCTTCTGGATGGAAGTACATTGTCTCAAACGAACTGCCGACAGCTTTGTTCTTCTTTTTGGGCCGACTGTCTTCAGCATCCAGCTTTGAAGCAACTTCGGTGTAAGTTTTGGAGAGTATGAGGTAGTGTGAGAAGTTGTATGGTTCTTTGTCTTGTAGTGCCCAATCAATCTCTTCCAGTAGCATCGTGTACATTGGTGGCACAATTTCCGACGGAACATTAATCAGACGCTCTGTCAGGACCAACCCGATCGCAGGTATCGTGGACTGTGATAGCAGTTCGGCGAGAGGAGCAAGTCCGGGGTTCGATCTAGCTTTCGACTGGATGTATTGGATTACTTTACCCATGAAGGGCTTATCCTGTGAAGCCGTCAGTACAGTTCCGTGTAAGATCTTTGCCCTGGGCGTACCTTATGCTCCTGTAGATTGACTACGGACAAGAATGCATATGGATCCGTTTGGTTTCCATCGACTTTAACAGTAGACCCCAGCGTCGGTTGGGACAAAATCAGGTCGGTCAGTGCCGATAACTCGAACAGCTGAGCATCGACATCAAACAGCTGCTGCAGGAGCGCTTTTATTCCGTGGTAGTCAATCTCTGGTTGAGGATCAAACCACTCGAAATCAACATTGAGCACATCGAAGTCCTATATTAGAGTCAGTGGACAAACTGCGGTAAGATTCCACGCGTCGAACTGACCTCGTCCTCGCCACTCTCGTCGTCGGTATTGGGGTTCTTGTTGATAACGCTCTCGCCGGCATCCTGCTTTCGTTTGCTCATCTTGAGTCTGCGAATTGGTGGTTCCTTTTCCGCGATGTTGACGGAGGATGGATATATTTGTAAAGATGTCAATTCGTCCCGAAGCTTTTTTTGCGGGGGGCATTTCCTCTCCGCTCCGCAAAAATTAATTCTCGTGCCCCTCGTTGCGCAGTCGCGAGATAATATTTTCCATTCTCACGTGCATCTTTCCGTACAATCTCTTCGGGACCACTGCTCTCGAAAACACGGTCGCGATGGCTGTCAATGGCGAGGTCGAAGGGGCTTCGGTCAATGTACCGGCCGAAACATTTGACACGATCCTGGTCCTCGACTTTGGGTAGGCAGAACTCCTTACCTGGTAGTAGAAAGCCTGTGACTAACGAACGCGCAAAGCTCACAATACTCGCACCTTATTACACGACGATTGCGCGAACTGAAAGTGTACTCTGAGATGTTACCCTGCACACAAAAGATCGCAGACTTGCATTTCCGACCCAAAGGCATTATCCTCTCAGGAAGTCCCTATTCGGTTTACGAGGAGGGCGCACCCCACGTAGATCCGGCGGCCTTTGATCTCGGTGTACCAATCCTGGGTATCTGCTATGGCCTACAAGAGATGGCTTGGCATTTTGGCAAGAATGTCTCCGCCGGCGACAAGAAAGAATATGGCCATGCCTACCTGAAGATCGAACGACATGCGGGGAAGGAAGAGCATATCGACCGTCTCTTTGAAGGGATTGCAGATGATATTGAAGTATGGATGAGCCACGGTGACAAACTATCAAAGTTGCCGGACGGGTTCCATCCAATTGCAAGCACAGCGAATGCCCCTTTCGCAGGTATCGCAAGCGTGGACAAGCCTTATTTCGGCATTCAATTCCATCCAGAGGTGACGCATACTCCACGCGGTACGGAAATCCTGGGTAACTTTGCAGTGAAAATATGCAAGGCCCGACAAGATTGGACCATGGAGAAGTTCGTGGACAAAGAAATCGAGCGCATCCGGGCTCTGGTCGGTCCCAAGGGTCAGGTTATAGGCGCCGTGAGTGGAGGAGTCGACTCAACTGTTGCCGCCAAACTCATGCAAGAGGCAATTGGAGATCGATTCCACGCCGTCCTTGTAGACAACGGCGTCCTTCGACTGGACGAAGCTCGAACTGTTAAGGAGACACTGACCAAGCACCTGGGCATCAACCTTACCGTCATTGATGCATCAGACCTTTTTCTCGGAAGGCTTAAGGGTGTCTCGGATCCGGAAACGAAGCGGAAGATTATTGGAAACACCTTCATCGAGGTATTCCAAGACAAGGCCAAGGCAATCGCGGAGGCTGCCGCAAACTCATCTAGAGCAGGAGAGATTGAGTGGCTGCTTCAGGGCACTTTGTACCCTGATGTCATTGAAAGCATCTCATTCAAGGGCCCGTCTGCAACCATCAAGACCCACCACAATGTTGGTGGCTTACTGAAAGACATGCATCTGAAGCTCATTGAGCCCCTCCGGGAACTTTTCAAGGACGAAGTCAGAGCGCTAGGAACCAACCTAGGCATTCCCGAGGACCTAGTTTGGCGACACCCCTTCCCAGGACCTGGTCTTGCCATCCGTATTCTCGGAGAAGTCACTGAAGCTCAACTCAAGATTGCTCGTCATGCGGACAAGATCTTTATCGACGAAATAATTGCCAGTGGCCTGTACAGAAAGATCTCGCAGGCTTTTGCCGCTCTTCTACCCGTCAAAGCGGTCGGTGTAATGGGAGACAAGAGAGTCCACGCTCAAGTGATCGCCTTGCGAGCTGTTGAGACAACGGACTTCATGACCGCCGATTGGTTTCCATTTGATGGCGAATTTCTCAAGAGAGTGAGTAGAAGAATAGTCAATGAGGTCGACGGGGTTTGTCGAGTGCTTTACGATGTCACGAGCAAGCCTCCCGGTACGATTGAGATGGAATAGACGGCTTCCAAGACATGCTTGGATGGTTTAGAGGAGGAGCTTCGGCGTTGAATGATGTGGCGTCCGTTTCAGGTCGAAAGATCGGACTGTATAAGGAAGGCATCCAAGATATCACAGTACGTATATAGACAGAACTTGCCTGCGAAGGATCGGTTATCTCTCTCCTGCCTGTTTAGAATCGGCCAGACCCTACGCTTCGGAGGAGCATTGTACGTGCTGCGCTTTTTTGCATGACAACAACGACAACCGACGACACTTTCAGTATAATAATTGACCTGGCTTGTCTCTGTCCGCGTTTCTTCTTCAAGCCATGAATACGAGCTGGGAGAAAGCTCTGCGTCGCTGCCTCACTATGTCACCGAGAGAGTGGCAGAGTTCAACCTTGTGCAGTGTGTGGGCGTGGCGTCCACCAAACATCGAACAGCGGTGAGAGGATAAGACCGTGCAATCCGATACTAATAGTACCTAGGTAGTGTAGTAGTGACGGCTGTTATTACTGTTTGGCATCAAGACGCTCGAGACCTACTTTCCACCATCGGCTCCAACCGATACTTGGTTGACGACACCAGGCTCGCATCTTGCGTGCTTTGCGATGTGGCTCTGCACATCAGGGGTTGACCAATCAAAAGTCGGGATCTGGAACAACTGGGAGCTCGGAAGAAGCGTTGACGAATATGCTGAGCGGCGACAACGATGCCGACTGCACGACAGATCGTGGAAGGAATCCATGCCTGATCTTGTTATGCGAGTGGTCCGGCCCCTGGAACCGTCGTCGCCATGCAGCGCCGTGCCACATGTGGACAAGATATGACACCTGTACACCGACCCCAGAGTCTGAGGAGTCATACCACCCAGATCTTGTATGTGGAGATTCTCTGACCCTTTGCCACGGGATTGTGCAATCTTACCTTGCAAGCAACCCACTCGGAAGTAAATCTGACCTTATATAAGGCGTGGTTCTCACCTTTTCTATTTCACCTGACGAGTCTCACCCATATCCCAACTGTCCATATCCACATCTCTGGGTCCACCACCACACAGTTGACACGCCCAGACGCCCACGGAAATCAACATGGCCCCCCATGCTGAAGATCCTGTCCAGGTGGAATACCAACCAGAACCCTGGAGTACCGAGACGAAGGCCACCCGAGTCGACTTGGGTTTCAGGGACAAGAATGCGTCTGAAAGGCAACGTAAGAAGCGGAGTCTAGCAGACACATATGAACCTGGACGGACAACTATTGAGACTCATGAAGACTACGAGTTTGATTATCTTCTACCGCGGTTTCCGGACCTTCACTGGGATGAACTGAAGGAACTGCCATATGAGGACAAAGGACTGCATGGAGACCCTCAGTTTCGACATTTACTCGATGCTGCCGACAATATTGTCGATTACGTGCCAAAAATCGGAACAGAGATCTCCGGTGTCAACCTATCTCAACTTACCGATGCTCAAAAATGCGACCTGGCAAGATTGATCGCGACCCGCGGGGTTGTGTTTTTCCGCAACCAGGATGATTTTGATATTGAGGCTCAACGAGAGCTCGGGAAGTTCTTTGGCACCTTACATAAGCATGCCACGACAGCTGTGCCACAGAAGGAAGGGCTGGAAGACGTTCACGTAGTCTACACAACAGACAAATCTGTGGATCAACGAGCCCTCTTTACTCCCACCTTCTTATGGCACTCAGATGTAAGCGCCCCCGGCTGCTCCTCAAAGAGCATACTGACTCCTCGCCTAGGTCAGCTACGAAGTTCAGCCACCTTCATATACGTCCTTGAAAGTGCTTACGGGTCCTCCGCGGGGTGGGGGCGGTGATACTTTGTGGTGCTCTCACTATGCCATCTACGACGTCCTGTCACCTCAAATGCAGAAGTATCTCGAAGGATTAACCGCCTTGCATTCAGCTGACATGCAGGCTGACGACTCTCGCGCTGGTGGGAGACCTGTCCGCCGAGAACCTGTAACGACTGAGCATCCGCTAGTCCGAGTCAATCCGGTAACAGGCTGGAAGTCTGTTTTCTTCAACCCTGGCTTCGTGACCAAGATCGTCGGCGTGCCAAAGGCCGAGAGCGATACCATCATCCGATATCTCAACGAGCTCATTGCTACAACGCAAGAGGCGCATGTACGATTTCAATGGGGAAAGCACGACGTTGCGCTGTGGGACAACAGGGTCACATCGCACAGTGCCTCGTATGGCTTTACTCCTCATAGAAGACATGCAGTCCGGGTAGCCGCAACTGCCGAAAGGCCATATTTCGATCCACAAGGCAGGTCTCAGGAAGAGGAACACAACAAGAAATGGGGCTTGCCTCAGACGAATAAGGACGGATCACGGCCATCCAACTATAATGACTGATTGACGAAGGGATGGAGACTAGTCTGGAATGTATGAACATCATGAATTTGCTTGAGAAGTCTTCGAAGGGCAGAGGACCACTATGGAGGAAGCGGAGTCGTAGGTGTTTGATTTTTGTTGTGTGACGGAAGTCCATTACTGTAGGTAAAGAGTATGCTGCGTTCTGTAGCCTCGTCTGCGTGGCATGGATGGTGTTACTTTTCCAACTTCCACCTTGGCGCCTCAACCGAGCCTAGAGGCCGCTCACTTGGGTGCACAGTCCAGCTTCTCCTTTCATTGTCCCCTGCTTTGATGGTGCGTCCGCTTCTGCTGCCTGAAGCATTGTCCCCAGCATGTCGGTTCCATCTGTTCTGGAATATGCTCGCTTCCACGGCCTTGCCACTGATCACACTTCAGATACCCTTCTGGAACACCTACACCATGTCCCCAGTCCCACCGCTTCTTGTTCGAAGGAGTTGGATTCTTCTTTGCCCGAACCAGATTTTACTGTCTTCGCCAACGCTCTCAAAGATCCCAAGCTACAACTGAATCGACAAGAAACCATTCTGCTAGCCGAGAGCATCACAGATTGCCGCCCGACTATCCATTGGACCGAGGTCCTTCCTAACCCCAACCGATGGAGAAGGCTGAAAGTGGAACAACCTCTTCTTGCTGGAGATCATGATTTGGATGTTGCAGGGTTCAGTCAAAATGCAGCGAGCCGCTTAGATTTGCAAAGTCACTTAGGAGACATCATACAGTTGAATACTACATGTGTCGAGCCCTATGAGGATGAATGGAACGACATACAGACAGCTGGCAGCTTGAAAGATGTGAAGAAAACACTCGACCTTGAGAAAGTGCACGCCACGCGGGAAGCTTTGATGTGTCTTGCGGAAGCCCGGAATGGCACCCTTAGCAAGGATGAAAGAAACGAGCTTCTCAATATAGAAGTACCTCTGGTGAGTATTACGCTGAGGTCTAGGTCTGGTGAATTAACAGATCGCAGAAACCACAGCTGCGCTCATCAAGTCCACTAACAATGCTCGACGAGCCTTCACCAGATCACTCTATCACATCTCCTTTCGACACAGAGGCCGACTCACCCATTGAAGAAGATGTTGATTTGGACAAGCGGCTTCTGGAGCTGGAAGAACGAATGGAAAAGGAGGGCTGGTCAACACTTAGCAGCCACAGTGCAATCCCCGTGGACATTGTAAACACGCCGAGTGTGAAAGTCGGAAATATCCAGACTCCAGGAGAATTACCTCAATTGAACAAAGATACGATGCGATGCCTTATCACAACTGGAGCAACTTCGCCACAAGAGGACATCGGTCAGGGCGTAACAACTCTCTCGACGCCAATAAAAAGAGGCTCCTCACCTAAACAGAAGCCTGAACTGTCAATCGGAATGGAAAATTCGAAGAGGAGGACCAATCCTTTAAGTCTCAGAGACGTCACGAGTAGCCCATCTCAACAAGCGTTGGTGCAAAGCGATGATGACGAGTTTAAGCAAGATTCGGATGACGATATCAACACTGAGTTCCTCAAAATGGCGGAGCAAGCCTACGAGGAGATGGAAAACAGACTGAAGAGCGAGACAAGTAGTCTTTCTGACGTCTGTACGAAAATCCCTGTTCCGAATCTGGACTTCACTCTGGGCAGGTCCGTTGACCATTCCTACCAATCTGATTTTGTTGCTCTCCAACTTCACCTGGCACTCCAGAGTTCCCCTGTCTTAGCCGATATGGAGAATGATACAGAATTGGAGCCATTAGCAGTTCCTCCGCACTACATGAGCGTCAATCTTGACGAAAAGATCGAGGCGTGTGGCACTCTTCATGAACTAACGAAGCCTCCTGAAGGTATCATTCGAAGTGAGCAGATGCTGTGGAAACCTCCAGGGCTTCGGATACTAGACGAGAACGAGGACAGTGACGAAGAGATGGAGGAAGATGTTGGTTTAGCAGCCACCATTTCCATGCCATCCACGCCGCAACTACCACAAAAAAGACCTGGGTATGGCGAGTGCTCGACTTTCTCAATCCCTGCAAAGAAACAGCGTGGGACAAAGCAGGAAGGCAGAGCTAGTCTGCTGGCAGCCAAGTGCGACTCATCGACCTTATTGAATCCGTTCTCGGCCTCTAGCGCCCTAGCGACATTCTTGGATCTGAGAGGCAGCAAATTCAAAACGGTCAAGCGAGTATGTCAGCTAAGCGTGGACGAAGTCTTGGACGACCCAATTGAGGCCACACAGCTTGAAAAGAACGATCCTGAATCTGCACCAGCTACAGCCTCAGTTTCGAGGCTTATTGTAGAGTGCAATGACCAAGAAGAGCCACCCAGGATCCTAGTGCCAGCGACACCAGTTCTTGCTACTTGCCCGGCGCCAAACAGTGGCCTTGCACCACCCAGCGCATTGGAATGGTGCAGAACAGTGGTGGTTGACATGGCGCTACTCCAAACGTGTCGCCGTTTGCTCGATTACCTGGAGAAGCAGGGTTCAGGTCAACTTACTATGATATATCGAGATCTCACTTCGCCCCAGGGTCATAGCGGAACGATACCCTCCATTGGTCCTGATATGATTCTGAATCCTAGATCTGGGCTCATCTTCACTAACTTGCAGGCCTTGAACCAGAAAAGCTTGCCCGGGCAAGGCGACTCTACTGATTTAGGTATGGTTCAGGTCAAGATCCTCAGGCTGCTACAAGATTATGACCAGCTGTTTGTTTTGGTGACGGTTCTAGGCGCCCGCGAGGGCTTCTTGCAAACAACCTCCGACGCAATTCGCCAGTTCACAGGCTTCTGTTCGAGCCTTAGTACTCGCAACGACCAATGTGTAACTCCAGTCTGGATACTGTCACAACTGCCGTCGCAGACGGATGATTCGGAATTGAGCAGCATGAGCTGGCGGTTGATCGCCAGGCATGCCTTTCCAACAACGCTTCCGAAAGGAGACTCCACTGGCAACCTAGAGACTGTGTGCCTGATTCATGATGAGACACTGTGGGAACTCTTCTTGAGAAAGGCTGGCATGAATGCCATGGCAGCCCAGGTTGTCCTTGGTATGCTGCACCGGTCTAATGCACCTATGTCGGAAGCCCCCCAGAGTTGGGGTTTGAGGAGACTGGTGCAAATGAGGGCAGAAGAACGGATTGACATGTTCTCAGAGATACTAGGAAGACGCATGACGGAAAGGATGAATACAATGCTTGAGACCCAGTGGGCCTAATAAGAACCCAGTCCCTGTAATCGATATTTGCGTGCGATCATTGCCGACAAGATGATTCTTCTGTCGGCGCAGGGCGTGCTGCTGGACAACCAACCCCCGGAAGCCTTGATAAGCGTCTTCAGCAAAGCCTTAGGCCGTCGCCGCAAACCTAGACCTAGACACAACCACATGAATGAAAATACTGTGTCGGGAAACAAAACGTCCAATCTTGTTGTACACGGCAAACCGAGACATGGGAATTGATTCTGGATGGATATTGTAAATCAAGATCTGGTCTGGTCTGGTCGGCGGTAAATTAATGGCAAGGCTGGCCATGACGTAAAACGCGATCTGGACGTGGCGGCATCGGAACGAACGTCTCTCTCTCTCTCTCTCTGTGGTCACGAGAGACGTCGCACGACCAGAACACCTTCCTTCTCGCCTCGCATTCCTCACTCCCTCTCTCTCTTCTACTCGGTACTAGTGCTAGCCTGAGTACGCCTGAACTCACCAGGGCTCGGGCTCTCGTCCTCCTCTCCACCCTGGCTTCTCCGTTCCGTGGTGTGCCTAAACATCGCAACACCTTTGCTCTTTTCCGCTACCTATTTCCCAACACTCATCGCCGCGCCCGCGAGAGACTGCTAGGTTTTCGACACGAGTATATCCCTCAACTCCGACTACGCGCGCAGTCCCGAATCTACCAGGCTATAGTTCGCAGGCAGCAAAATAAACGGGGACGGAGAGAGGCCGGAAAAGGTCTGATTCCATTTATACAGCGGAGGAAGAGTCGAATACTACAGGCACTGTATGGAAAGCACCATGCTGGCGGTCGACACTCGCGAGGCACAAGATCAATCGATCAGATGACAAGTTATGGCCAGGCTGGCGGACGGCTGCCAGGATCTCGGCGGGATAAGCTCCGGGGGATATTGCGCGCCGCGAACGAGTTGAGGCAAACATATCAGGACCAGATACAAAACAGGCTGCAGGCCAGTGAGGCAGATGGAGGCATGCCAGGAGAGTTTCCTGACGTGGAGATTGTTCGGAGCGGAGACGAGGAAATGGTCTTGTTCCCAAGTTACGCCCGGAAGCACGCAAGAAGAAAGACCAATTCGGATGGCACGGCCAGATACCCACCTGGAACCCATGAATCTGTGGAAACGCGACATGGTACCGGAGATGCAGAATACTGGAAAAGAGAATGGGAGAAGTACGAAGATGCTAATGCGGTCGTGGACGTCGACGTTCGGGGATGGATATACTCGCCCCAGCGTGGCCCCTTGACCAGGAGGAATCGACTGGTGATTGCTGTGGCCCGCCGGCTGAGCGGAATCTACCCCCCAAACCCTTCTCTGCCGGCGTCTCGTCCATCTAGTCAAGCTCCCGCCAGTCAGGATGAGCTTGATGACAACCCGTCGAGGTATGAGGATGAAATTGCGGCAAGAGAAGCCGAGCACATTGCTCGTCATGGACAGATAGAAGCAGAGGCCGCAATTAAAGGGAGTTACACTCAACAAAGCAGGAGAAGCTTCGATAACGACAGCCGAGCGGGGAGTCGGTCCAGCTCACCTGTGCCGTCAGCGGCTTTGTCCAGGCGAGGGACCGATGTCGAGGATGATGACCCCGGGCAGCGTCGCGTTCAGAAACGACTATCTTGGAATGAGCCAGCAAATATGACCCGAGAAGAAATGGCGGCAGCAAATGAAATGCTGTTGACCAGGCTAAGACCGTTCATGTCTACGCCTCTAGCCAATACCCCCATCACGGTCTTCTTTTTCGATGATGAGAAATCAACTTCCAAATCGGTCACCACCGACGACTCAGGACACTTCAACCTACGGGCGGCTCTGGACTTCGTCCCTGCCCAGGTCAGGGTTTTGGCTTCGGAGAAGCTGTCCGCGACTCAGGATGTCACGATTACAGACAGCAGGGGTGTCAGTTTGATCAGCGACATTGACGATACTGTCAAACACTCCGGCATAGCAAGCGGTGCCCGAGAGATTTTCAAGAACACATTCACTCGGGAGCTCGGAGATCTCACCGTCGCAGGAGTCAAAGAGTGGTACGGCAAACTGTCAGGTATGGGAGTCAACTTGCATTATGTTTCCAATTCTCCATGGCAACTGTACCCTCTCCTGCGCAGTTACTTCTCGCTTGCCGGACTGCCGCCCGGATCGTTCCACCTGAAGCAATACTCTGGAATGTTGCAAGGGATATTTGAGCCGGCTGCTGAAAGGAAGCGTGGCTCGTTGGAGCGGATCATCAATGATTTTCCCGAGAGAAAGTTCATCCTAGTCGGGGACAGTGGTGAAGCCGACCTCGAGGTCTACACTGATGTCGTCCTTGAACACCCTAAACAGATCTTGGGCGTCTTCATCAGAGACGTGACAACGCCGACGAAGAAGGCTTTCTTCGATCAAGCACCTTCGCACACGCCTCCATCTTCCGTGAACTCGGCCAAAGATGGAGATCGCCGGGGTCGAGATATCCCGGACAACAGACCGGCTCTACCTGAAAGACCAAAGGCGGAGCCTGAAACGAAGGCCGAGGAAGTCGACTTGATCGACTTCCAGGAGGAGGTAGATACGAAGACCACGAATGAAAAGACCTCGCATTCAGATGACATGCGTCAACTTGATCACAACGAAAAGCCGCCGGCGCCCAACAAACCTAATAAGCCATCAAGTTTACGAAATTTCTCGACTAAATCAATAACTAATCCTAGCCCGGACAGGCCATCCGCCTCGGATTCAGAAGCTCAAGAGACCTCCAAAAAGAAGCCTCCTCCTCCGCCGAAACCCCGTCGGTCTGGTGGCGCTGCTGGATCAGACAAAGGATCAGAGACGAGCCTCCGATCCTCTTCTCGTCCAGCATTCTCTTCCGCGCGCCAGAATCAAAGTCAATCACAATCTGATGTGTCTCCAACACTGCTGCCATCCATCTCACGGACAAACACCACCAGTACGGTCTCGAGTCACGTTTCCCGTAGTGACGACGACGGCTATGTCGCATCCGCTCGGCGGCAGATTGCATCGGCATACAACGCCCTGCCTGCGATTCGCTCAACGTCACCTTCACGATCAGCCGATCAAACAGGCATCGGCAGTGACAACCGACCAAATCCACCTCTTCCGTCTCGACGAGGGCTGTCGTCGTATCCGGCAGCGGCGGCGCGTTGGGCGACTGGTGCATCGGGCGGTGATCCTGCGGCTGGTGGCGATGCAGGGTACCCGGGAGCCTCATACGACAAGAAACTCGAGATCTGGAAGCGGAGATGGGCCAGATCCGAAGAAATCATGCGCCAGCGCGGGGTGGTGCTCCGGAGCTGGAGGGTAGGTGGCGACGTCATGGACGAGTGTGTCAAGTTGGTAAAGAGGGAGTTGGAGAGGATAGAACGACGTGGAAGTTGACGATGACGGGTTATACAGCAAGGATGTTGACAATTACTGGAGGCATGCTGGACGAGACCAATATCACCTTGGACAAGCATATATACGTACGCTGCATATTTGGCTCCTTTCGAGTGGAAGTCCACGATGGGCTGGACATGAAAACAACGACACCGACTGAGATGGCCTCAGGACTGGATTTTCTCTTTTCCTATCTCTTCTCCTAGTGCATATCATCCATCTAAGTAAAGAGTCGAGCCAGCACCAGGGATGCCTTGAGTGGTCACTGAAAAGGTAGGTAGATATCCTAGTCGTGTAGCGGATATGGATACAGGATTAGAGTACGGTACATTGTGGCACATCATAAGATTAGGTACCCGTCTCTGTCTATCTGTCGAGCTTCTATGGCGATACACACGGAGGGAGTTACTGTATCCACCAATTATGTCTATGCGTGGAGTCAGTCAGGGACGAATGTCACCTCCCTCCCTACACACATACAAAGTTACCTAGGTATGGATAGGAGTACGAGTAAGTTAATACTATTACTACCTACCTTAGCGTGCAAACATTTATTTATTTATTTAGTCTCGTTTAACGTCCTTCGGGTCTAGCGTGCAAACATAGGATCTCAGAACCGTCTCTATACGGTAACTACTATATATACCGTATATATACGGTATATATCGTTAATACGTACAGGAGATATCACGTGTTAATAGAAAAACGGTCCATAGATAACGACCGTATTAGTACGGTATTAGAATAGTAACGGTGTTTACAAGGATTCGGTAATTTTTAGAAAAAACGGTATTTTAGCTAAATAAAGAGGCTTTATATATTTTAGTCTCGAATTTTACTTCTAAAATTAGATTAGTTAGTAATATATTATATAAATATAGTTTATATAGTATAAATAGTAAACTTTAGCTTTAGTAAGAATATTAGTAATATTTTACTTACTTAATAAAAATTTAAAAGTCTAGAGTTCGATTCCTAAAGGATCCTAGATTTCTTTTTTTCTAAAAAAATACTATAAAAACCGTCTAAATACCGTTTTTATATAAATACCGTTACCGGTTTAACACCGTGTCTATAGTAACACCGTTTTTTTTTCGTTCACACGTATTTTTATCTATACTATATTAGTACGGCAATTTATCTATATATCGTTAAATATAACGTACCGTCTTAATCCGATACATAGGCTGTAACGGTGTTAGAATAGGTAATCGTGTTGATACGGTATAGATACGGTTATATATGCCTACAATTGCACGCTATGGTAGGTACCTACGGAGTATCCGTACAGTGGGTACCTACCTTATATGTAAATTTCCATTCCCATCCACGATGACTTCATCTTTCGACGGCCGGGGCTGGTGATGTCATGCGCATTGCATTACACGAGTGACAGTGACGATTTTCTCAGCACTGTTGACGGCAAAGGACAAGCTGGCCTGCGTATTTAATATCAATGTGTGTCCGTGTCTGTCTTCTGCCTGGGTACTTTTAAGTTCTTTGATCTTGCTCTCCCTCTCCCAATCTACTCTATTCCAATCCAATCCCAACTCCCAACTCGGATCCGAACTACTTTCCAATCCGTTCCGATTCCAACTCGAATCCGAAGTTCTAACCCCAAACCCTCAAATTTGTACCCGTGCAACGAAAACGAAACCATGTCACAGTCCAACGTGGGAAACGCCCAGGTCTACGAAGCCGGCGACCAGCGCGTGCCTCCCGACTCGCAGAAGAACCAGAACCAGGCCGAGCCGTATCATGAGGGTCAGAAACATGCCCACCAGGCGAATGATTCCAGTATGTGATCTTGATCTTGTTTTTCTTTCCAGCTTTTCACCCCTTCTGTTGACCATATCTCTCTCTCCCTTCCCGTTTCCTCCTGCCGCCATTGTGTGGACCGTTGTCAACCCGACACCATATCTGGGTTGTTATGCTTCGGGTTGCAGTTGATCTCAGCTCTGAGTTATATGTTACGTTTTAACTAACTCGTGGCTTTCGCGCAGAGGACCAACGCAGCATCGCCAACCGCCTAGCCGCGGCGGGACCACAGAACGAGACGGCGTCCGAGCAGGGAGAAAAGAGTGCAAGTGAGATCGACCCGACTCTCCCGGCGAGACAGCATGGCAATAAGCCATCGCGAGGCGCCCAGATCGACAAGGAGATCCAGGACGAAGAGGCTGAGATCCTGGCGAAGAAGGGTGCTGCGTGAAGAGGAGTACGCAAAGGCCGGACGGGCGGTTGAATCTCACAGGAAGAATGCCTCGAAGGAAACCAAAACAAGAACTCACAACGCATGGAGCTGGGCTGGGCTGGGCTGGACTGGGATGGCTCGATACAGTAACGGTCACGGCGACCCACGACTGAGGACGTCAAAAGTGCAAGATTGAAATCAGTGCAGAGAGCATTCTTGCACGCTTGCATGTGGCATTGGCAGTGATGGGGCTTTTGTGCTCCATCCACCATATCAGCCAGGCTGTGCATGGCTACGAGTGTAGGCTGCATTGCAAAAAAAGTCTCAATAAATCAATGACCAAAGTGCCAATGCCTTTTCGTCGAGCTTTATTTCGTGCCATTCCATTTCCGTCATGCTATGTCATTTCGTGCTTGAAACCTGTCATTGCACACTCCTGGCCATGAAACTCCAACTTGGCTGGTGTGTAGAAACTTTGGATAGCTGGATGCTCGGCTTGGTTTACAAGATCAAGTCTAAGCCGTAGAGGTAGATGGGTTTGCGAGAATACTGTCACAACATCGCCAGTTGGGTACCGGCAGAGTTTCCTTCCCCAGGTGTGCCTTGCTATGTTTCCCTCGGGTTGTGTCAGTCCTAGCAGGCTGGAGAGACTGTCCGTCGCAGATCTTGCCTCACATTCCGGGGATCCCGAGCAGGCCAGGTGCAGTCTGTGGCTGATCCTCGGAAAGCGAAACATGGCTGCCTGCGTCTGCGTTAGACAATGCTAGACATTCCGATGTCGCTGTCGAGTTTCAGTGAAAGAACCGCGTGGTCATCATGTCACGCAGACCTGGTCGGTGGGGTGGTGGTGAAGTCTGCGGCCAACCCACTGCCTGATCTTCATCGGGCATGTGGTATTGAAGACTAGATCTTAGTCTCCATTGAATGGAAGCGGCTGAGAGAAGTAACATGCGTGCAGAGGACTCTGGTCGGCATGATCTGAATCTTCGTTGTTGTCTGGAACGTTTTGTAGCTCATCTTCCAAATGTCAATTGCGCAAACTCGTCTCTGGTAGCGCCCACTTTGTCGGCGACATCATAGAGACTTCTCTGGACTTCACCAAAGACATATCGAAGTAGTTGGATCTGATGGTCCTTTTCACTCATGCCACTTGCACTGCGGTCACCGTAACTGAGACGTTCGTTCAATTCCCGCTCTTTGACAATGACCTTGCCCTCGAGTCCCTGGACAAAGTCTTCAATCTCGCCCAAGAGTTGTCGGTTGCCTTCAATGGTTTCTTCCATCTCGCTGGCCCGTGTATTGAACAGTTCAGTCAAGCTCTTCGGGCCTTGGACTTCTTCGGTATCTTCTCCCGGTAGTTGAATGGTATGGCCTTGTGCGCTGGTTGCACGAACGCTTCCTTTTAAGCTCTGGGGATTGTTCCACCATCCGCTGAGTCCAGCTCCGCCATAGATCCCGCTGCCGGCCAGGTTCTCGGGTTGTGTGTGGCTTATTACTTGATATTGTCTCGGCATCTTCAATCGGTCAATGGCGCGGAAGACACATTTCGCCTCCAACTCCCCCTTCTTCAAGTCTCCGTCTCTGACTGCGACAATGGCCTCGGCGTCATTGCCAAGTCCTACTTCGACCTCTTCGAGTTTCTGGCTGACAAACTCCACGCTATTCGGTAGTGTCCCCCCGGCGGAGGTCACAGTGGGTAGGAGGTCGGATACCTCTGAGGCAAGCTTGATCTGGTTCAAGATCATTGTATCGACATTCTCAATCTCTTTCTGCAGGTCGGGTGTGAGTTGGTCGAACTTTGTGGTAGATCGTAAATGGGTGATGTCTATCTGCGGTTGTGAAGATGTTCCCGCTGGTGTGTTTGTGGAGGTAGATGCCGCCGGCTGGTTTGTGGTCTGGCCGCTAGATAATGGAGTTTCAGTTAGCTGGTGAGTTGAGGACTACACCCATATGGTGTCATAAGAGTGCAGCATATCCTGATCGGACGGCTGTCTCTTGGAATCCATTGGAGGCACTCACAACAAGGAAGATCCTGCGTTTGCAGGTGTTGTAGTGCTGAGCCCCAGATTGAGCGTCGGCTTGCTGGTAGAAGTCCCGAAGAAAGACATCTTGTCTACTTTGCTCTACGCAATACAGATAGAAGAGGTATAGAGCAGTCAAGAGTTCAATGATGGAGCGAGGGAGGAAATGCTCATAGCGTTGCGACTTGCGACGCGCTTCACGGAAATTGCATTTACTCTCAAATGCTCCACCGTACAGGTACCACGCCTACGGTCGAGTAACTGGGCGCTTTCCCGCAGTTACCGTGCTCGGGGTGCGGGTATGGATTTTGTAGCTCTTCTTTATTCTTCGATTGATCCTGGCGACATACTTCTCGTCGAGAGGCTGTTTGCAGGGATCACACATGGGCAAGGTTTCTGTTATACGTCTGCTCGTCTAAGTTGCAGATCGTGCTCTGCCTTGGGCAACACGGTTACCTACTCGACATTAAAAACAGAGATGTCCGATTTAATGGCCAGAATGTGATCCAGCTCAAACAGTATGTTCGATCCAATATGCGTTGCCAGAACACCTACGGCTAGAGAAAACAGTCAGCCGAATGATGGAGAAGACAGCCACATCGAATCAGGGGATACCTTTTTCAGAAGCATACAATGGTAAGCGACTGTGTCCACAGGCTTCAGCATAGTTTACTGATATATCTTAGGAGCGCAGATGGGACAAGTTTGATCGTCAGCCCAGCTGATAATTCAATTCGGACGTTCATTGTGTAAGAAGGCGTGCCCCTGCTTGGCCGGACTGTGCTGACCCCATTCAGTCCTCCAGACCTGTTGGAAAAGACCCCAGAGCCATATGTTCTCACTCCATATTGTACAATCCAGTCCAGTGAGCCTATAAACGCCGTGGTCGCGTATCCGTTCTTCAATCTCGAGGACCCTTCTACGACATTGGTATTGTCTACGAAACGAGATCATCCGATACAACTGAATTCGGCCCTGACTGGTCAGCTGGGCGCCACCTATTCATTGATCAATCCCATGACCGAAGCCTTCATCAGCCCGCATTCGCTGATCTTCAGTCCTCAAGGTGACCGTTTCATTGCTGGCTCGGATTCTCTGATTTCTGTCATTGATGTTTCGCGACCTGGGAACGAGCCTATATCGTCGCTTCCAACTGGTCCAAAGCGAGGAAGAGATTCTGACTACAATGCTGCCATGAACATGCGAGGGATCGTCTCTGCACTGGCAGTGGATGCCTCGACAGGTATCCTAGCTGCTGGAACGTATAACCGACACATTGGCCTATACGATGCAGGAGGGCAAGGCGATTGCATTGGCGTCTTCTCTGTGAAGGGTACCGACGCCGACGCCAACATTGGGGGCAGCGGAATAACGCAAGTGTTGTGGAGTCCCTGTGGTAGGTATCTGTATATCGCGGAGAGGAAAAGCGACGGCGTAATTCTTTACGACATTCGCCAGACAGGACAACTATTGGCGTGGCTCGAAGGACGAAAGGCGCAAACGAACCAGAGACTAGGTGTTGATCTGGTCTCCTCGGACACTCTGGGCTCCCCCGAGATTTGGGCTGGTGGACTTGATGGAAGCTTCAGAATGTGGAAGGATGCCCAGCATGCCGAAGGCCCGGTTCTTCCAAGTTTTGACTTCAGAGCACACGACGGTAAGAAACCTATCACTTCTTGAGTTGATGTCTGGCTGACTTGCTCCGAAGACGTAGTTTCTGGCACTGCCGTTCATCACGGCGGCGGTGTTCTTGCCACATCGTCTGGTCAGCGTCATTTCGAGCGTGATTTTGATGAGGAGCAGGCTACTGTGGTGACCCATGACAACAGCCTGAAGATCTGGGAACTGTGAAAGTCCGTACTTGAGTGTGCAGCGTCGACTTCACAGGGCGCTTGTAGCACTGGGGCTACGATTACCGAGCCTCCTGATCTTATTGTCAAATATCAGCGATAGATTATAAACATCCTGAGCTTTGCATCTGCACACGCTTTGCATGGAAGCGCCTTGTCTTTGAATACTGACATTTGCGGAGATTTCCCCATTGCCATCTTAGCTCATGTTTGACCTCGCAGGCCTTTCGTCCAGATCACTCTGCAACAAGTGTGTGGGTAGTCATGTAACTCAGCTCTCTGCACAATTGTACGTACTCCGTATACTACTGTCTAGCAGTTGTATCCGTATACCGCAACTGTGGGACCGGGAATGGGGAAAGGGGGACAGCGCCATCCTTTGTTGGGGTTAGCGTTGTCCTCGGTGATTGGCTTCACTTCAACGTCCTCTCCTTTTTCATAGCAAGACATATCAAAGAGCTGGTGTTCATCTTCCTTGTCTTCCTCTTCTTCATCATCTTCGCCCCTTTCGAAGCTGGAAATTACGGTTGGTTTGGTGTGAAGCTGGAGTTGGAGCTCGAATGGCCGTAGCCCAGGTGTTGTCAAGTCGGTTTGGAATGCAGTCAAGCAAATCTGCTTCCTGCTTTAACTCCCCTTCCTGTCTTTAAATCTGTTGAATGTCTTCACCATGATGGGAGCCGTCTGGTATTAGGATCTGTGGTTTCATTTCAGCTGTTTGGATACTCAGAGATCTGGACAGAAATGCTCAATGCTTTGAACCGCTGCCATTTCCTTTTGTTGCCATTTCCTGCGTCTGTCGTCTGTTCCTCTCTGTCGCCGTTGATTGCTGTTCAAGATAACATACTCTGTTTGCTGGAGTATGACAAAAGCGCAGACCCAGGATATGTGCGTTGATCGTTCTGAGGACGCAGGTGTTCCCCGTGTTTCCTGCTCTGCCAGGAAAGAGCGACCAACCAGGTCGAGCGGCAGTGCCTTCTTCCCCGATTCCTGCTTAGTCGTCGACCCCGTCAGCCGAGCTTTTGTGAAATCTCCGACTCTTGGCCCACGTTTGATTTTGAAATCTCTTTTCCCTTTGTCACTCCCACACACCTCAAGACATCATCCCATCCACGACAGCAATCCATCAGCAGTCCACTGTCAGACACTCAGTGAAGCTTCCATCAAGGCCTCGAGGCTCTGGGAGCTTCGAGGCCTTGCTCCAGCCCCCGTCATCTCTTATTCTTCTGTCGTTGACATTGCGAACCCAAACCTCGAACTCTCGAACCAATATCAGAGGAAGTGCTTGAAACATCTGTTCAAAATCGAGAACAGTAAGTAAAGATCCTTGCCTTGCTATCACTTACTAACACTGCTTCCCAAGACCAAGATGTCATCGGCAAGCAGACAAGCCACCCTGCTATTGTACAGACCACCGGTCAAATATCCCTGGCATCAACATCTCGCGGCGCATCAGCATGTATCTCACAATGTTCATCCTTCACCTAAAAGAGTGAACTTGATACAAGGACAAGCACCTCTTCTAGCAATGACTAGCACATTGTCAAGCACGACCTACCAGACAAAGAGTCACAGTAGACTGCAAGACATGGTCATACCTCGATGACACCACATGGGACTGACTCCCCTCTGTGTCCAATGTCAATCAACGAGGCTCGAGTATATCTCTGCTATGGATACCTCCGGGTGCCATTGATTGATTCAGGGTACTGTCACTGCAAACCCACAGGACCAACAATGGAGCGAGCATGTGCGGTCTTCCATCTTTGTCGACTGCCTCATTGTGACGCACTCACATGTTAGTGAAGCAGTGTGACGGTTTCTGCCGGACCCGTCACTTCACATGCCCTATTCACTGCCTCATACCGCACATTCACGCTTGGCGGGTTCGAGTGTATTTAGGTTACCTCCTTCACCTGCGCTCCGATCTCGCTTCGTCACTTTAAAAGTTGTCAAGTTAGTAACAACTTCTCTTCCCCCATCAACTTCATTAACGCCCACAGCAGCAGCAATGGCCAGCCAGCACGACTCAGCGAGCTGCCCAGAGCTCCTGAGGGAGCAACAGGCTCGCCTCGATGCCGCCCGGGTCTTTGGCCAGGCCCAAACCATCGCTGCCGACCAGCAGGGCGTTGCTGGCTTTGTCGACTTGGAGGCCGAGGATCTCCCCTCGTCGACGGAGTTGATGTCGGGTCAAGCAATTGACTCGGCAACAATCTTCGGAGATGAGCTCACGGCACGCAAGTACCGTGAGGTCCTGTTGCCCACAACGGGGCAGCAGGATGGGACGATTCCTCGGACACCGGCGCAGAAGCGCGCCCACGTCCGAGTCCTGTTCAAGGCGTTCAAGTCAGTGCCTCAGAACAGTGAGGAGGGAGCAAAGATGAAGGAAAAGTTCATCAAGGAGGACCACAACAACCATCTTGTGGAGGTGATGTGTTGGGAGCTGTTGGAAGACTGCATTCGGCGGGCAGGGACGACCGAGAATTTGGTCGAGGCATGGGAGCCAGGAAAGGCGAGAGGCAAGAACGAGCACTGGACATTCGCGGAACGATTCGACCACCTGGCCCAGGCCATGGCAACATCAAAGTCCATCTGCAAGCACCTTTTTGACGTCCCATTCCGCGTCAAGCTGGTCGATGACCCCCTCCGCAGCTCGAAACGAGTTGCATCCAACCGACTCCTGAACCAGAAGAAGGCCGAGTCTCTGAAGAGAGGAAGACAGGCAGAGAAGGAGGATGAGAAGAGTGCCAAACGCTCCAAGAGAGAGCAGACCACAGGGGCGCAGGTAGACAACAACCTGGCTTCTCAGACCACTCAGCAACTGGCACCTCCTGCCACCCCACAGCCAATGGCTACCCAGCGACGCCCGTTGGGCATGCAGCAACCACAAACACCACAGATGCAGCTCTCACCTGCCCCTAGAGCAGGAAGCAGGAGCACGAGTATGCAGGACCCCAACATGGGGCGATTCCAGTCAATGCAGGGGAGCCACACGACGGCATTCATACCCACAGGTCCCTCTGCACCACAACACTACTACCCCCAAGCCTTAAATCATGGCGCTCCTCACAGTCAGCCACCCAACTTTCCGTACCCCGGGTCAATGCCAACAATGCCTCATCAGTGGAACCCGTACGGCAGGGTCAATCTTGGTGCTGTAGGCCACGCACGTCTGTCGATCGGGTCTCCTGCAGCCGAACCCACAGGATCACTACCTCAAGCACAACTCTTTCCCCACCAGTTGCTAGCATGGGCTCCCGACAGCTTGTTAGATCCGAACGTCAACTTTCAGCGGGATCTGCCGGTCGACCCGAATATGCCAGACGAAGATCCTGAGTTCCACGATGACTTTCCGCAACAGGGTTACTATGACACAGCCCCCTCCAGCATGCCTCAAGGCCGTACAAACTCCAGTGGCTCCACCCAATCTGAGGGCGATTACCAGACCAACCCCCAGACCAACTCCAACCCTTGAGCAGCTTGGTGGCCAAAGACATTTTGCAACTTCTTTTTTTCTCACATTCGACACACAGCACAAGAGCCATGAGGCTCTGAAAGACCCGCACATGCAAGCTACGGCTAACGACATGAGACATGATGTTATGATTAGTGATACCCCTGGGAATTGGCGGCGGTTTTTTGCTCTTGCATTTGCATCGGCAATGGGCTTTGGGTACGAGACACACATGGACAGGAGCTTGGTGGTTTTCTGGAGGAATTGAGGCACTGTGCTCTACAGAGAGCTGAGCTAGAAGCACCACAGTGCCAGGGCAGGACCCTCACAATGAAAACAAGACAAACCCTCCTTGCTTGTTCCTCCTCTTCCATTGCTTCTTCTGCTTCTCGACGGTCATACTCGTAGCCAAGTATATGGTAGCCAACTCAGATCGTACGATACCGAGTATGGTATAGTCGGCAGTAGCCCAGTCACATTGATATCTTTGTCCACTTCACCATGCTGCTTGTGCTTCAGAAAGTATGGATTGGATATCATGTCTATGGACACGACAAGCCAGCGAACGTCGCTATTGCCTAGTTACTTAAGTTATGAGGCTAGGCAGGTCTGTGATCAAGATTCCTGTCAACTATGCACGTAGAGAAGGTCAAGGTCAAGGTCAAGGTCAAGGTCAAGGTCAAGGTCAAGGTCAAGGTCAAGGTCAAGGTCAAGGTCAAGGTCAAGGTCAAAACCAAGACCAAGACCAAGGTGAAGGTGAAGGTAAGTATGAAGGTCCGTCAAGAGGGGTGGGCGTGACACTGCTTATGTTCATGTTCGCTCTTCGCTCAATGACAGGCGTACGTAGATCACACCACACCACACCACACCCTATCCCATAGTTGAGATGAGATGAGATGATTTCAGATCGTCTATGCTATGCTATGCTATGCTACATCATGCTCTGTGCCTGTATCGCCTGCCTCGACTCGGGACCCGGACTCGGACTCGGTGTCGGTGTCGGTGTCGGTGTCGGTGTTGGTGTTGGTGTTGGTGTTGGTGTTGGTGTTGGCAGACCATTCAAGCTCATCGATGAAAAGCAGGGCATGCCACGCCATGGTATGTTGACCTCCCTCTCCTCTTTACAGACTACGGGATCTCATTCACCAACCATCGTAATATCAGCACTTGTATACTAGTCCTCACCCTCACCCTCACCCCGCCCTCACTACAAACAAGCACGACGAGGACAGCCCCAAAAGGCGACCCCGGTAACAACGACAGCGTGACAAAAGCCATGGAAATCAAATCCTCCTGAATTAGGATTAGGGCTTGGACTTGGACTTGGACTTGATGCGAGGGATTCTGGACCTGTGCTCCATACTCCATACTCCATACTGGATACTCTATGCTCATACTCCATACTTCATACTCCATACTCTATACTCCACAAGGCCCCTATTCAGTAGCTATTGGTCAGAGGATCGGATCAATACCTAGCCACTACCTAGACTATGAAATGTATCTTCGCATTGTATCTTCACACATCTACAACACCCTTAGGGCACTGATACGATGCATAAAGTAGGTAGGCAGGTACCTGGTACCAGTACCTAGGTACTCGCATCTGGGAGCGGTGGAGGATGGACGAGGCTGCTCACGCTAAGCCGGAACAGGGTTGCAGAATATTGCAACCCCCAATATTGAATATGGGTTAGTTCAGGGCAGGCTTGCAGGTACCTATTGGTTAGTTTAGGGCAGGCTTACAGGTACGTATTGCAGATCCATGGATTGAAAGAGAAACAAGTCTTCAGTCGTAAGATTTAAGTCGTCAATGATCCGCAGATCCAGTGCCATGCATGTAAGAAACCTTCGACACCTCATTTTCACATGAGATATGATACGATACGTCCGAGGATATGCTTCCGCCGCTCTCACTCTCATTCAAGGCCCTGCTGACTCCATCTTGGACCGAGCCGTTGATAGATCGGGTTCTTCCAAACATCCAGCATGAGCATTACTTTTTTCCGGCGGCGCCGTCGAAACTGAGACTGTACCCGCCTCCCTCGCCCTGCACGACATTGAAGTTATCCGTGCTCAGTCCGAACGGCTTCAACAGGCCATTCCCCAGTTCCTTCAACTTGCCCATCATATCGCCGACTTCCTGCTCCTTGGCCTTGTTCACGCGCGGTGGTAGTGTCACAAGCGCTTGCCGTACCGTTTTCTGGTCCGCCAACGGGAGACCGGTGAAGTATTCGGGCGCCGATAGCGTCTTGTAGTCTTCCAGCGCAGCGGACAAATTGGACCAGTTTTGTGGTTCAACAGAAGATCGGGCGCGAGCACGACGGAGGAGGAGTTTGGTGCGGATTCGGTGGATGTCTGCCTTGCGGGCATCGGAAAGTTGTAAAGATTCCAGGGCCGCGAGAGTGGCAGTTTCGTCCGCGTCAGAAGGGAGTTCGACCACAGCATCGTCTTGATTTTGCGGAGTGGTGTCTGGTATGCGGGGCGAGGACGCCGATTCAGACTCAGTGTCACTATCAGAATTCAACCTCGGTCTGTTTTCTGGTCCCTTCCGTGTCTTTGCACCAGCATCTTTCTTTGCTTTGGATTTCGCCTTGGGTTTCGTGGGCAGTTCCCTCTCCAGACCCTCCAGCCCTTTCTCACAGCTTTCGACGGCCTCTTTCCATTGCTCCAGCTTCAAATGACATGCCGCTATGTTACTATGCAACACGGCCATCTCGTAGTCCAGATAGTTAGGCAGTTCTGCCAGTGCCCGGTCATAGGTGCCGATCGCTGAGGAGTAGTCGTGCTTCGCAAATTGCAGGTTGGCCTGTGATTTGATCTCGTGGGAGGACGAGACCATGCGGCTCTCTTCGTCGGCCGGAAACCGCGCAGAATGGAACGAGGCTGTCGAGGAACTCGAGGACCGCCGTGACGCCGACCATGCTGGTGGAAGAGGCGTAGCGTCCGTAGGCGACGGGTGCGTCGCACCGGCCGGAGGCTTTGCAGGGTCCGGGCGAGTCTTGGGCCCTGCGGCTTTGAAGTTGAAGGACATGGTCTGTGACCTTGTACTAAAGTCCCATTTCTCATTGAACACCTGTGATGGGTGTACGGATACACGGTACAGATATTCGATATTCGGTGTTCGATATTCGAACGGTTTCGCAGGCCACGTGAGGTACCGCGGTGGTGACCACGTGATATGCATCCACTAGGAGTACCCCGGACTCCGTACAGCCACCGAAACCGGAACTCTTCTTACATCTCTTGTCACTCTCTCGCCTCACACGTGTTGGTCAGCATCAGCCAGTCTGTCAGCGATCAAGAGAGCCCAGCTTTGGCATCTCCGGCTTGTCACGAATACTATGCTACCAGTGAGACGTTCTGGTTGTCTTCACGTTGGCTGTTTAGACCGCCATCTGAATATGGTGTGCTTCCTGCGGCCCTCGCGTCTTCATGGTTGTCAAGCAGTTCGGGGGAAACAACCAGTTGACTAGCAAGCCGTCGTGTCGGCCCCTAAGCCTTCGAATACCCCGATTTGGTAGGCGACTACTGTTAAGCGGCGCAGTCCAGAACTCCATGAAAACTTAGCTCTGGATAACGATCTGCGGAGCCAATCGTGGGGAATTCAGAGAGCACCATCTCGTGCGCCATGCGACAGGTATATTGCATCAATGCCCTAACAAGTGATGCCATGCTTCCTCAGATGCCTTATAAGTGGTCTTGGTACCGTAGGGATGGAACCGAGAGTGCTCCCTGCACCTCTGCTGCAGACTCCGAAACATGTCCATTGTTGGAAGCGAGCCCGTGGCGGTCGCTGTGAAAGCGTCCTCTAAGGACGAAACACCATATACGCTTGCAGCCGAAGTCGAAGAGTCTGACCAAGAGCACCATGGCCGTGCCGACTATTTGGCTGGCCGAAGCCGGGTGAAGCGACAATGGTACCAGTGGTATGCAGATTCAGACACTCCTGCCGAACGAAAGCTCCTGCTCAAGATGGACCTCCTGATCCTCTCCTACGCCTTTCTCGGATTCTGGACAAAGTATATTGACAATGGCAACTTGACGAATGCCTACGTGAGCGGGATGAAGGAGGACCTGGGCTTCTATGGCAACCAGTTGGTCCAGCTACAAACCATCTACAATGTCGCCTACACGGTCTTCATGATCCCGCTCACTCTACTGGCTGCGAAATACCGTTTTGTCATCCCGGCGTGCGACTTCATGTGGGGGGTCTTTACTCTGCTACAATACCGAGCCAACTCGTTCGCCGAGTTGGCGGCCTATCGATTCCTGGTGGGAGCGTTTGAGAGCACCTTCTTCACTTCGATTCATTACGTGCTGGGGTCATGGTATCGGTCCGATGAATTGGGGCGACGTGCTGGCATCTTTTACATATCCACTGGACTGGGTATGATGAGCACCGGTTTCATGGCAAGCGGGGTGATCCGACATCTCGACGGGGTGAATGGCCTGCCCGGATGGAGATGGCTTTTCATTGTGTGTGCCATTTCCACGTTCCCCGTGGCCATCTTTGGGTTCATCTTTTTCCCCAGCACACCAGACAAGACCAAGTCCTGGTTCCTCTCTGAGGAAGAAAAGAAATTGGCCCGGTTGCGGATGGCTCGGATTGGAGGCAAGCCGCCCACCGGATTTAGTGGCTGGAAGACCATCCAACGGTTCTTTGGCCGATGGCATTTCTGGGCCTTGGTCTTCTTCCAGCTTCCTTGGCAATTCAGCAGTTCGGCATCCACGAATGGGGCATACACTCTCTGGATCAAGAGCTTGAAGGAATACAGCACCTACCGAGTGAACTTGCTATCTACGATCAATCCTGGAGTCGGGATCTTCTTTGTGTGGTTCTATTCCTTCCTGTCAGATGCATTGCAGACGCGCATGCCAATCATTGTCGGACAATGCTTGTTCCAATTCGCGATTCAGTTTGCCTTTGTCATATGGGACTCTCCAAAGGCATATAAATGGGCTGCAGTGAGCACAGGATACGCTCAAGTCGCCGTGTCCCCGCTGGTTTTTTCTTGGGCCAATGAGATATGCCGCGAAGACGCGGAAGAACGAGCATTTGTGATTGCGTCAATGTTGGCCATCTCATGCGCTTTCAATGCATGGTATGTGGGCTCCTTGTGTCTAATAGAGGCAATGCTGACTCTCCTAGGATACCGATCCTGGTATGGCCTACGACAAAGGCCCCAGAATATCACAAAGGATACATCTTCTCCCAGGTGAATATCCTTCTATTCGCCGTAACCACATTCGCATTGTGGTGGTGGGACAGGAGAGACCAGTAAGTTGAATATTGCATCCGCATCCGCATCCCGTTGGCGGTGACCAGGACTAACAATGGTGTAGGAGGAAAGCCCTGAGGCGGAAGGCTTGATCAGATGCATATCACAATGGAACAAAGTGGAAGGCATAGCAGGGCGTGGCAAAACAATTGTGAGTTGTCGGAAACACAAGAGTCAAAAGACAGTAGGGGACAGGGGTGACGAGGACGAGGGTATGTGGAGAGAAATCATCAGGGCCAGCAAGCTTGGTTGGAGCAAGGCTGGATGAAACTTAATTCCTCTCTTGAAGGGTATCTCTTGCGACGGGATCGATCTAAGCTTGTCCTTCGCAACTGATGATAAACCCGATGTGCTCTGTGCTCTGTGATCGTGATCAATTCCCGCGCGTAGGCATATGTATGAATCGGCCTCTTGTCTCTTTGGTGGCCGCATGATTCCGTTGGAGGTTCGATCCGTTGGAGGTTCGATTCGTGGAGGTTCGATTGATTACTAACTCAGCCTTGGGCTACGCATGCCGTGTTGCTTGCGATGTGTACTCGTAGTATGCACACTATAGCATGCATGCTTCATGCCGTTCCTTCCGCTCAGTCTGGGAGACGTCGCGTTAACGATGTCCAGGTCCCACTCACGCTGTACTGTTTTCTTTGGCCATCTCACTATCATACAGGCGACATGGGCACCTCATCGCACGCCATCTACTCTAGCTCCAATCACAGCATCTCAGTAGCGACTGTGTGCATATCTGGAGCCGACACACTTCGGACTCTGGTCCGAAGGCGCCATAAGCAGGAGAATTTGGATGATCGAGACAACAGCGTCGGAAAGGAGATAAAACGGCCAAGGTACGTCGGTCGGGCCGGCCACCCCAGCTTTCTTTTGCGGTCATAATCATAACCATGGCTGCTGTGTCGGTAAGAGAGGGCGGCCCGACCCTCAAGACACCACTCGACTTTGAGGACAGCCCGCTGAGCCGGTCGGCGCGTCAGCCGTTGCTGCTGGGAGTGTTCCTGGACTTGCAGGACCGGAAAATCTCCAACTATCCCACCAGCAACAGCTGGAAGTTTGACTATAATGTAGACATTGTCAAGAAGGCCGATGCGCTGGGGTTTGACATCGCCTTCAGCCGCACTCAATGGCTGCCTAAAGGCGGCTACGACGGCGAGGCTTCGCTGGATGCCTTCATCGCCCTCGGCGCCATGGCGGCCGTGACGAAGAACATTCTGCTGATCTCGACCATTCACGTCCTGTACGGTCCGCTGCACCCCTTACACATTGCCAAGTACGGCGCGACGCTAGATCACATCTCCAAGGGCCGCTGGGGCATCAACATCGTCACGGGCCATCGGGCGATCGAGCACCAGATGTTCGGGTGGAATCGCATTGAGCACGACAAGCGGTACGAGATGGCCGGCGAGCTCTTCGACGTGGTGAACAGCCTGTGGGGGGAGACGGAGAACCTCACGTACGAGGGTCGCGTGTCTCCCTGGAAGCTGGAGAATGCGTGGATCACGCCCAAACCTCTCTACGGTCGGCCTGTGCTGGTGAACGCCACGGGGTCTCCGGCCGGGATCGACTTCGCCACCCGCTACTCCGACCTGGTCTTCATCACCTCGCCTGGCGGCGCAGCCATCGAGAGTGCCCTCGCCACGCTGCCGGACCATATCGCCACGATCAAGAACGCAGCCAAGGCGAGGGGGCGCACGGTCAAGACGCTGATCAATCCCGTCATCGTTTCACGCGACACGCCCGAGGAGACTGACGCCTACCTACAGGCCATCGTGGACGGCCAGGAGAAGAAGGCGCCGGGGGACAGCAAATTCGGCCACAAGGGGTATGATAGTGACGCTCACGCGTGGAAGGGTCGCCTGGACGGCCGCCATAAGCAGGGGTACAATCTGGGCGGTAACATCGAGGTCATCGGCTCGCCTGAGCAGGTGGTCGAGCAGCTGGCCGCCCTGCACAAGGTGGGCATCGACGGCGTGCAGCTTGGCTTTTACGACTGGAAAATCGACTTTGATCATTTCGCCACTAAGATCCTTCCGCTCCTCAAGGAAGCCGGTCTGCGCGTGGACTGAGCGGAGCGCCGCTGAGCGGAGCGCAGCGGTCGAGAGAAGCGGGAAGCAGGAAGGAGGAAGGAGGAAGCAGGAAGCGGTCGAGCAGGTCCTGCACGCTTATGCCATCTGCATATCCATACATGTGATGGTGGAAAATGGGCGAGGCGAGGCGAGGCTACCACGGCCATGGCTGAACATAGCCCCTGCACGATAAATTAGTCGAAAGGAGAATATTAATCATATATCCGTACATATTGATGGACGGATACCTACTGCGATACTCCGTACTTCTAGTATATCCTTGCAAAACCATCAGGTTAGCGCATAGACGCGGCGGAGCGGAACCAGAGCCTGGGGTGATGAGCAGACCAAGGCAGAGCGATTGCCCTTGCCCATGCCCTTCGCTTTGGTGAGCAATCTTGGTAGGTAGGTACCTAATAATGTTGAAGGTATATCCTTGTCAGGACCGCGGTGCAGGGTCAAGATCAAGCTTGGGCCTGGTCTCTGCAAGGTACGGATACGGAGAGTGAACGGTACAAAAGTCCCGAGATGATGGAGTAAAAGCCTCCTTAGCCGAACCTGCAGGCTTTCCTCAGCCTAATAATACGTAATAAGGCTCCTAAGTCTAAGCCTGCCCCTCATGATCACCATTGTGAGAATCTTGATCTGTGATCGAGATAAACAGCCCGCACCGCACACCGCACACCCCACCCCCCAACCCGCAGTTGATCTTTTTTGAATTACAGACTGCCACAGAGTACCTACCACCTACCTCTACTAGGATACCCGTACATATGTACAGTACCTACCTACACCTACCTTAGGTACCTACTGTAACCTACCTAATCTGAACATACGCACACGCCTTAGCCCATCATGGGCTCTTCTATCCCGGCTGGAGCGAGTCGGTCAGGGTATGCATATCTCTCTGTCTGTCTGTTCTGTTTTCTCTCTCTTGCCCGTTCGTTGCTATTGCCTTGCCATTCATTGCACAAGCTCGACTAGACCAGACCAGACCAGACCAGCCCAAACCAACCCAGACCTGCCCTGCCCAAACCAACCCAGACCAGATTAGTCCAACCCAGCCCAACCCATACCAGCCGCCGTCTCTATCTACACTCTACACATAGCATGACCTCTCGAGGGCTCGGCGAATGTCAGACTGACGAAACCTACAGGTTCCCACCCATACGCGCGTGCATTTTCGACATGGATGGACTGCTGATCGACTCGGAGGACAAGTACACGGAAGTGACGAACACGATCCTGCGCGAGAACGGCCGACCCGACCTACCGTGGCACATCAAGGCGCAGCTGCAGGGCCGGCCGGGCCCGGCGGCGGGCAAGATCTTCCAAGACTGGGCGCGGCTGGATATTTCGCAGGAACGGTTTTTGCAGCGCGTGGGCGAGTTGCAGGCCGTGGCGTTCCAGCACTGCAGGCCGCTCCCGGGCGTGGAGGATCTGCTGCGCCGGCTGCAGAATGCATACAGCGCCGACTCCGAATCCGAAGCCGAGGGTGACGGGTCGACGACGACGACGACGAGAGTCGGAACAGCACAACAGTCAATAACGAAAAAGAACAGTAATAATGATAATGACAACAACAACAGCAACAAACAAAAGGAAAAAGTCCAGTTGGCCCTAGCCACCAGCTCGCAGACCAGAAACTACGAGATCAAGACGGCCAACCTGCAGGCCCTGTTCAGCGTCTTTCCCGACAGCCATAAGGTTCTGGGCGACGACCCGCGCATCCCCAAGGGCCGCGGCAAGCCGTTGCCGGACATCTATCTGCTGGCGCTGCAGGCCATCAACGATACGGTCGCGGCCGAGGATCCCGACGCCAGGGTCATCGAGCCGAGCGAATGTCTCGTCTTCGAGGACAGTGTGCCCGGTGTCGAGGCCGGGCGCAGGGCAGGCATGCGCGTCGTCTGGTGTCCTCACCCACAGTTGTTGGACATCTACCGTGGAAGAGAGGACGAGGTGCTCGCAGGTCGCACCGGCGAACACAAGGAAGACGACATCGAGCATGCAGAGGGCATTCCCATAGCTGGAAGTCCCGGTCAGGTCGGCGAGATCGGCGACGGCTGGGCCGAGCTGCTCACCACCCTGGAGGATTTCGACTATGCAAAGTACGGCATGCGACTCGACCACACGCAACCCTCCGACGCCGAGACTGGTCAATCAACAACGGCCAATGCCGCCACATGTACAGACAAGGCCTTGGAAGAAATGACGGCCATGGCCGACGGCAAGCACCATGCTCCTGAGGAGCCGCCGACACGAGCGCTATCCCAATGAAGAGACCTGCTTTCCTCTAAATTAATGCCTAGGGTGTTCGAATAGAAAAGAATCGGACAGACATTGATGGGCTCCTGGAGAAGTCTGGGATGGTCAATGGAATAGAGGTATGCATTTCAATCTTCGGACCTCAACAACAAAGGAGTCTCTTCAGACACATACGGAGGCGGATCAGGATCGGCCTCGGTCTGACTCTCCATACTGCCGTTGGAGTGCGCCATTCTTGCTTGTAACTCCTTCCTCTCTCTTTTGTGATGCATGATCTCAAAGTAACTCCCCATCACCAGCAGCGTGCCCTGCAAACAACCCGTGACAACGTAGACGCCCCATGCGCTCCAGCCTTCGCTGCCCAACCGGGCGGCCAGGCTGGCTGCCCAGACAAAACTGCCTGGCGTCTGGATACACATCATGGGAATACTCAGACTGCCCACTCTCTTCAGCATATAGGTTGTATAGATCTGAGGGAAATATTGGATGGACGCGAGAACGGTGGAGAAGATGCCGAGGAAATTCGCCCAGCCCTGTGCATGGCTCGGGCGTGCGTAAACGAAGTAGAAGCTGAGGATGGCGATGATCGCGGCGTGCAGAACCGCGACACCCGTCACCAGTAATGCGGTGCGGTACGACGGGCCGAGTTCGCCTACTTTGAGGGAGTCCGTATCAGGGCTAGATTCGGTCTCGGCCTCGATCTCGGCTGGGGTATTAGGTCGAGGAAAGAAGATGAGGAACAGGAGGAGACTGTAGTTGCAGAGTTAGAGTCAGGACCCAGAAAAAATAGCATCCCCCATCCGACTGTCATGCAGCTCATTACAGTGCGCCAGCCAGGGCTGGGCATTGGACACATTTGGACCAGAAGTAAGCACGAGACAACCGCAACTTGCACTGCGTTGCGTTGTACAGCACAGCACAGCACAGCACCGCACTTACATGACGGTGAAACAACTCCATTGGACCCCGACCTGCGCAATCCCCAGCAGACCAGCCAGACAAGCAAACTGGTCGACGACGCGACAGCAGGCTATGTCGGCGCGGCTCCTAGGCAAGACCAGAATATTTGCAAAGGCACATGTTCCGCTCGTCGCGCCGAGGAGGACGAAATATGGCGACAGGCCAAACGAGGAGCGCAGGCGAATAATGCGGATGTGTTGTGGTAGGTAGGAGACGAGGATGCCGACGAGGATGAACCTGCATTAAAGGTATGTTAGAACACTTGGCTGCACTGCGCTGCACTGTACTGTATAGCATGTGCGAAGGAGAGGGTGGGTGAGAGGGCATTCAATGGCTCAGGCTCAGGTTCAGGTTCAGGCTCAGGTTCAGGCTCAGGCTCAGGGCAGCCCGGGGGTGGAAGTGAAGCTGAAGCTGAGGCTGCGTTGAATACGTACAGGCTGAGGCCGAAGTTGGTGTAGCTGACTCGAGCGATCTCTTCGCAGCGGGCATCCATTTCACAAGTGGCGGGAATGGATGGAAGGGAATTGCTTAAATGTACGGAGTACCTAGGTAGGTAGGTAGGTATGAACGTGTGGTGTGCTTAGAGCAATGTGAATATGCCTCACATCGGTAAGGTCATGTTGGAATCCTCGAAGGTTAGATGCCGAGTTGTGAGGATGCGCTTTCGGGAGGAGATCTAGATCCGATGACTGCAATAATAGGCTGTTGATGCTCCGCGATGGGTTTAGTTTCGTTGCAGCCTGCATCATCCCGATATGGTGGAGCGGAGAGGACCATGATGTCATTCCGGAGCCTGAGCCTAAGCCTAAGCCCGAGCCTACCACCTCCTAGGTACCAATAAGCCCCTAAGCCCAAGCCTTGGACCCCAGCCGACTCTGGAGAGCGGAGAATACTATCTAAGGTAAATAGCACCCAAGCACCTATAGGTAGGTACGGAGTACGGAGAGATATCGAGCTTCTTGTAGATGCAGTAAGCCCACGATACTGCCCACAAGAAAATCTGGATGCTTCTACTGCTCCCCAAGCACTCTCACTTCTCAGATGTGATTACAAGAACCCATGAACTCCTTCTATTCGTTTCGTCAGGAATAATCGTAGACCCCTGCTCGACAGGCCATCCAGCAATGATATGCATTAAAGTGTCAATCCAAAGTGAACGCTGTGCTAACAGGTGCGCAGGTCTTGCTTCTATTGAGTCAATCTCCGTCCAGCGGTTCATTCATCCAGGACCACGGATGGTCTAGTAGTCCTTCTGAGCATATCTGCTAGCTCTTCTCAATCGCTCGCCGAACTGCAATTTGTTAGCCATGATCAAAAGCTATGAAAGCCTGAAACTGACCTTGAACAACAAAAAAGGGATTGGAATGAATGCAATCGCGAGGAACCCAAGCGTAGAGCTGGCCCAATTGACCCCAAGCTTCTTGTACATGGCTGACGCAAAGAGCGGGAACCCAGCGCCAATTGAGGATCGAAACAAGTCGTTCCCTGCTAACACGCTCGCCGCATGCAAGGGATAGGCATCTGCCAAATAGTTGAGTGCACTGTTAAAGAGCAGAAAAGCTCCAATGCTGAAAAAGCCCGTGCCAATGATGGGCATGATCCAATGTATGTCCGGTCTGGCTGACCATCCGAACCAGAACATGCAGATGGGAATGGCAAACGCGCCAACAAATGCCGGAGGAAGTCGCCACTCGGGCTGCAGTTCGCCTTTGTCGTTGAATTTGGGCTCAATGTACTTCATCTGGTACCAGACAAATGGCGGGAGAGTAATCAAGACCCCGACAAAGATGCCCAGGAATGCGGTCCCTTCGAGTCCAAGGCTGAAGTGGTAGATTCCGGAGAACACGATTGGAAAGCTCTCGAACCAGATGTACAGGAGGCCGTAGATGAGAGCAATGTACATGTTCAAGAGGAAAACCATGGGTTCTGTAAATGATAACGTGAACGGCCGGACCAGGACCATCATGACAATGTCCTTTCCGGTCATCTGTTCCCCGATGAGTTGAGGCTCGCATATCAGTTTCCCGTTGCTCGTCAGCCTGCGGAGTCGCATCGTACGTCGATAGAGGATATTGGCCGATGAAGTCTCGGGCATGAGAAAGGTCAAAAGCACGAGGGTAAAGCCAGACAGCCACATGAGCTCCCAGATTGTCCATTTCCACCCCTTGGCCTCGGCCGCGAACCCGCCGATGAGAGGACCTAGGACCGGGCCGCACACTGCGCCAATACCCCACACGGCCATGCCATACGTCCGCTTGGACGGTGTATACATGTCAGCAATAGAAGCGCCGCCGGTCGCCAATGAAGGAGACCCAATAAAGCCGGTGAGAAAGCGGAACGCCAAAAGCATGCCGAAGTTGGTCGCCAATGCGGTGGGAACTTGCAAGATGACGAAAAGCGCAAGGGTTCCGATGTAAATCGGGCCGCGACCGATCTGAGGAACCTCCGACATAGGAGACCAGAGCATTGGACCAATAGCATAGCCTAGGACGAAGAGAGTGAGACCAAGAGTGGCAGCCACTTCACTGACTCCAAAGGTTCTGCTGACATCCGGGATCCCGGCCGTGTAGATGGCTGACCCAACGTAGACTGAGAACGTGAGTAGGCAGATTTCGAATGTGACCAAGATTTTTTTGGTTATGCTCCAGTTTTGGGGGTTTTCAGGATCGTCCGGCCCATACCAATCGACAATATCTGCGACTCGTCCGTTCTCTACATCGACTTTTTGTTCACTGACGGTATTGACAAGGCCATTGCCATCCTCGAACGTTGTTGACGACGAGCTCGAAGAAGGCGATTGTTCTGAATGGCGATGCGCCCTGTCATAAGACGGAGCACGTGTAGCAAGCTCTCCCGTTTCCTCTGCGGCAGGCGGATCGGTGCTGCCATGCATGGCCATGTTGGTAGACTTTTCGAGGTTAACATACTTCTGCCATATGGACGCGTCTCGTTCTTCAGGGTACTGAAGAATTCTTTTGCCCGTGATTAGCCGCAATAGCTGACCAGCAACAGTGTCCCGAAACAGTTCGGCCATTGTGAATTGACAAGAGTATAGCAGGATGGAAGGAGGCCCGGTCTACCTGTCAGAACTTATCACCGCAGACCATGAGGTTCCCTGTCGTATGCTGAGATTATAAGGCAACCCGCAACATGGCTGGAATCCACCAAAAACGTCATGGGCACCGTTTGGATGCTGATAATGTAGTCACAGACAAGCGGGTCGGCCAGCGGGAACATATTGAGGTCTCGGAACGAATCCTCGTCAATCCGGGCGAAATTAGTGTTTAATCCCGCATGTGAAACGGGGTGGCCTGTGAGAGGGACAGTCTGGTACTGTACAAAGAACGAGACAAAAGTCTATGACGGTTGAATGGGGCATGTCAGAGCATTTGGCCTCAGCCTGCCACGTGACTCGGCGTCCGGATGGTTTTAGTCAGCGAGTCGGCCTCTTCTGGCTCCGAGTTGGACTTCTATTGTAGGATGATTGGTGATGGTTCGTATTTGCGATGAAGTCAGCCGAAGCACGGCTACAGATTCGTAGTTCTGGATCGATCTCCGCCCCCTTCCTCCTTTGTCTTAGGCGCCAGGCTCCGTAAGCAGTTGGGCTATTTCCTTCGTGTCTCGAAAGTTTGATGTACGGATATGTGTACCTCTATCGTGACTCATGTTTACAGACCATGAGAGTTTTCCACCTAGAACCGAGCCGGGATTTACGAAACTGGTAGTTCGATTCCCATGGGCACACAGCAAGGCACGTTCCCTAAATGTCTAGTAGGCGTAGACCCATGCAGCCGTCGGAATGTAATCGTAAGCCCGCATGAAAGCAGGGATGGATGCTCCTGTGTCGAGTGGTGCACTAAGTATGTTGGAGGTATGTTGGAGGCGACGATTGATGTGCTTTCCTGGGAGTGGTTAATGGTTCTTGAGAGACATGTATCGGGATCCTGCTCATTAAAGGTGCAAGCCATCGCCTTCATCGTCGTCCTCACCCAGTCGTTCCGTCATCTGTCTTCTCAGCTCCTCGTCTGTGAGTCTGCCACCTGTGCTTCTACCTGCCTCGGTAGTGCTCCCATTGTTCACTGCTTCTTCGGAATTGCCGTTCACCTTTCCGCTACTGTCCGCCTCATGCCATCTTCCCCCTCGTCTTTCCACCTCACGCTTCAACAGCCCTATTCTCTCCTTTTGCCGCTCAATCACGATATTATTTTCTTGAATGGCATCTGCGCAGTCTTTGTCTCCCTCTTGCCTCGTACTTTCTGGTAGAGTAGTGTCTGAGCGGATACTGTCGATGTACTGTTGCAGTTGTTGGTTTGAGCGTTCGAGGTGGGAGATCGAGTTTGAGAGTTCCTGGGCTTTCGAGTACAGGTTTTCGATAGGCAGATCATGGATGGCAAGGGCGAATTGGTCTGCAGATATGGGCTGAGATTCGGCTGACATGTTGAGGGAGAGAAGCGTGGCCAGTGATGTCTCAACTGCGTTATAAGCAAGTGGCAGGGAGAGAAGTGTGCCAGGCTCCGTACATACTCCACAACCTTGGCAAGCAAAGATGAGTACTAGAAACTGCCTGGAGCTCACATACGACTCGGCCCAAACGTGCCGCTCTTATAATGAATCGACTTCCCTCCTGTACGAAGAGAGTGAAAGAAAATTGCTAACCTGGAGAAAGGCCAGTTGAGGTCGCATTGGTGGAGGATGCGGGGGCCAGGAAGAGAGGGTAGCCTAAGGAGCCTCAGGGCCAGGAATATTATAGCAGCGGCGCCAGCGGGAGAAGGCAAAGTACTCCGTACCAACTCTCATTCCAACCCGCCATCACCACATCACCACCGCTACTGCTGAAGGTATCTGGTTACAGCAGTCTCGTCCAATGAAACCATCGCCGGCGACAGTGCTTCCATCTTGGTCTTTCTGCCACACTTTGCAACGAGCCCTACTCTGATCAGATCTAACCTAATCCAGCCTGTTCTGACTTATTCTGACGGGTCTAACCTATTACAGCCTATTCTGACCTCTTCTGATCTCTTCTGACTACTTTGAACTTGATTTAGTACTTAGTCGCCCTTCTCTACCGTCATCCTTTCTTAGTCGACACAATTCACAGGCCCAGGTGGAGATAGCAGGACACTCTCGCTACCTAAGGCTGATAAATGCTTCCCGGCCCATGCCTGCATATGCACACACATACTCACATACACAACGTACTACCTAGTATATATACCACCTGTAGCCTCCCTCACCCTTGAAGCTGTAACTTGCAGCGGATACTTCATCACAAGAAGTGAAAGTTTCAACCCTTGCTGACTCTGCCAAACCCATACCTCACAATGTCCACCGTCGTGCTGATCACGGGCGCCAATCGTGGCATAGGCAAGGGCCTCCTCGAGAGATACCTCCAACTACCAAATCACACCGTCATCGCAGCCAACCGCAATCCTGACCATGCCACCTCCAAAGAGCTCTCTAAGCTCCCTACTGCTAAAGGCACCACTCTGATCGTGGTCAAAATCGATGCCCGTATCTGGCAGGATGCCTTCACTGCAGTCGAGACACTTCAAACCGACCACAACGTCAAGCACATTGACATCGTCATTGCCAACGCCGGAGTGGCTTACTGTTATCCCACGGTTGCCGAATTGAAGGAGGCTGACTTCGCCGCCCATATTGAGCCCAACGTGTATGGTGTTGTGTCCCTGTATCAAGCTGTACGTCCGTTGTTGCAGAACTCGACTAAAGAACCGATTTTCACGACCATGGGGTCTACAGCTGGCAGTCTAAAGTGAGTTTCTAAGTGTCTACAACCCTAACCTTTTCCTGATTCCCAAAAAGAAACCCAAAAGAACTGGTTCACGATCGCGATGTAATTAGTGAATACTGACGCATTGATCTTGTAACTAGCACACGACTTCCATTTCCTAACGCAGCTTATGGGCCGTCCAAGGCAGCAGCTGCCTGGCTGATCATTCAGATCAACGCTGAAGAAGAATGGCTCCATTCGTTTGCATTGGTCCCCGGCTGGGTTCACACCGATCTGGGTGATGGCGGAGCAGTGGCTTTCAAAGTCGATCAAGCCACAGTCAATAATATGATGATCGAAGTGGGTACTTCATGCGATGGCATGATGGAGGTGCTCTCTGATACGAGCAAAGCGAAGCACGGCGGGAAGCTGGCACTGTACGATGGAAACACAATTCCTTGGTAAAACCAAACCATGGACCTGTCCAGCGACAAGAAGGTTGGAAGAAAGGATTTAGGGTAGTCAGCAGCCTGCGGAATATAAGAGATCTAGGGAAGTCGGCAGTGAGTGGGCCGGCATTGATTTTACATCAAGTGATGGGGAAAAGCTGGACAAGCCACGCCGACCCTCGATCATGAACATTCGACTATGGCCTTGTCAGAATAGTAGGCTTCAGCTGTGCTGAGCCGAATCATGTATATGGCTATATGTGAAACTGCAAGCATGTGGAAGAGGTTGATGGTTAGTAATGGTCGACACCATGCGAGTAGCTCATATACCCGCCTTCCGAATTGCTGATTTCATCCCCTTGCTGAAATATTCCAAGTTGAATACCTCTAGGTAGGAAGGCAAGCACGAACGATGCATAACTGATGTCGTCCTATGGTCCCGTCACACGGTCGCTTGGAGGGCACCACTGGCCCCGATAGGCAGCGCTGATGCAGGCTTCTGACACTGTCCACTCGCATGCTGGCCGACCAAGGGGGCGAAGCGTCAGAAAGTTGAAGATGCATTCTTCGATCAACGCCCAGACGTCAGTCCAGCAGAAGTGAAGACCAACGCTCGAGTCGCAGTCCATGCGTGACATCGGCCATCGTCCCGAACATCTGGCCAAGGGATGCAAGAAGACGCGTCTCCAAAGTCTTGATGTTTCGTTCGAAGGAGAAAATGTGCCTGACTAACTTGTACTTCAATGCAGAAGCCATCGTGGAAAGAGGATTACGCACGAAAAGACATCTTTAGTAGAATAGATATCCCCATTTATCAGCAAATTCCTTACTCATGATCCAGCCATTTGGGTCCCAGCTCATGGTGCCAGGCACGATGGTGAAGCTATGCGTGTCGAAGAGGGTCTGCAAGAATTCCTCCTCATCAATTATCGCACTCAACTTGATGAAGTTGTCGCGCATATGTGGGAATGGAAAGCGATCGATCCAAGAAGTGTGCATTGTCGTCATTTGCAAAACTGTCGGTTGAAGTGGTGGAGGGATTCCGGGTCGGAAATTCGACTTCCAGGAGATCTGACTGCTGCAGGGAAGGCCCAGGATACGGCCGTTTTTAAACAGGGCAGTAAAAACGGTGTTGTTTGCGTGGGAGATCAGACAATCTTCTGTTCCTGTTGATGTAGAACCGGAGGAGGCCTGAGGGAACGGAGAAACGGACGCCGCAGCCAGAGGGGAAACTTCACTGTTATCTTTCGTCATGAAGATGCCGCATAGGTCCGGTGCTATTGTTGCGGCGGCGGGGGCGGCTGATCCAGCTTCGACTTCAAACTGCGTGTCTTCTTTTTGAGCGGCACGGAGCTGTTGACGACCGGCGATGTCCATGTCTTCCACCGTGGTATGGCTCCATTGAGCGCTGGCCTCGGCAGTCTCCAAGTTTGCGTTTGCGAGTCGGCGGCCTTCAATATGACGGCGAATTCAGTATGAACACCCCAAGAGTTCTGTCCGGGATTCTACTTACGGCGCATCCTTTGCGCTAGCCTGTCCTGAATCTGCTTCCTCTTTTTCCGGTCCGACACGCCGATCCAGCTATCGGGACTGAGGTCCGTTCTCGTGTGCCAAGTGATGTGTTGGTCAAACATGTTCTGATTCTTGACACGCAGCTGAAGGTGAGCGAGCCTGAGCCCGTTCCCGTCTCTGTTCCCGTTCTTTGACTGCTTGATTTGCCTTACGAAATGTATTAGTACTTCGCTGTCGCGGTTGCGGGGGACTGAGAGGGAAGCAGCTTCTAGTTGGGTTGGTGGAGGGTCCGGAATGGCGTTATTGTTAATGAGGCCGTGCCCGCTTGTAGAGGCAGCTTAGTAATTCTAGCCAGTGATAAGTGGCAACTCCTGGCACCAACCTGGCAAATATTAAATAGCTGATTGATTAATTACCTGAACCTTTATTTCCATTCTACTCCGTTCTGTATCCTCTGGAAATACTACTTACTAGTCGGTGTGTGAAGGTTCAGTATTCCAGCACGTCTTAACCCTAACCCTAACCCTAACCCTATCACGTGGTCGTCAGCAGTCACGTGGTAGTCAGTTAGGGTTAGGGTTAGGGCTCAGAAGGTTAGACCTGATCCTTCCCCTTCCCTCTTCCCTCTTCCCTCTTCCCCGACCTGTGCCCAAGTCGGATGCAACCCTGCCTGGACCTGGGGCTAAGGCTGTCGCTTCGACTGGCAAGGCAGACTTCGAGCTTGGTGACGAGTCCACCGCCGATCCTTTCGAGTATGCTTCTCTTTACAGAGTACGGAGTAGTTCGCGGCTCTGTGGGAGTGAGGCTGTGCGTCTTCAGCGATCATGCAGACCAGCACTACACACGGAGTAGCATGGAACTGTTCACAGACATAGCGAATGAGGCAAAGTTGTCAGCATCACTACTCCAGCCCTGCAACGCCATTGGTGTTGGCTGTTAGCTTCGCCCCCATGGATCGCTTATGGTTATCGCCCTACAACCCTGTGGTGCAGAAACATCGAGGACCGGGTATAACCGGTCTGCCGTCCTCCTTTGCACCTTGCACCTGGCACACCTACGTTCAGCACGTTTTATTGGTGCTGACAGTGGCCTGGTGGAAGCTCTACCTCAAGCGATATGCCAGCCTCACTTTCCATTTTGCACTTTCAGCAAGCTAGGCAGTCGCCATTATCGGCTTACATGCTAAGGTAGGTAGGTATGTACGGAGTACGGATACTGGCCACACTTTCGACCATTAGGTCTTCTCGCTGGCGCGTAGCCTGTCTGGGGCAGACTGGCTTGGTCCTGTGTTTCGGCCCAATCTTCTCTTAGTTACGCGGGGTCCAAGATCACTCGACATGCAATTGAAGTCACCAGGAACTTGAACCAAGAATACAAGGTACTAGTAAGGACCAGAAGACCCAAAGTGTGCATGTTCAGTTGAGAACGATCATCTCTAGCAGCGATATATACTGGCCATTCCTGCTACATTCCTACTCATGAAGCCTCTTCTTGTTGCGCATGATCAGCTCTTGGCCTGCGCCATCTATTTTAGCTGACTCTACGCTCCCTGATATTGAGCTTCCTACATGCCATAACATTTGACTGGGAACTCCCACTACAAAAGGCGACCATGGCAGAAGCCAAACCTACTGACTATGCTTCCGAAGCACTGCTTGGCCAGTTCATTCCGCTGGCGAAGGCTGACAAGAGAACGTTTTCGAAGTGGCTTTCACAGCGACATATCTTGTTGCTGCTAGGGTTCACCGGCACCCTTTTTACTCTCACCGTAAACCTCGTCACCACCATCGTCTTCCATTATCAATACGGTACAAACACCATTCCTGGAGACGAGCCAGCTCTGTTTCTCGGCGATTGTTCGGTTGCGAACAGACTTGGCTCAGTCTTGCACGCCGTTATCAATATTCTGTCAACGGTTATGTTGATGGCGTCAAATTTATGCATGCAACTGCTCCTCGCCCCTACCAGGGCTCAGATCGACAATGCACACCAGAAGGGACGATGGGTTGATATCGGAATACCCACTATTCGCAATTTTCGCCACGTTGGGCTTTTCCAAAAGTTGACGTGGCTGTTGCTCGGCCTTTCATCCCTCCCTCTTCACTTCCTGTATGTCCATCTTACCTTACATTGTCTGACCCTAAGCTGAGCTCCTCTCTAGATATAATTCGGCCATCTATAACACGTTGCCGGCCTGGCAAAAGCAGGCATGGCTGGGAACGCCAAAGTTTCTCGAGAATGGTCCATGTAACACGACTGCGACGGAACTACTCCTCCAGCAGAGGAGCAGCCGTACTGTGTTCGCACTCTCACAACCACTTGGAGCTGGTGAGCGGCCTCAAATGCAGGAGCAGATGGTAGGTTGGGACTTTGATGAGACAGAAGCCATTGATAGTGAGGATTGCGCCCGCCAAGAGCGTAGCCTCACACCGTCATATGTTGAATCTCTCTCCAACCTCACTGCTCTCGACTGTTTGACAAGATATAGTCGAACCTTCACGAATGACAGCTATCTTTATATGATTTCAAGCTATGATCTGCTCGAGGACCGAGAAATCGGAAACCAATCAAATGCTTTGCTATCCTTCGGGGTAATCTCACTCAGGGAAACTACTGGCTTCAACACTCCCTCATGGAGGTGTGGCAATACCAATACTTTTGATTGTGAGTACGCTTTCCCTGGGCTTGATCATCTCTGTGGAAGGTCTGGTCAATAAACTATAATACTCACCTTGGATGCTTGTCCAGGCAGAAGGCCCGACCTCTGGGAACGTGACCCGACATTGGTCAAAGATTGGAACGTTCTGATGTACAAAATCGATTACTGTCTGTCGCTTCAGGCAAGTTTGGGTGATCTCTGCTCAGTCAGATATTCCTCAACCTTACTCATAGGTAAGAATTGTGCAGATGTCATACAAAGAGGATGACTGAGTCAAAGGTCCAGTCGTATGCTGTGCGAATCTGGGCAAGGTCATAGGGGTTGCTCTCACAGCTTGGAGCGCTGTGCTGAAGGCCGAGAGGCCAGCGTCTGGCCATCGATTTCCCTTCCCATTCAAATTTCGCCGAAAGACCAGAGAAGAGCTGCCGTTGGCCACAATGGGCGATGTCATTGAATCATTTCTAACCCACCCAGACCCGGAGCGATTCGGTGGGTGTCTGGACGGAAAAGAAAATCTGCTTGATAACCATGGACAACTTAAGAAGAAACAGTCCCCAGGTGCAAGACCATGGAAAAATGCGTACAAAATTACGTGGCTCAGAAAATTCCAAGCTACTCCGTCTGATTCAGAGAAACAACTACAGAGGAGTCGCAGATGGTATCAATCGGCCAGTATTGGACGCTGGTGCTGGACTGTGATTCCGTGAGCAGAGTTCTAATGTGGTACGCGGCAGGCCCGCTGACCTTTGCAGATACATCATAGTCGTGGGTTCCGGCATCTACTTTCTCGTCACGTCTCTCACGACCGTGGCCGGCAGAGCTGGCAGTCGCACATATGCATTCAGTATGACCTGGGGTGCAGCAGACCAGAATGCCCTCGGTCTGCTCAACATGAACATTACCAGTAGGCAGCCTGCGCTCACGAAGAGGGAGCATGTTTCTAACCTTCTTTTTCCAGGATCTAGCCCCACGTTGCGCAACTCCATTATCATGTTCGCGAATATGTGGCATTGGCTTTTATCATTGCTTTATATCCAATGCAACTCCGTCCTGACATGCATGTGCGCCGAGGCCGAATGGCAGAGTTATGCGAGGAAACGAAAGAGCCTCCGTGTGACAACACCTCGAGGACTGCAACGGTCCACATACTTTGTTTCGGTGCCCATGCGTTACGGTCTCGCCTTCCAATTGGCATTTCCCGTGCTTCATTGGACGCTCTCGCAGGGGGTGTTTCTCGTCGTCATCCAAGGCTTTTGGCAAGGCTCTGCCGAATACGAAGGCACGAACAACTTGCCCTTCCTGGCATTCAGCTTCTGGCCAATCTTCACATGTAAGTAAATTGGACATTGGACATGTCCCATCTCACCCTGAGGCTTTCTCTCATTGGGCGCCCCGAGGATCCGTAGCTGACCACTCTCACTCGCCAGCGATCTTGATTGGGATTTCCATCCTGTCTGTGCTGGTGACGGTATCTCTCAAGAGACATGCAAATATCATGCCCATGGGCGCAACCTGCAGCGCTGTCATCAGTGCGGCTTGTCATCCTCCCGCTGAGGATGTCGAGGCACACTTGTTTCCTGTGCAATGGGGACGTGTGCCTCCAAGGGCAAAGTCTTTGGCTAAGCTTGCGGACACCGAGAATCCTTCTGGTTCCGACGAGGTAGACACGACCCTGGCACAGCACCACGTCACATCCAACCCCCCCGAACCACAACACTTGGAGATAACCAGCCAATCTGGGCAATCTCAATCTGTGAAGGGGCACCACTACGAGCTCGTGCCACCGTCAGCCTCCCGCGATGACCAGAACCTTCAGGGAAGCGATATTGATTCGACCGCGGAAGAGCAGCAGCAGCACAGTGGACGCGAAGAGGATGTGCCCCTTATGATGCAAGTATCCCCTTCACAGCGGTCGATGGTTAAACCGCCGAGTTGTACTACGACCGAAATACGCACGCCGGCGCAAGATAACATGCGCCACTACACCTTCACCACATATGCCCACGTCGAGTGCGCCACAAGCGAGGAAAAGTATCCTGACCTCTACCTGAAACACGATTGCGAGTATCACTAGTTTACTGGATGGGGATGGGGCCCCTTAGGCGTGTCCCGAGGAGGTAGAATCCAAGCCAAGCTTCCCGGCCCTGCGCCGGCGCCAGCGCTAGCAAACAGAATTCGAGGCATTGGCCAACGGATGAGGTGTTTTGGTCTTCTTTGCCAGGACCATCACACGTCAGGACCATATCTGTCGTGAGAGGAGTGCTACGTGCATGAAAACGAGGGTGATATTGCACCCTACAGCCACAATAGAATGCCTTGTTAACTCGTCCGCCCTCCAACACGAGGAGCAGCTCCCCTGGCATCGTTCCATTCTACGGATAAGAGGAGCAGCTCTTCTAGCATCATTCCATTCTACAGATAAGGCCATTTTCGAACTGCAGGTTCCCAAAACAACTGATTCAATAAGGATCGCTTTCGCTACTCTCGTTCTGGATCAGCAAACTGCAGGTCAAGCTCTCCAGCCCTGTACAAACTCGTGCAATCGATCAATGACGACTCCAAACACGGCGTTGACACTGTCAGCCAAGACCTGGTCCAGCAAGCGAACAGCCTCTTCCTCGCTCACGTCCAGATGGAACCTTTCCCTCACTTTGCCGACCGCGCCACCAATAGTGCCCATCTGCTCTTCGACCAATCGAATGTCCTGCACCGAGCTTTGCACCATCAAGCTGAACAGATTCAAAACCAAGGAGCTGGACTTGCGCAGCGCCGTGTATGCCGTGAAGCAGTATTGCTTGAACTGGGCATACTGAGGAGAGGTTGTGCCGCCCAGACCTTCCACCATCTCTTTGCACAGCTTGATCAGCGGAGCGAACGGCTTGGGGTCTCGACCGAGGATGAAGCCGAAGTCGATGTGGAAGAAATGCCCGGACGGCTGCAGCAGGAGATTGTCGAGATGGCGATCGCCCACGCCGAGGATGTAGGTGATGACGCAGTATCCGGCGCAAGACCGGATGTACGTGTCCATGGTCTCCTTTCGCACACCCAACGGGCCTGAACTGTCGGGATTGTTGGCCCGTAGATAAGCCAGGACCGAACCTTTGTATTTGGCCGACACGGCCGAAATCGGGGTGGATGGGATGAATTGCACGGCGCCGGCTGACGGCGATGTCGCCAGGATGCGGTACGGAGTGAGTTTGAGATCCAGATTCTCCTTGAGCAAGAGATTGTTCATCAACGTGATGATCTGAATCACCAGCTGATCCTGTCGGAGGTCGTCGCCCGTCTTGAAAATGATGGGGTACTTCCCCTGGGATTGGGATTGGGATTGAGATTGGCCCCTTGGCTGTGTCGATGTCGATGTAGCGGCATTGCTGGGTGAATTGGCCACTTTGAAGTGGATGAGGAGTGGCGACAATGATGATTTGAAAACCCCGGCCTCGTCAGGATAGACTCCGCTCACCTCAATCTCGGGATCGAGCGACAGTGGAATCGGGGGGTCGATTTTGATCAGTTCATTCTTCGGGTCGGCCAGGTATTTCTTCAGAGACTCGATCTTCGACAGGCGGTTAGTCCGGCTGAACCGGATTTCTTTACTGATCCTCGACAGGATCGCAACCATCTCGGCTTGTCTCAACAAGGTTTTACGTTGTTCCGGATCCCGCTTCTCCAGCTCGACCATAAAGTGATATTCCACTCTCGCAAACAACTTCCGATTTGCCGCGTTTGTATCTGGGCCCTCGTCGTCGCACTCCACCATCAGAAACCAGTGCAGATAATTCCCCAGGATGAAATTCTTGGCCGCACGATCGATGAGAAATCTGGCCAACGATGAGGGTGGAAGTCCCTCCTCCTTGATGTCGTATTTTTCAAATTTCAATGCTTGCACCAATTGGAGAAGATATAACAGCAATTCCGCATCGTCAGCTTGTCGGAGACGGTCGACCGCGTAAGCCCGTACTACAGGACTGTCGTATGTTGGCCCAAGCAACTCCAGGGCCGAGTCAATGTCGATTTTGGCCCATCTCGGAATCAGATCAGCCATCTGTCTCACTTCACTCGGGTTGCTCCAGTCGGTGGCCTTGACAACTTTGACCAGTGCCCGTTTGTCGCGACTGAGATAGCGTCGGAAAGTCCAGACAACATCCTTCTCTTGTGGGCTTAGGTCCTGCGTGGGCCCGTAAGAGAGGATTTCGTTGAGTTCGTCTCGTAGTTTAGCGTTGGGTTTCTGATCGGCGTCAGAATATGCATTCCTGTCACTCCGGACTAGCCTGCGGTGTTTCGTCTCGCAAGGGTTTTCTTTCTGGAATTGTTCAGGGTCGAAGATTTGGATGACAGGATAGTCCTCATCATCAACGATTGAATTGCCGGCAGCAATCCCCGGACCGTACCTAACTTCTGGCGGGGGTTTATTGTTGCCAATTGCCGACACAGATGCGGTTGCCTGGAACTCCCGCATCAATTTTGAGGGCTGGTATTCATGATCTTCGAAAACAACTGGAAAGTCCCATCGGGGAAAGTCGACGTAGAGAGTGAACTGCTCTCCGTCGTCCAGCTCGTCATCAGATTCGCTCTCCTCATCTGAATTGTCTGGGGGGTTTGCGGCACCATTTCCTGAGCCAGTGGCATTCTTCTGGGCAGCTTTGCGTTTTGCGATCTTGCGTACAGCGGAGCGCTTTCTAGACGCCTCATCCACCTCCCGTGCTTTCTTGCCGACACTCTGGAAGACCAATTGGTCGAGCCAATCATTCTGCGGAATTTCATTCATTTCGTGTTTTTTGAAAAGCTGTTCCAGCCTCTCAAGCTCCTCCTGCTCAGGAAGAGGAGAGGATGGCTCTTGATTGCGCTTGCGCCGTTTTGGGCGCGGAATATGTGGTGTACTAGATGGTATTTGACCGTCGGCAGCCCGGTTGCGGTAGACCCTGCATTTCTGACGGCCTTTCCTCAGCGCGCCGTCATTGTCGAACAGGGTAATTGTAGTTCCCCCATACGGCACGGTGTGGTCGAGGCTACCATTCGCTGGGCATGCGGAGAGATCCCATACAGTAATGGCAATTTGTGACGAGATTGGGCAGTCCTTGACTAGTACGGGAAGCTCCAGCCATTTGTTCCAAGTTCGACTGTTCTTGAAGAACATATGAGGAGTCTGTATAGACACTCCTAGCGGCTTGGATTCCGCCCATAGCTGTGCCGTCACATAAAGCTCTGAAGTTGAACTCTGGACGGAGCCAACGTGGCGGATCTCAGGGTGTTTGAGCAAGACAGAGTACGGGACCGGTGTCTGCTTGCCCTCCAAGGTGTTTCTGATTGCAAGTCAGCATTGGGTGTCGAAGCACATGAAGTCGGGTGCTCAAAGTACGGCCTCGGTCAGGACCTGGGCTACGGAGATTGGGGACTGGACCGGACCTACATTCTTATATACACAGGGAAGTCTATCTGGCGCGAAGTCGCAAAGGTGTAGGTGTCCATTCTTGGATATCAGAAGAGGACAGAGCCCAGGCTATGCAGCTGGGCACGTATAGTGTCGAGTCGGCGATCATAATATCGAAAACGAAAAAGAAAGAAGCGAGTGTCGGTTGACAAGGCGATGATGCCAGATGCATTAACAGCCTGGCGGTTGATAGGTGAGGAACGTGACCTGGAACAGCGCCTACGACAGTAAACTCCGCACTAGTTTGGTAGAGTGGATAACTACTCCGCCGTATTCTGGGTCTATTCCGTAAGTGCCAGGCTGCGACTGCGACTGAAACGCGTCCGGCTCCGCGCTGACACGTCCAGTCAATCAACGTGCAATCGCATCGCAGCACGAGCCTGAATACACTTTGCCCTGTTTGATAGAGTCACAGAGCCAATCGACCTAGTATCTGTGCTTGCATTCCTCTCTCAGCTCCCCCTACGCGCTGTTCTCCCGGCGCCTTAGCAGGCAATGCCTCGATCATGGCGCGTCTGAACACCCAACCAGCATCTTCCGATACCGAAACCGAAAGCCAGGCGCTCTCCAGTTCTCCCAATCGAGAAAGGCCTCCTCGTCTTGTCTCCGACACTCCTCCATCGCCCACCCAGTCTTCGGATTCTGATAAGGAGAACCGCCGCCAACAGTCCACCAGCAAAGGAAAACGCAAGGTCGCGGTCGGGTCTATGCCAGACCGATCCGCCGCTGCTGCAAGCCAGCACACACCCAAGCGAAGAAGAGTAAGTGGTGAAGACGCCAGCCAGACGCAGAAACAGTTCTACGACCCGGAGCAAAACCCCGAAGAACGCAGACTTGTGCGTAAAGGTCTACGCAGCCTTTTCGCCAGACTCAACGATTCCAAGACCGAGTACCTACAGCCGGATTCCAAAGGGCTTGAAGAAACTCTCCGCGAGGCAGATGAGCTGTACAAGAATGTCAAGCAGACCTCGGAAGCGACAATAGACTCGCGGTTGCTGGTGGAGACAGCCGACTTATCGTATAGAAAGATCAACAACCTGACTCTCGGAGATGGGAGCACGGGCATTGACGTGGACGACTTCATCACGAAATGTATTGGATTTATGAAACGTGGCGATGAGCCCGGTTATCAAAGCGCAACTCAACAAGACCGAAATGAGCTGCAGAGCACCCAGACCCATACCCAGACCCAGCGGAGACGGCGGCGTCCTGCGCCGGATCTGGAAGAGGGCGAGGATGAGGGCGACACTCTCAACTGGAGCTATCTCGGTCGGAACGCCTGTTTTCTTTACAACGCGCGGCCATGCTTGACGGGTTTTCTGCTGGGTCCGTTGTCAGTGCAGAAGAAAAAAAGACAACAGACGCAGCGGAAAGCGCGTGAGGCCCGGACGGATACGTCGCAGGTCGTGCGGCCCGTTCAGCTGGGTGACGAGGATCTCGAGAAACAAGAATCGGCGAACCTGACCGTGATATGCACGGAGATCGCGCGGCTCTTGCAGACTGCTCAAGATACCGGCATGAAGAACGTGGAGAGAGAGTACGACGAACAAGATGACGATGCAGACTTGACGGAAGACCAGGTGCGAGAGATCCTACAACGGCACGGGATGGCGGATAACGGATGCGTGCCGCTGTTCAACTTCTGCGTCAACCCGCGATCGTTTGGCCAAACCATGGAGAATCTGTTCTACGTCAGCTTCCTGATCAAAGAGGGCAAGGTCGGGCTCGACTTCGACTCCCATGGCCTGCCGACTCTGGGCATTGCCGCCTCACGGAGCGTAGCTGAACGGCAAGAAACGCAGAAGAACCAGGCAGTCTTCACGCTTGACTTTGCTGTCTGGGAGGACATCGTCAAGACCTTCGGCATCCAGAAAAGCGTCATTCCGCACCGCAAAGATGAGAAGTACGACGACGGCATTCTCGATGTCGACGGTGACGGTGACGGTGACGGTGACGGTGACGGTGACGGTGACGGTGACGGTGATGTGGATGTTGGTCGCATGGACCAGCTCGACCACCGTGAACGTGGGCAGGTAGGAGGAGGACATTATGAAGACACCGAAGTCTCGGACGCCTATTCTTAATCCATTGCCGAAAGAAGCATTGTCCATGGGCTACAGTGTACGGATATTGTGTTCATAACGATGATGCGACTTAGCTACTTCTGGCTTTTGTTGTGTGAAGCAAAGCGCCCGTGTACGGAGTACCATGGTGCCATGTACCATTTTTGGTCTGAGTGAATGAGAGAAGGATAGGAAATCATGTCATTGCAGTCTTGATCTTGGGTTGGGCTCTCGACGCCCGCTGTTTCGTTTCCGACATAACCTACCTATACTGAGTAATTGTGTCCTTCTGCGCGATTCGATCCGAATCGTCTTTCTCGCGGCGTGACCGTGGCTGTTGACAGAGAGGAAAATCCCTACGGAATACGTGATAGCGCGTCTGAAGCAACTGCAACCGTACCTTAATTGGGCATTTAGAGTCGGCGGTACAAAGTTACGACAAATTGCCCTTCTCCTTATACTCCGCTGGTCACATACTGTCTCCTCCGTACTATCCTATCTACCTTACTACACGTTATTGCCGGATATAGACGACTGACGGCGTGGGAATTATGGGAATGTAATGAGGCATTGTTGCAACGTTTGAGAATTCGGAATGTAATTGAGTGAGTAAAAGGTACGTACGTCCCTGCTAGGAGAAAGCCGATGAGAAATATGCCTGAGCAGACATGTACCTTGAAGCTCCGCGCCATGCAAATAAAATGGTTCAATAGACCGCTCCAAAAAGTGCCTTTCTCTCAAATCACCTGGCTTCAGCGTTTATTGCCCGGGGCAGTCACTGAGACCTGGGGCAGTAGGATAGAACCAAGCAGCCACCGCAATAATGATATACAGAGACATCAACAAGACCCCCTCCAACCAATGAGATTTCCCATCTTGAATCAAGTAATTGACCAGCAAGACCGCCACGAACAAGACGGCGATTTGGAAGCCGTCAAAGAACAAGGTCATATCGTCTTTGCCAATAATCCAGCCCAGGACCACGACGAAGGGCAAAACCAGAAGGGCAATTTGCATGCTGGATCCCACAGCGACGCCAATGGCCAAATCCATCTTGTCCTTGACTGCCACGGTGACTGCAGTGGCGTGCTCGGCAGCGTTTCCGACAATTGGTAATAGGATGAGACCGACAAAATTCTTGGAAATGCCGCCCCCACAAGTGATCGAGTCAATAGAGTCGACGAGGTACTCGGCATTCAACGCCACCAGCACAGTTGAGATGGCCAGAGTGAGAAGTGCCACCGTGATGGAGAGCTGGGGCTCCTCTGGTCCGTCATCGACCGGCTCGGGGACGGCGGCGTCTCGTTCCTCGGGTGTTCTGCGGCGCAGCTTTTCAGGGATGACGGCGTTCTTGAACCTCGAACCGACGTCTCGAGTCTCGTTCTTTTCACTTGGTTTGTTATACATCTTTGCGTGACTCTTGAGTTGGAAGAAGAGGTAGCAGCCGTAGACGATCAGCAGAAGGATGGCGGTTCCTCTGCTCAAAGCCGCGACACCTGGTTTGGGGGTTGTACTGTCGGTAGTGCTGGAGGTGGTCCCTGTTCTTGCCCACTGCTCGAATGCCGTAGGAATGATCAAGCTACTAACAGCCAGGAAGAGGAGACTGGAGGCTGTCTGAGCGACAGTCATATTGAAGGCCTGCTCAACGCGGTTGATTCCACCGAAGAAAAAGCACATGCCCATGACTAGCAGGAGATTGGACAGCATGCTGCCAATGAGAGAAGTCTGGACGATCAAAACCTGGTTCTTGACCAGGGCGATGATTGACACGATCAGCTCGACGGCGTTACCAAATGATGCATTGAGCAAACCACCAATGACTTCTCCGGTTCGAAGGGCAATTTCTTCGGTGGCGTAGCTCAGCATAGCTGCCAAAGGGATGATGGCGATGAAGTTGATAATGAATACTGCCACCTTATTGATACCGGCGTAGTAGACGGCGATGCCGAGTGGAGAGAAGACGAGAAGGACATTGATCCATGAATTGAACAGGGTGGCATGGATCTGGCTCGAGGCAGTGAATTGCTTCTTTACCTTGCCATTGTCGTGGTCCACTTCTTCGCTCTTTTTGCTAAACAGCTTCCGCAACCCCTTTTTTTCCTGTTTCTCGCCGGTAGCGCGATTGCGAACTGGGTTGCTGTCGTGCGAGGTGACACGGGTGCCATTTATGAAAGTGTCACTACTCTTTCCGTCCTCGAGTCTCTCATGGTCAGGCTCCTCTTGTATCGCTGATGCCGGGCTGGTGGAGCGGGGGATATTCAGGGCGTCGCCTGGAGGGTAAGATCGCGTAGCTGATGTGGCACTGGGGTCAGTCGTAGCATGCCGCGCCGATAAGTTTGCACCGTTTTCATGACTTCGATCTGCTACTGGAGTTGACAGTCTGTAGTCGTTTGGGTCATCTGTAAGAATCGGCCTCAACGGAGGGCCAGCGCCCTCGCCCTCGCCCTCGCCCACTCCCGCGCCTTGACCATTCTCCAGCTTGTTCAGTGTGTTGCTACGAGAATCGGGTCGCCATTTCGCAAAGGGATTCCTGATTCGAAAGTTCGAAGCGTCGTTTGGGCTGTCATACCAGGCGGCATACTTCGCCTGGCGACGATATTTGTCTGAGAGACAGTTAGAGCATGAGACACGTACCAGAAACAGGAACACATACGCATGTTATGAGCGACGGGGGTTTCCCTTCAGGCGTCAAGAATTTGGGGTATCAGAGCGCGTCGAGGAAAGGGCTTCTGAGGTCGAATATAAAAAGCAATAAAAGCAACCAAGGGATGTTTCAGGTGATTTGGTTATGAAGGAAGAGGCGGTGGGAGGAGTGACGGGTTGCACGGGGACCAATGCGAAGAGGACAATGACCACATAGATGATACTGTAGCTTCAGACCGAGGAGAGTGACGGGTGAATGAGGACAAGATCAAGGCATTCCGAGGAGGGCTGTGTCTGTCGACGGGGACTGTACGGAGTACGGATACGGGATATTAGACGATGAGATCAAACAGGATTGTCTGTCTCTCTTGGCTTGGATTTAGGGCGCGCAGGGGATTTTGGAGGCGTCTAGGAGGCGTTTGCATGGATGAGTTTGTAGGAATCTGTTGGTTGTTGACATTCGAGTGCCGGGGGTGCGGGTGTGGGCTCCGTTCAACCTCAAGGAATGGACAGGGGGGCGGTGCTGAAGGGGTTGGGCCGACTTGGTTTCACGTTTCAGGCGCGGGCATGACGACATCGATTTCGCGTAGCTGGTTTAGGCATGGAATACGGAGCACTAGTAGTGATGATTAGCTTAGTAGGCACCCAGTCAGCTAGCCAGTGGGTAGGGCATTTTACTTCTTGGGCCGCCACCAGCCAACGCACAGCTGCAGCCGTGGCAGTGCGAGGGGACTGTCGAATATGTCGCCGTAATATTAAATGCTTATTTGGTCAATACTTGGCAACGTTCTTGGCAATGCTTCGACCGAGAACAATGTGGATGGATATATATTGGACACCCCAAAATCTCTTCAACAACAACAACACAACAATCGTCGTCTTAGCTCAGCTGTTAGTGTCCTCAGTCCATAACATCTTTCAACTCAAACTAACAGATCATAGGGGAGAGCGTCGTAAGTTATAACACACAAATTGTGTCCGAAGCACATACTAACTCTGGTTCAGAGACTGAAGTTACCACTCCAGTCAACAAATCTGAAGGTCATGTGTTCGATCCACATAGACGACAATCTTTTTTTTCAACTTTTGGTGGGAAAGGATTCTTTTCCTTGCTGCTTTTTTTTGGGGAGGACCTCAGCCAAGCATCACGCCATCGCCATTGGTTGAGGCGCTAGGTCATTTATGTCCACTCTATATTGCCGTTGTCGTTGCATCAGAGAGTCTTGGACGATTTGCTTGAGCATGCTTGGACTGTCTTGGACTTTTCCTGTCAGGCCAATCCTCCTGCTCCAGATGTCCACTGCGGATCCTGCTTGAAGCTTGAATCGTGACGGCAGCAATCTGCCAAGTGCCTTCAGCTCACATCTCCCAAATGGCAGGCAGCTAGCAGATTCTGGCACAGCTGGCATCCCAGCCATGACATGAGAGCGCCACAACAAGCCACGATACGGAGTACTGACCCAGCCACAATTCACCATCCACAATCCGGGAGGATCAGGGGCTAAGGGGCTCGCCGCTCGACTGCGCCCTGTTCTGGTGGATCAGATGTTAGACGTATGGCACCGCAGTCACCAGGAGAATCCAATATCAAAGCACGCTCTGTATCAGCCACTTCGGTCCTTCAAGTTGCCTGTCTGCCTCACAGAGAGATACCCACGAGATGCAAAGATTAATCGCTCATGATCGGGTCTGCGATTAGTACCCATTCCTTAGTACTCAAGCTGTTCAAGTTGACTCTCTCTGCCTGACTAAGCGCCAAGGCTTGCCGCAGAAAGGGGGCTCAACCGCATTTTCTAGGACTATTATGGGAGATCAAATATTGACTAAATGCTACACTACACTGGTGTTGTCCGTGTTGCCATAGTCAAGTACAGACTACGGAGTAGTGCTGTCCGTCCCTCGCAGGCCTTCCATTCAGCCACAGATCGACTGTCTGCTATATTCACGGCCTTAACGACCGGGCACATAGAGTCGTGATTTCCGAGTTGAAACTCGAAGCCATGACAACTGCGATCTGTCGTCGTCTGGGACTGGCTCAAACCCGGCGCCTGGGGCAAGGATTCCTGACGGCTGAGCCTGCTCATTCTGTATCGCTGATGTCGCACTGTTTTCCAAGATGCTTAAACCCGTGACAGCTGAGAGTCTTCTCCCCAGCTTGACTCGAATCTGGCATAATGGCTTATCAAAAGAAGCCCTTCATGGACCGGCGCGAATAGGTGGGCTTCACACGATCCTCCAGATTTCGAAGCTTACGCAAACTCAGGCGTTTGTGTCAGTGGTGGCCCGGACTCTATGGCGTTGGCATATCTCCTGAAGCAGATTCCCAAGGCCGACCTCCGCTTGCGCCTAGAACCTCTTGCTTTCATAGTAAACCACAATGCTCGGACGAAAAGTCGCAAGGAGGCGCAATTTGTCGCACGTTACCTGGAGAAATTGGGTAAGCCTTGGTGGATCGAGGACGAACTTGATCCGATACTGACAATCACAAGACATCCAACCCGTAGTTCTCAATATGGACTGGGGCAAAATCCCAGACCCAGCAAGCTTGCCGGATTTTGAGATGCAGGCTCGAAAAGCACGATATCAATTGATCGCTACAGCAGCCATACGAAGGAATATTCACCACCTGTTTTTGGGTCATCACCAGGATGACCAAGTCGAGACAATTCTAATGCGATTGATCCGAAACCCAAATACCTCATTTTTGGGACTCCAGGGTATGTCTGCGCACAGCGCGATACCATGTTGTGAAGCCATCCGAGGCGCACATGAGATGGAACGGTACGAACGGTGGCCAGATTGGCTTCGTCAATTTGACGATACCATGCCGGAAGAGGTGGAAGACAACGATGCAATCAACCTTGGAAAGCAAGTAACGGTGTCGCGACCAGGTGGTCTCCAAATTCACCGTCCACTGCTCGAATTCCCTAAAAAGCGCCTCGTCCAAACCTGCCAACATAACGGCATTATTTATCAAAATGACAAGACTAATGACGACCCAACACTGACACTACGGAACGCCATTCGGCGACTGAGAACGAACCATCATGGCTCAGGCTATGATAAGCGTCTTCCGAGAGCACTGCAGGCACAGTCAATTCTACAGATCGGTCATCGGGCACGCAACTCGACGTCTTCTCTGGTCGAGCGAGGGGGCGAAATTCTCAGGAAGATCAGAGTGCAAAGCTTCGATCTCCGGTCCGGGTTGATGACCATAGCTGTCTCCAAGACTTTTGTTGCTGCCTGCGAGGACGATGTTGAAGCCGGTGCAAATGCCCTGGCGAGGCTGACAAGCGTTGTCAGCTACCAGTCGAGGGACGACGTGCCGACGCTTGTGCCACAGGCCCGCCTCATGGAGTTCTTGGATGCAATGCGATCTTCTGACGCGACGTTTCTGACTATTCAGAAGGTGTTGCTCGAGAAGTTACAAGTTGACAGATCGGGTATTGATCATGATCGAGTTGCGTGGAGGTTGTCGAGGCCACCAATGCGTTCCTCTGAGGCCAAGCTCGCTCATCAAAACTTCCCTCTGAATAGTCCATGGACCAAAACCAGTCTCAGCTCGAACTCGACATGCCATCCCAACGTAGACTCCAGCAGCGGGGTGTGGTCGGACTGGGTTCTGTGGGACCATCGATACTGGATGCGTGTGAGGGCACAAGACCCCTCAAGCCTTTCTGAGATCTGTGTACGCCCATATCAGGAGTCCGACGCACCATACGTGGTCGAGACCCTGAAGAAAGACTCGGTCGAGTTCCACGACACACTGGCGAAGGCGGCGCCAGGCAAGCTAAGGTATACACTGCCAGTCCTGACTTACCAGGGCAGAATCTCTGTCTTTCCGACATTGAACATATCAATTCCCAAGTCGCGGTCGCAGCAAAGTGGGCCGACCGTCGCTCAGCACCCAATACGTGAGTGGGAGGTCTCATACAAAGCCATGGACCAGCCCTTTATCCAAGAGCAAGCGAAAACAATCGAATGGAGGAATGCACTGGTGAAAAGGCGCCGAGGAGCCTAGGATAAGGGGACCTCTTACTCATCACCAGGAGAACGTCGGTACTGTGTACTCCGTACTGCACAATAATGATGTTCCCGAGTGTTGTCCGGGACCCATCTCCACCGGCTCCAATTGAATGACACCTTTTGTGTGTGAACAATTTAGTTCCCCGCATTGGGGCTCCACGAGTATGAGGAGGGACGTGGAGTTACTGGGACCCGCCTCGGTCGATAGCCGGGGGTTTGGCGTACCTACGGCTATATAGAATCGACCTGTCATTGCCGGTATGGCCGGATCGTCTCCTTCCAACTTGTGCAAGATAGGCGGGAAAAATGGCTAGCCAAACAGTTCCAGAGGCTTTGACGGCACCGACGCAGACATTTGACGATGCACCGCCGTTTCCCGAGGATGTGCCTACCGCGCCACTCCTCCGGCTCTCCCTGGCCAGATTGCTTGACCGCGATACCCAAGAGATCGACCGCTTCGTCCGAGCCTGCGAAGACCTCGGCTTTTTCTACCTCGACTTGACCGGTCCAGGAGACTCGTTGCTGGCCGATGCAGACCAGCTGTTCGAGGTGGGCAGCGAGTTATTTGAACTGCCGCTTGAGGAAAAGAGAAAGTACGACTTTATGCACAAGAACTCGTACTTCGGCTACAAAGGCTACGGCGCGAATGTTGTCGACCGAAGTGGGAACCTGGACCGCAATGAGTTCTACAACGTGTGTTCAGTTCCTCGGTTGAGACGTGCAGTGGCCCAATCGCTGACAGAGGACCGCAGGTATCAAAGGATGACATCCTGGGCATATCGGACCCATGGCCTGCTCCTGGAGTGCTCGATGCGAGGCGTCCGTTGTTGAAGTCATTCATCAGCTCAGCCCACGGCATTGTCACTCTAGTGCTGGAACTGCTCAATGACCACCTGAAGCTGCCGCCCAAGACGCTACAAGACATGCATCGCCTCGAAGGCCACTCTGGCGACCAAGTCCGATTCATCAAAGCACCACCGCAGCCCAGGGATGATCGAAGAACCGCACTGGGTGAACACACCGATTTCGGGAGTGTGACGGTCCTGTTCAACCGCTTGGGCGGCTTGCAGGTGCTTCCGCCGGGCCGGGATGCGCAATGGTGCTACGTGAAGCCGCTGCCCAACCATGCCATCATCAATCTGGGCGACGCCATGGTCAAGTTCACAAACGGCCTTCTGCGATCCAACATCCATCGTGTGGTGGCCCCGCCCGGCCAACAGGCCGATCGTACCCGATATTCGCTCGTCTACTTCAATCGACCGGAAGACGACGTGCTGCTCAAGAGACTGGATGCCAGTGACTTGATTCCGCCGCTGGACGCAGACGAGGTGGAAGAAGAGATCAATAGCAAAGATTGGATCATCAGACGTGCTCTGGGCCATCGCATCGCGATTTTCGGCAAGGAGGCCTTTGACTATGACAGAATCAAGGGCACCGAAGACAAGAGCCAGCGTGCTTACCTTTGAGACCAGACCAGACCAGACCAGACCAGACCAGACCAGACCACAGCACGCTTGATGGCATCGCCCCGTTCCAAAGGCTGATCCCAGTCCTGTCCATATTGGTATTGTACAGAATAACATACTACATATTGATTCACACTCGAAACTGGCTGTATAGTAATTGTCCCATCGTTGTCGGTTCCTCTTGTGCCGCTAAGCTTGACCGGCATGAGACGCCGCAATGAAGCCGCCTATCATGGCCGGGCCGATGGTTGCCCCCGGCCCGGGATACCGGCGACCAAACAGGGTCGCCGTCGTGTTTCCCGCTGCATACAGCCCAGGAATCGGCTTGCCACCCTGGCCCAGCACTCGCCAATGCTCGTCCACCCGGAGACCACCTTTGGTGCCAACATCACCCACGTACAAGCGGACTGCGTAGAAGGGCGGCTTCTCGATCTTCCCTAGACAGTTGTTTGGCTGGTGGGTCGGGTCGGCGTAGTATCGGTCATACGGGTTCTCTCCTCGGTGGAAGTCTTCGTCGATGCCGGAAACGGCAAATTCGTCGAAGCGCCACTGTTGCCCGGAGCTGGGCAGCGTTGACCTCACATTTGTTGGCCAGTTCGACGAGAGAATCGGCCTTGACCATGAAGTCTTCCTGGAAGTACCGCTTGGGCGTGAACCCTGGGAGCGCGTTGCCGAAGGCGTATTTTTTCCGGTGCGACGAGTCGAAGATCAACCAGCAGGGATCGTGCCCGAGATCGGTCATGTCGTTGGCTACATCCTGGTAAGAGCCGGCTTCGTTGGTGAAGCGCTTCCCTGCCTTGTTGACCATGATGCTGTGTGGCGACGCTCTCTCCCAGACATTGAAGACGGGGGTTTCGCCCGGTGGAAACATGATCGGGATGCCCCAGCGTCCGCCCAGGAGAGCGACCTGGGCACCCACGCTTTCTCCCAGTTGAAGCCCGGCGCCTTGGTCGTCGGGATTGGCCATGGCGAACCTGGATGATGCTTGACCGTATCGTTTGCGAAGAGCGTCATTACGCGCAAATCCCCCGAGCGCGAGCAACACGCCACGCGTGGCTTGGATCCGCAGCGGTCGACCGCTTTCCCCATGGAGTACGGTGACCCCGACCACCCTTCCCTGCTCCGTGATCAGCCCGGTCACGGGCGTGCTCCTCCATATTGCCACTCCGAGTCCCTGCAGAACGTACAGCAGTTGAGAAGAAATCGCCATACCCATGGAAGCGAGCCTGGCCCCTCGAAGTCTCGCCCAAAGTATACGTGTGGCCACTCTGACCAGCGTGGTGAAACCTCTACGTGTGCGGGTAGCGTTGAGCATCTTCGCGTTTTCGTCTAGATACGCCGGGAGCTCGGGGTGATGAGGCCGCACGCGCATGCTGTCTCTCCAGGGTCCCAGTTTGTTGAGATCGAAGATTTCGCCTGACAGGTGTCGTCCAATGCGAGACCCTTCGTCCCTGTGGTAGTCGGGAAAGTCTTGGGCCATGTACCAACGGAAGCCGCTTTCCCGGAATTCCTTGACCATCTCAGCGCCGGCCCTCACGTACGCCTGTCGCCTCGCCACCGTGCTCTCCGGGGTCGGCTCCCCGACCACGTTCAGGAGGTAGGTCATGGCCGCTTCCGTTGAGTCTTCCATGCCGCCTTCCAGCATAAGAGGATTGTTGGGGACCCAGACCCCGCCGGCAGAGTAGGCCGTCGTCCCACCCCACAGCTTGGAGCCTTCGACCACGAGTGGCACCAATCCGAGGCGTGACGCTTTCAAAGCGGCAGAGAGCCCGGCGGCGCCGCTTCCTGCAACCAGAAAATCGACCTTGATATCCCAGTCGAGAGCCGCGGTCTTAGAGATATCAGGCTCAGTTGGAGTGACCTGAGTCGAGTCATTGGCACATGAAACATGCTTCGGATCTCGAGTACTTCACACACATCTGCATGGTAGCTCCTGCAGACTGAAAATGGTCTCGAGGCGCAAATTCGCTGCGAATACCTGGTGTTTACCCTGGTGTAGAGCGACCTGGCATGACGACCCTAGCATCAACTACGGTTAGTCACAGTAGTCTGTTCGATATCGTCAACTTACAGGTGATGAGATCAGCCTCCCTTGCGAGCGAAAAGCCGAGTTGAGCATTGGACGACTTTTTGGATGTATGGCTTCGCTCACCTCAACTAATCGCCCAGGGCTGAGCATATCTCACCCCTTCTCTCACTGGGGGAAAGCAGAGCATGACAACAGGTCAAGTTCGATCCCAGGTACTTACTAAAGATCAACATCCAGGGTCATGTAGAGGTTAGGCCGGAGCTTCTGCGTGCATCTCTTCCGGGCTCCGGTATTAGGGGGAAAGATCTATCCCAATCCGGAGCCGGGGAAGGACTGGGCGGAACGATCTCGTTTGAGTCTTCCCATTGGCTCTTGAGAGAGTCCTCACATGAAGCCCTTGGTGTGATGGAGGGCAGCTTGTCAAAGGCTTACTCCGGACGAGATGGCGCCCTGAGTGCGGTTGACTATATGCTTGCTGACTCGTCACTCCAAGCACACCTGGAGAGCATTCACCGTTCGAGCCCGAGAAGGCCAAAAGGCCGTGCCTGGACAGCAGACAGTGTGGTTGAAGGCACCCATTATTTTCAGGAGTCTACGATTTTCTGGTTGTGTCTGGAGAAAGACAATCCTGCTCCTCATGTTGCCATGTGAGGTTGACAAACAGGGCACTTTGAAAGCGGCGCAGACAAGTTCCCAAATATGGTATAGCGTTTCCGCCCACGGTGGGCATTTTTCACAGATATTTTTGCCGGCACCCCAGGACAATTCGTTATTTAGGCTTGATGCCCTGCTCCTGTTATTGTTCTCGCTCTTTGAGTTGTTGAGGTCGACATTATTTGCCATATACCCTGTGCCAATTGACTCAGCCCCTGCTTTAATGATCTGTCGAACCATCTACTTCCGTGGCCATGCTAGCCCCGCCACATCGTCGGCCTGCCTTGCCGACAACCATCTCTATGCCTTCTCTGCCCATCAAAGCGGTCAGACCTCAAACGACGCAACGAAGATCGACGCTCAAGCGTTCAGTCGATGAGACCGGCTTCATGGACACCCCTTCAAGTCCCACCAAACGGTCCCGAGTTACCTTCGACTCCGATGTAGAGATTGTCTCGGCCGATGACGACGAAGACCTGGATCCTCTCGTTGTCAAGGAACAAGTGCGCAGAGCCATCGAGCGACACCGTTTCAGAGAAGACGAAGCCTACGAGCGAATCAAGGGTTATTTTACCACGTCACACGAGAAGACGAATGCTCCTTCCACCAAAGCCCTCCGGATACACCTGCAGGCCCTCCTAGCCAATATAACTGCACTCACAAAAGACTGCAGCGGTATGGTCAATTCTATTCTACACAGTGAATGGATTGGAAGAGACGAGGCATATTATGCTCTGTTCGTACGGTTCCTCAACAACCTGGCCGCTGCACAGCGAGGGTATCAGCACAAGATTATGGCAATCTTGGTAGAATTGCTTGGGCCCCAAAAGACCAGGCGGATCGCGGGGTCAAAACCAGTCAGGCAACAGACTATACATCGAAGAGCCTTGCAAGCCATTCAACACATCACTGTCAACGTGCCCTCCTCACCCTCGGCACTCGCCGATCGAGTCTCTTCCCGGCTAGAGTTTGACTTCCAAAAGTCGGAGGAGCGAATGACTTACATCAGAAATTTCATGGAAATGATCAAATATGTCCCTGAGCTCACCTCCGAAATCTTGACCTGCGTACTGAGGGAACTCATCAAGCTCGACGTGTCTGTCCAAGTTGACCTGGACGAAGAAGAGGATGACGCTGAAGACGACATATTGAACCACATGTCGTCTTCTCAGACATTGGTTCCATCTCAGGATATGTTGAAGGGCGACCTGGATAGGGAAGATAACGATGACGTGAGCACGACCGATGATTCCGATATTGACGAAGAAGAAGATGTCGACCCTGCCACGGCTCGTCGGCAGAAGTTGAAGGACGACATCAAGCAAGTCGACCTGATCATGGATATCCTTTTCCAATACTACGCCAAATTGACCACGTCTACGATTCTTCAAGATCGGGATACTGCTGTGGAACAACTCATCTCGCAATTCCACACCCATATCCTGCCGACCTATCGCGCTCGTCATCCACAATTCCTTGTTTTTCATTTTGCTCAATCAGATCCTATTATCGTCGATCGCTTCGTCACTTCTTGTGTGGCCGTCCTCGTCGACAAAAGGCAACCACATCTACTTCGCCACAGCGCCGCAGCGTATTTCTCCGGCTTCGTTGGCCGTGGCGCCCACGTCTCTCCACAGGTCGTCCAAGACTGTCTGAATTTACTCTGCGACCACCTGACCATCCTCCGCAGGTCGTACGAACCTGGATGCCGTGGACCTGACTTGAAACGGTACGGTGACTTTTACGCAGCCTTTCAAGCGATTCTTTACATATTCTGCTTCCGTTGGAGGGACATCGCGTCTGCCAGTTCCGATGATGACTCGGATTTCGATGTCGACGAAGAAGAGGTGGAGACCTACCATTTCCCTGAGTCTCTACGAGAGGCGCTTCGGGCGGCAATCTATTCACCGCTCAACCCGCTGCGTGTCTGCACACCCGTTATCGTCGAGCAATTTGCAAAGCTCACCCATGCCTTGCAGCTCTTTTACGTCTATCCCAAGCTTGAAGAAAATAGACGCGTGCGTGTGACCGGCCATTGGCGCAACGTGACAGACTTAGACATGAGCAATCCCGATCGTGATCTGAGTTGGGTGGGAGATAATGGCATGCTAGAGGGTTATTTCCCTTACGATCCCTACCACCTTCCTATCAGCAAGCATTGGATCGAGGGTGACTACGTGGAATGGAAGGGGATCCCTGGGGAAGAACCAGACGATACGGATTCGGAAGAAGATACCGTTATGGATTTTGGCGACCTCGACCGGGACGACCATGAGGCGAGTGTTGAGCTTATTGGCGACGAATCTGACGAGGAATGACTTCTCTTTTTAAGGCCGGGTGTTCGGGTCTGTTCAGCTGCGGTGCCAGGGCTTATGCTGTTGATTCTTGGTGCGTTCAAGCGAGGGTCGGGAAAAAGTTTGCATACAAAAGCGGAGGACATCTAGAATAGAAATGATGCTGGAATGACTGCATGAATGGGCATGATGAGTCCGAGGAAACGAGATATTCTAGCATTGACGCTTTTAGTAGCAATGAGATATCAATTGATACGACAGACTAGGTGCTGTAATAAATTCATGCTGCGTCAAGAGGACGGGTCCTTTTCCCAGTCTTCCTCAACAAAGTGGTGTCCCATACATCGACACACGACAGTGGAAATCCGTCTTCCCCCGCCGGTGTCCGCCTCGAGTGCAGTCTACAGCTTCTTCTCGGCGGCCAGCTTTGCAAATCTCGCCTTTGTCCTCTCGGCAACGGCCTTCTCATCAAAGACATATGTCACGCTGGGTTGCTGCACGACCCGGGAGGCCCAGGCCTTGAACTTGGGCGCCCGTTCATCAAGCAGAGGGCCGATCTTCGGGCTCAGGAGTGCGTACTCGGGCTTGATGAACGACAAAAGCCGAATGAGGAAGGGGCCGGTTTGGACCTACAAGTCGTGGGTTTGATTAGTGTGGAAGGAGTGTGAGCAGGCGTTGACAGCAGAAAATATCATATATCATTTCCAAAGAGAGGGGATCCCCGGAACTTCTTCCGGACACCTCCACGGCAGGCGGGTCAAAAGACAAAGAAATAGATGTTTCAAAGACTTACCTCGGCGAGAGTCAAATGGTTGGTGCCTCCAAAGAACGGCCCTTTCCCAGTATCCCAGGTGAACAGGGGCTCTACTTCCTTGACGACAGCGCGGACTAGCTCTTCCCCAGCGGCGTCCCTGTCGGAATCGTCCTGGGCGCGCTGGGAGGCGAAAATGTGCGGCAAGACTTTGGAGATGAATGCATCGACGAAGAAGGCGACTCGGGCCCGGAACAGGGCGCTGGACACGGACGTCGTCGAAGGAAGGAGATGGGCTGGGTGGGCGTCGGCCAAAAACTGCGTGACAACAGCCGACTCGGTGACGATGTGGCCGTCGTATCTGATGCTAGGGACGAGGCCGCGCTGCAGGATGAGAAAGCGAAGGTAGTCAGTATTCAGTCTGAAGGGGACAAAAAGAAGGCCATTGCCGAAGGGGGGAGAATGCGGCTTGACTTTGCAGGAAGATCGGATGGGCATCCGTTTCTCATGGAACCCTGGGCCCTAGACTGTAGACCCAAATCTCCTCCACGGATAGGTAGGAAGGCCCAGGGACAAGTCAAGCAGGTGGGGATCAGGGTCTGATAAGGGAATCCAACGTACTGGGTTGACCTTCAAGTACCAGGGTTCACGGGGCTTGTCTAGATCAATGATCTCTTCCCTGTAGGCAAGACCAAGCTCTCTCAAAGCGATGTGGGCTCGGTGCGCCCATGGACATCCGTGGTTGGTGTATAGAACGATGTCGGGTCTCGAGCCGCCATTGCTGGGAGCGGTACCGTTTGAAACCATGGTGTAATAGGACGGATGGTGGCGTGTTGATCGATACCTATGATGCCGTGCTGAGTGATAAAGGTGATGTTATAGTGATGTGATGTTCGTATGCCGAGACAGGATCATAAGTACTCTGTCCTAGGAGTATATCACTGAGGGGTGGGTTCGGTGTTGGATTGTGTTATATTCTCCAAATATTGCGACTGCTAATTTGTCATCCAGCCCACCAACCACGAACCGCTTCGGTGTTGGCTGTTGAATCCAGCCCGCTTTGGATACGGACCAAAAGAGACAATTTGGGCCTAGCGAACCGGGGAGATGGATATTAGAGTCGCTCTGAGCGGGAACGTCAATTTCATCGAATGCTGGATATTGGATAGCAGTCCTGTTGGATAGTGCTCGTGTCCCACTGCCGTTCTTCACTGGCGTAGCTACATACTCCACCGTAGTTCCTGATAGCCCCCGATAAGGCTAGATCATGATCTTTTCTACTATGCTGAAAGCAGTAGGCGGTGTAGATGCTGGAAGGATTTCTGCGGAGTTTCTTGCAAAATACTGTGTCTGTGTAGTTCACGACTCCCTCACTCTCACTTCCTCATCGGCGCCTTCATCACTCCCTCCAAGAGCCTTGACTCGGGTGAAATCTTTTAACTTTTTTCTATCCTGATCAATTCGTCCATCCCGACGCACAACCCGCCAAAATGCGGGCCAAACGCAGCAAAAAGTATCGGAAGATCATGTCTTCTTACCAGATGACCTTCTCCTTTCACGAACCATATCAAGTCCTGCTCGACTCGCATTTTCTGAAGGCTTGCCATCATTTCCACATGCCGCTAAAAAAGTACCTGGACAATACACTTCACGGAGAGTGCCGACTGTTTGTGACGAAATGCACCCTGGCGAAAATCATGGGGGACTGGGAGAAGCAGAAACCGGGGGAGAAGGGAAAAGAAGGAGGCAAAACACTGAGATGGCCAGGACGACCAGACTTCCTCCCTCCGCCCACAGAAATCCCATTGCGGTATTGCAAGCATAAAAACGACGAGGGCGAGGAGTTGGGAATTGTCAGCGAAGGACGGTGTCTGCTGGACCTGCTGGCGGGCCAGACACACGGAAATGAGCAAGCAAAGAATAAGCAACATTACATCCTGGCCACGGCCGATGCGGATGAGAGGGAGGCAAAATCCAAGGGATTCTTGGACGTGCGAGAACGCGCAAGGTTGATACCCGGTGTTCCGATTGTGTATGTCAAGCGAAGCGTCATGATTCTCGAGGAACTGAGTGGGGCGAGTGAAAATGTCAGGCGGAAGGGCGAGAAAGAGAAACTCGCTCAGGGACTCTTGGGCGTAGGAGACAGGAAGAGGAAGAGGGGTGACGGCGAGGAGAATGAGGACGAGTTGGACTTGGAAGGACAGACCAGTGGACCCGGCATTCGAGGGTTGAAGAAACCCAAAGGCCCCAATCCTTTGAGTGTCAAGAAGAAGAAGGTGAAGAACTCTGCTCAAACGGAGGAGGGTCACGCAGGTGCGGTAGCATCAGGGCAAGAATCACAGCTAAAGCGGAAACGACGGAGGAAACATGTCGCGAAGACGGCAAATGACATGGGAGATTCCGTTGGGCAGGATAGCGCAGCGCCCACGACCGCCTCGGAAGCAGTGGGATAGTATTGTTGGTCCATGGGGCTTCAATCATGCAATACCAGCGTTGGCTTTACACGACATGCACTAAAAGATACCCAATGTGCGAAGAATTGAGATTCATGTCATGCCTACGGCTCCATGCCCCGTCGCACAACGCTATATCGCTCTCTCAAGCCACCCTTCTTTTTAGATGGTATGCTAATCATGCTTTCGCGAAGAAGGCTTTCCCGTAAACGAACAGCCCGGTAGCAGCCAGGACACTTAGGCCTGCAGGGAGGGGTTTGCCTGTTTTGATCGCACGAGGGATGCTGCTGCCGGCGAGGAGGATCGAGGCAAGAAGAGCGAGCTCGACGCCGTAGGGCTGGCGTTTAGAGATGCGATAGCCTCCAAGGCCATACTATCGCAGAGGAAAGGCGGAGTGTCAGCAGACCCAGTTGGACAGCCATAAGCGAAAGGAGACAGGAGCGGTAGATGTTGACATACCAACACGCCAACTGTCAAGCCCGCTGCGATGCTAGGGACTGAGCCTGTTCGCACGTAACCGGTCACTCCACCGACGGAGGTGAGGGCAGACAGGATGTATGCCGGTGTTTCGGAGGCCTGAAGAGAGCAAGGTCAGTTGCCGAAGCATGAGGTAGTATGTAGTGGATGTCATACCATGATGCAAGTTGTATCAGGGGGCAATGTCTGTGGTATACAGAGTAGAGGACGAACAAGTAAGGAGATGTTGGTAAAGCTTGTTAAGCTGTCGCAGTCTGCGATGATGCCATGTTCGTTCGGTCATCTTCGACTCGTACTACGAGGCTGAGCGGTGGAGCTCGGATTTGGCGGTTCCGCTGCATCTTCGGTGCCCCGGCTTGGCAACACGTTGCTTCATTGACATGGACACCATCTTGCACTCCGCGAGCCTCAATCAGCCGGATCCTGGTCTGGTATATGAATAGGCTGGTGATTTAGTTTCTTCCTATAAGCTGGTTTGCTCATCACCATGGCGAGAAAACCCGCCTCGCATTCTGCGGCCTCAAAGACGTCCACTCCTGTGGCGGCAGCGAAACCACCTCCAGCAGCACGAACATCATCAGGCTCTATATCATCTCCTCCCGCAAGCGCAGTCAAACCTACACCCCAGAGCACGTTATCACCTCGGTCGTCGCCCCGGCAAATTATTGTTCATGTCTGGAATAGATACTTGCAAGATACTCCATCGCGAACGATGCTGTTGGACGTCTTCATGGCCTTCCTCGTCGTCATTGGCGCCACACAATTTTTATATTGTGTTCTAGCAGGCAGTTATGTATGTGTCTATTGTCCAAAGCTGGCATCCGTTGGACAGTGTCTAACCTCATCACCAGCCTTTTAACGCTTTTCTCTCCGGCTTCTGCGCCGCAGTCGGTCAATTCGTCCTTACCGCGTCGCTGAGGATGCAGACGTCAGAAAGACCTCCTGCAGGGGCATCTACAGCCGCGAAAAAGAGCTCTACCAAGACTGTTGACGGTGCGAGCGGCGAGCTGGTTGAAGATGGAAAGATCGGCTCTGAACGGGCGTTTGCGGACTATATCTTTGGCAGCCTCATCCTTCATGGTTTCTGTGTCAACTTCATCAACTAGACGATACCTTGCATGACTCAACTTGGCAGGACAGGGTAGGAGCTGGTGTGGTCTTCGGACTTCTCACGATTTGTCCTTGGTTGGGAATGCTGGTCCTGCGGCCCTCCGGACTCCGCCTCATAAAGCCGAGACTGTTGGCAGGATACGAGTCTCAAGAGGCAATCTTTCAAGACCAAGAGCACACATATGCGCTTGCGAACCATGTCAGACTCCAGCAGATGGTACTCGAATGGAGTCGAAGTCATGGCATGGAAACAGGAAACGAGAAATGCCACGAGCTGGATCATGCTCTCTGGTGCAGACCTTTTCCAACTCGCGGCGTCTCCTTTCACAAGAGCAAGCTGATTCTTGTGCTTCCGGGGAGTGCCCTGCAACTGCGCCAATATCACCTGTACTACTCTATTGTAACATCCACAAAAATTCTAAGCGGTTCATTAGTCTAGAGAAGATCGACTTATTCGACGTACCGGCAAAAATGTGGTTGTCTGACAAAATCATCGGGCCAATATCTGTGGCTTGGTTTGTCAGACTTGGTAATATATTCAAGATGCTCCCACTCCCTTCTCAACCCCCTTTTTCCTCCGTTCAGTTCAAATTGTCTTCTACACAGACTGGAGAGGATGTTCTCCTTGTCGTCACGATGCATTCATTACTTCCTAGACCCCCCCCAGCAGTTCAGATTGTACTTATGTACGGAGCTACCCTAATTCATCGCAGGGGCAGGGGCCCAACATCTGAAACGCGCATCAGCAGCAACTGTTTCAAGATGTGCCAGTTCCTGAATATGAGGGAGTATCAGCGATCACCTTTGGTCTACCATAATCATCTGCTTTTGTTTCTTTCTGCTCCATCCTGACGACATCTTAAAGGCATTCGCGAGTATGAAGACTGAGCTGGTCTCAATAATTGCGTTTTCGTTTCTTCCATCTCTCGTTGTTTCTAGTTTCAGTTCCAACCAGGACCAGCATCCCAACCTGTTAAGCGATGATATAGTCGGGGTGCAAGTCCCCATGTCTGGCAATGGTTTCGTGCCCCAATCTGAAGAAGAGAAAGTGCCAGAAGCCGATGACAATCCTTTAGCCGACGATACTGCGCAATTGCCTGAGAGTCATCTCAACTCTCCAGGCGCCGAGGCCGAGAATCTCCATCTATGGTCATTCAAACCAGTGTGCACCGAATACTTCGAGGTCTTGAAGGACCCGTTATGCGTCTTCACCAATGTCAGCTTCAGCAACGGCCGAGGGATCTCGATCTTTACCACTCCGACCATCGCCTCCGAGTTTGCGGCTCTCCTGCCGTTCCAGGACCCAGCGGCCCTGTCTAGTCGAGGAATTAATTCGCCGTCTGAACCGGATGGGCCGTCGTACACCAAGACAATCCCGGGCAAAGGGATCGGTATGCTCGCGAAGCACGAGTTGCAACGCGGAGACTTGATTGCCGCATATACACCATATCTGCTCGCGCATATGGAAAATCTTCTATCAACGACCGAGAGAGAGAAATATCTCCAGGTAGCGATCGAGCAGCTGCCCGAGCCGAGCAAGACCCATTTCCTCACCCTGGCGACCATCTATGGCGATCCGAGAGTAGCCGTGCAGGACGTGGTCAAGGCCAACGCGTTCGAAATGCAGGTCGGTGGACAGATGCATTTGGCCGTCTTTCCGGAGTCATCGAGGATCAATCATGCATGTGCACCAAAGTAAGTCCAATACATCCAGATCCACCTAAGATAGCTATGAAGATGTGTGCGTGAGAGTGTGTATGAGCATGTTTACACACGTGGGCAAGAATCTACTGGAACGTGGAATGAGGTGATGGATTAACAGTTCGTGTTACAGCTCACAGTATCATCTGGACCCGACACTGTTAACGCACTACGTGTACGCCGCCAGAAGCATCGCGCCCGACGAGGAAATAACCATCGCCTACGCGCCACCACTGGTCTTCTTCCGCGATCGAGCAGAGTATCTCCATTCAACATTCCACTTCCAATGCACCTGCTCTCGATGCCAGCGAGGCGAGGCAGGCGACAAGGCCGTCTCAGATATCCACGCGCTGCAGTGGGCTCTGGCCAATTGGGATTCCAACTCGACCGCAAGTGTCAGGAAGGCCGAAATGTTGGTCCGGTTGTACAAGGAGGAAGGCCTAGACGCGTTTCTCGACACGCCCTACGGCCATGCCGCTTTCACATACAACGCGGTGGGCAGTGCCAGAGGAGCGATAAAATATGCAAAGCTCGCGGTGGAGGCGGCCGTGTTGAGATACGGCCCCGCGGCACCAGGTCTGGAGACATGGAACGAGTTAATGCAGGATCCGCAGCGGCATTCGAGTTGGAGGCGGAGGAAGGGCGTATGATTTGGTTGGTGAGCGCAGACGAAGATGATACTCGAAGGACCGAACTGGGAGGGATGGCTTGGTTAGATATGCCTAATCACGATTGGGCGGGTCTCCTTCAGCAGAGACCATCTCAGTAGGACCTAGGCAAGGTGCATGTACGGAGTACGGAGTACGGATACATGGGCATCATAGCCGTAAAGATCGAGGTTGGGACTTGAGTCAGAGCGGAGACCATGCGCAGAGGCGAGCCGAGGACAGGCCACCTGCGTACCATACATGGTACTACTAATTACACATGTGTACGGAGTACAGTACCTGTTGAGGATAAGCACTATCACTGACTGCATCCTTCCTTCTTCCTCAACCTCGCTCCCTCCTCCAGGCACGGCGCTTCTCATTATGAGAGCGCTCTGGTACTTTCCATGCTCACTCAGGTGGCCCGATCCTCCAGGCATGCTATAGCACTCTCTGATGCGGCCATCGTCCTCCATCTATCTAGAGGATGTGCCCGATCAGCGAGTGCGAGGGTGATGTCACCAGCCCCTCCTCTACTTCAGCATTCTTGCCTCCGTACATTTACCGTCTCAGCACCGCTCTCGCCTCGCTACCTGATCTCTGAAGGTCGCACTACTCTACCTGACCCAGACTCGGAAGATGCGCCCTCACTCAGATCCTCGCCATTCTACCTAGAGACAGGATACTCGATATTTGCGAAACGCCCGTCGAGACCATTTCCTCCACCCTTTGTCAATCTGCCCTCCGGCTCCTTCTCTGATCCGCTGACCACCCACAACGTCCCACGAGGGCGCCGACCATTCGTTAATGGACAACCCGTACGAGGGATCACGAATGGCGACGACGCCATCATCATTGCGGACAAAAACTTCATCGCCGTCAACGATGGCGTGGGGGCATGGGCATTGAAAGATCGAGGTCACGCTGCTCTGTGGTCACGGCTCATTGCTCACTTCTGGGCTCTCGAGGTCGAGAAGTCCTTCGAAGGCCGCGAGGACGTCGACCTGGCCGATCTCAATCCCATTCAAAATCTGCAAGACGCATACAACGAGACCAAGGCGGTACTGAAAGGGGGATTGTTGAAACCCCAACAGGATGAGAATCGGCATGATCAGAACAAGGATGAGTCCGGACCCAGGTCCACAGAGACATCGTCCTCGACTTCAGACACCAAAGAGAAGAGCGACGCAGACGATATCCTAGGAACCACCACAGCCTCCTCAGCACTCTTGCATTACCGGCGTACCTCGTCTTCGCCGACGCCCGTGGTATTGGCCACTACGCTCGGTGACTGCAAAGTGCTTGTGATCCGCCCGTCGTCCAACACCGTGCTCTACCACTCGAAAGAGCAATGGCACTGGTTTGACTGTCCGCGCCAACTGGGCACAAATTCGCCAGATACACCGCTCGGCAACGCCGTGACCGATACGGTGGACATCCAAGTGGACGACGTGGTTTTGGTCCTTAGTGACGGCGTGACAGATAACTTGTGGGAGCACGAGATATGTCAGAACGTCAGTGGCAGCGTGGAGAAGTGGCAAGCCGGCGAGCAGGAGGCCAAAGACGGACCCGTCTATGTGGCGCGCACATTGATGAACGCCGCGAGAGAGATCGCCCAGGATCCCAACGCAGAATCGCCATACATGGAACGCGCATTTGATGAAGGCATAGCTGCCGAGGGTGGCAAGTTGGACGACATCTCCGTCGTCATAGGCGTCTGTCGGAAGAAAGAGTGACATTGAGGCTCAAAAATTGGGAGAACCTAGGACAAAACGAAGCTACGATCAAAAAAGGGAGTTGTTCTCGGTTGCAGAATATCATTGGAATAGCCTCTTCTCCAGACGAGGCTACTGTCCTTATCAGACGCAGTGGTGACTGAGTGACAGGATCGAGGCAGATCTATGAAGGCACAGGATTCATTGGCGTCATATACGTGGAGATTTTTGAAAATTCTGGCGGTGTACATGTGAATCCAACATATTCGGAACCAGGGGTTGAGGGACAGCAAGGCGCAGTGTTGGCATATGAACGAGAGTATGGGGGGAAAAGAACACAATGGAATTTTACATGACAAGAATCGGCTCGAAAGTGATTGCGATCTACAACGTCCCGCTCCGCGTATAGCCAGGTAGATGCATGTCCACACTGTCATTCATCATCGGCTACCTGAGTTGTCGCTTCTCTACTAAAGCCGTCAGCCGTCAGTTTCTCTATCTTGCACCGCCTCCTCGCTACCGCTATCTGCGTAGTCTCACAAGATTGTCCCGAAGTGATGTCCTAAATGCATTCGGTGATCTTGATGTATAGGTCGCAACCCAGCAAGAGGAAATTGGTATCTAGTCGTCGTACAGCATCCTCAACTAGCTCCTCATCCGTTGATTGCCAGTGCTGGGTCTGAGGGGTGATAATGATGGTGGAAAACTGGGCTCGACTCGGGTGCGGCGATGACCTGGGATGGCTGCATAGCACACTTTGATACGAGCATTTCATCCTCTTTCTTAGCTGGCAGGTTCATCCGCTAAATCTGAATCTCGTCGCTTCCAATCTGCCTAAGCCCTCCCGCGGTGCCACATTCCTCCGTCGGTACGAATTGGTAAAATCCTGGAGCAGTACCCTCACTTTCCGCAGCTCGTTCTGTTGGAGTTTGTCGCTGATACCTTTCATCAGTTTGTTGGCCTCGGCCGGCTTTAAGGTGCCGACAGGTAGGAGTTGCAGGGTTCCTTGGACCCACTGGGCTGCAGCCTGAGGTTCCAGGTTGAACAGAGTAAGCAGAATGGCAGAAGCGTCGGGAAAGCAATCCTCTGGAAAGCTGAACATCATGCCTGTCAAAACTCGGTGCACCAGCTCTTGTCCAACAGAATTGAGGACTTGCTTCACGGCGGTCCGAACTTCAAGAGGGTTCGCAGCCGTAGGCTCTCCGTTCGGTCCGTTCAGGTTGGATACCGGTGGGTTCTCAAAGCCGAAATCCAGAAAATCTCGCAAGAATAGCAATGCCGCTTGGATCGGTTCCAAGGACTGTAGCGTCAGAGCTGTCAAAGATGCTTGGACCATTGGGAGTGCCAGGTCTGAAGTAATCGTCTTGGTGGGATAGAACCGAACAGCATCAGAAGCAAGCCGGAAGAAGTCCTCGATCACATCGGGAAGTTCAACCGGCTGCAGTTCTGTCAGGATCTTGAAAAAGACAGTTGATTGCTGAGCGAAGAATCGGAAGACGTTCTCACTGGTCGCTTCGTCGACGAATTCTACGCCGTATGAAAACTCCCGGATCACGGCATCCGTCGCCCAGAGGAAACACCCTTGTCTCGACGCTTGAAATCCCTCAGCGATGCTCGTGGCTAACGTAGGGAGGAGGGGAGCAGTTGCGGTTCGGTAGGAAATGACCATGGTTCGATAACATTTGCAAACCCGTTCCAGAATCGGTATTGATCTTGTAAAGTGCTTCGCGATGCCGGAGAGCGCCGGTAGAATCTCTTGACAATATTTGACCGCCGGGTTCTCCTCGGACGGCGATACGTAAGGTTGAACGCAGTCGAAAAAGATTGTTACCAATCCTAGATAGTCAGCGACAACCTTCTCGGCACTCTCGTCTTTCGCATGTGATGCAAAAGAAACCACTCTGTTCATGACAGGGTCGCAGAACATCTTGAGGCTTTCATAGATCTTCCCAACAGGTTGCACGGCCACAACTGCCGCAACCCCTTCAGTGACCTCTTCCTGACTTGATGGTTTGAGCTTGTCGATGACACTTTCGTAGAACTGATGGAGCTGAGGGATATGATGACCGAGCAGCTTAGAGCAGTCATTGCCGAGGAATCTGAAAGCTAAAGCTGCTGCCTGCACGACTTCCTGAGAGTTGTGACTGAACCCGGAGATGACATAATTGAGCTGTGCCTCGAGGGTCTCGGGATGCTGAGCTGTCCATTCAGTGTAGCGAGCCAGCGCCATGATTGCTTGAAATTTTAGCTTCTCGTGGTCGGGGACAGTGGTCAGAAGTGGTATGACTTGAGGAAGCACCGAGCTTTCCTCGGGGCCGACCATCCGTCCCATCGCCCTCAAACTGAACAAAGGCGCTTCAAGTTCTTGCCAGTGTGGTACATTGGTGCCCGAAACTAGAGAGGCGTACTTTTGACCCCAACTCTGTATCAGGGCAAAGGCCTTGGTAAGGCACTGTGTGACGCCAATAACTTCACAGCAGTCCTTCAGAACATCGCCCATGTTGTGTCTGAAGCCCCGGAATTTATCTTCCTGCTCTCTGTCGCCATCAAATAAGTCCTGTTCATCTCCATCTTCAGGCGTAGGGTATTCGAGGTGCTTGATCATGATATCCACCAGTTTCGAGTATAGGTCTGCCAACGATGCTCGAGCTGGCATATACTTTTCCAGGGTTATACATTGCTTGAGCTCGAACCAGAAAACAAAGGTGACGGAGATGGCTTCCCGATCCTGATCGCGCATACAACATTCCAGGACGCATTCGACGATGTCTCGGAATTCTGTGGGCATACGCGCAATCAGAACTACCCAAGCCTCGCCGGCCTCTGCGAATAGTCTCGTAATGCCTTTCATGAGATCGTGGTCTTCCATCGAGGCGGCTTGTAATATCATCGGTCTCAGATTGACGATCCGCGGATAAAGGACTCGAATGACACTCTGTGATTCGTCGACATCTCGCGTGTCTCTGAACATGGCGCAAAGGCAATCCACTGCAGCTTCAAACGAGTCAGTGTCGTTAAGGGCCTCGATGATTTCGTTCAACAGAGGCGAATTCACAACGTCGGTGATTGGGATTTCTCGTAGCCATGACGCTATACACGAATATAATCGAGGGTTGTGAGATGCTTGTGCTAATCCACGTCAGTATCCCAGCGCTCGTGAGCAAAATCAAGCGTGTATACTTACTCGACGACTGTGCGTACGACACCAGAAGATTCAAGACCTGAGCGGCGTTATCCTCAAGGAGTTCCTTGGTCCTATCGGCAAGTTCCTCTTCCTAGATTGTAATGCTGTATTAGACTGTGATCGGTGGCCAGGATGGTGTTGCTGTCAAGCCGAACATCAAAGGCTGCGCAGTCGAACATACTGAAAGGTTGATTTTGCGGCCTTCTGTGACCTCTTCTGGTAGGATTCGCAGGAAGTCGAGTAGACAATCTCCGCCATCGCTACTGGTACCGACAGCCGATCCTACTGTGCTTAAAACGTCCTTCCATGATGTCAATTGAATTGCCAAACGTGCAAGGCATACAGAAAGTTGTGTTCGGATCGGTCTCGGACCAGAGATATAGAGCTGAAGTAAAGAAAGGAGTGAATCACGGAGCGGCGTCAGAGCATCCTCGGGTAGTTGATGTAGGTCGTAGGTGATCTACCTCAGTCAGTGAGTGAAAGACGGTACTTGGTGTACTTGTCATACCTTTCCCTTCAGAGTTGTGGCAGCGAACAATCTCGCTTCGACCGGTGCTGAGGTATCTCGTAGAATGGCGTGCGTAGTATTCCATGCTTCAGACTGTTGCCAGATGAGTGTTTGTCCAAAATACTTCATCGCTATACCAACCGATTTTTGGAATGTCTCAAGAAACTCATGAGCCTCAGATTTTTGTTTACTGGCAACATTGCTTTGCATAGTGGCCAGCGCCGTGAGAACCGGCGCATAGCCGCTGGCTGCGTCTATTCTATCGGCCATGGTGTGATGGAGGGGTAAGCGAGAGGCTTGCAGCCTGGTATTCAGGACAGGACCGTGATTGTTGTCATTCGGTGCTGAGGCGACCGAGGCTGATGTGGCAGATGAAAGAGGAAAAATTCGTGGAGATGTGTTCCAAGGCAACTTGGTGATGTGTGATGTGCCTGCGGTCAGAGGGTGTTTTTGTGAATGACTTCTTCAGGTTGGAAGGACTGCGATTTGATGGCGCCAAAACTTCGCCCACTTTTCTGCAGCCTTCCTCCGCAATTGATTTACAGGCCTACCGTTGCAGCAAAATTGAGATTGTCCACCACAAAGATCACGACCGCATCTTGACTACCAAGTACAAACGGAGCGCCTCCTTCCTCAGCTCGGATCAGAACGAACATCACGCCTGCGGCAGTCAGAACTCCGGTATCTGCCTATCCACAATGGTCGGTCGCGACGGCGGTGGTGGTGGTGGTCGCAAAACCCTTCTTGCACCAATTCATTTCATCTTCAGCCTTCTACAAAAGCGCTCGACGGTGTTAATATGGCTCTATGAAAATCTACACACGCGTATTGAGGGCAAAATCAGGGTAAGGAGCTGCGAGCGGCTGTAGCAGACCAAGCTGATTTGGAACAGGGCTTCGATGAATTCATGAACCTTGTCATTGACGATGCGATCGAAGTACAATTAGCCACGAGAGATGCTCCAGAAAAGAGGCGACAGCTCGGTAAGATTTGGGACAATATTCCAGTACGAGATCCAAGGCTGATTAGATTCAGGACAAATCTTGCTCAAAGGAGACAACGTCTCGTTGATCCAGTCTTTGAGTTGAAAAGATCGATTTGAGGATTATCCTGCCAGTGCACCCAGCCACAGCATCACTTGTGTCAGATTTGAGCAGACTAAAAATTCGATGGAGCAAGGAGGACTTCTTGCAGAAAAGAAAAGGTCTTCTTTCCCGCCGTCAGCTGTTGGCTACTACCACTTGATCAACTTTCCAGTCATGCTCATTGACAGGGATGGTTTCTCCTGGCGGTAGCATTTGCTGAAGAAGAGCGATTCCGACTACAAATAAGTTATGAGTCGGTGAGTTACGAAGGAAGGCCGGAATGCTTACCCAGGTGTGGCATGTTCCCTCCAGCTCCGCTGGAATCGAGCGCGTTCTTATAAGTTTGAAGATACCGGTCATAGAATCCTTTGCCGTGGCCGAGACGACAGTGATCTCGGTCAAAGGCAACCGAAGGCAAGAAGATGAGGTCGAGAATTGGGTAGCGATTCTGACCATCCGGAGGCGCTTTCGAGATACCAATCCCCCCGAGAGCATTTCTCCTTCTTTCAACAGAGTCTCTGGAAATGGATGGAATTCCCCAAGCATCTGGCTTCAACGAGTAAAAGTCGTCCTTGTCTTGCAACTGCAACATGTCCATGACCCTTGACTTCGGAATTTCTCCTGGATGAAGATAAGGAACAAATACAGACTTTCCGTCATCGAAAGCTTGTAGCACAATATCGCGAGTCGAGACTTCCCTTCCGGGCATTGACAGAAATATTGCTATAGATTTGGCATGCTGGTATGCAGGCAGTTCCAATACACGCTTGGTGATAACCGTCGCTTTTCCCATCAGTGTCGAAACTACTATACTGGCTAGGATCTCCTACACTGTCTTTCAATCTCCTCAGGGTCTAGTTTTCTGATTTCCTGCCCAATTCGCCTTCGTAGCGAGGTTTTTTGCTCACTAGAAGCGATTGTCGACATTGTGCGCAGCCACCACGGAGAAGACTTTGGCTTCATCGAAGTTAAAACGCGTCCGTAGGCTGGTCGCATCGGCACATGGTGGACCAACAGGCTGGTCGAGCACGCTTAATGGTGGCTTCTGTAGAGCGGCAACGGGCGTTGATATGCTGATCTTCTTGTACCGTGCAGGCAGAGCTGATCTTACTAAACGCAGAAGCTATTTTTGTATTCGTGGAAGGTTGAACCCGAAAGGATTGTGTGGAAGACGAATCAAAGGAGAGCGTTCCGGTGAAAATGAGCGGTAGGAGTTGCTGGTAGAGAGGACTTGCGCCTGCGCCCCAGTCGGGCAATCCGCACACGCCTCAGCCTCCGCGTCGACGCCTAGTCCCTCCGTTCTCAGGGTTAGAAAACAAGCAGCCAGACTGCCAGACTGCAGTGTGAAACACCGACCTCCTTGCACTGCCTATTTCGTTGCTTCGAGCACGGTGTTCCTCTTCCGTCACACCTTTCACTTCGTACAACAAGACATGCAAACATGCTACCCTCGATAAAAACAGTCGCACTCTTTTCTCTGGGCCTGGCTGCCCTGGCGAGAGCGCAGTATGATACGGCGCTCGTCGGCACATGGACTACCAAGTCGAAGAAAGTCATGACTGGACCAGTGAGTCACATACCTCGATTGTCGATGATAGAGCATATCTGTATTGACACATCTCGTCAAAGGGCTTTTACGATCCCGTCGCCGACAGGTTGATCGAACCTGATCTAACCGGGATTTCATACTCCTTTACAAGCGATGGCTACTACGAGGAGGCTTACTACAGGGCCATCCCAAATCGTACGTTCATTCTTTCCTCTCAAGCGTTAAGGATGCATCGACTCTATCCTCGATCCGTCTCCAGGCATGTCAAAATACCAACTAATACGCATTCTCCAGCGGCGACACCACACTGCCCCTCCGCGATCATGCAATGGCAACACGGCACCTACTCCCTTCCGGGCAATGGAAGCCTTGTCATGCAACCCTTTGGTGTCGATGGGCGCCAACTGACCTCCTCCCCCTGTTCCTACGATCGATCGATCTACGTTCGCTACGAGCAATCCGAATTGATGAAGTCTTACCAAGTCATGACAGACCCGTACCACAATGTACCGCGACTCAATCTTTACAAATTCGACGGCTCGCCTATGCAGCCCATGTACCTCGCCGCATCTCCTCCACAGATGCTGCCAACGCAGACTCTGAACCCTACATCTACCCCCAAATCGACGGGTAAGAGCCGCGTGAAGAGAATGGAAGGGGGCGACGGGGGTACGCAGGAAAGACTGGTCGGCATGAACAAAGACCCCTTCATTCCTCCTAAGGAACCATACAATGCAGACCATTGGTGGTGGGCTGGCGTAGGGCTGACAGCTCTTGGAACAGCGCTGTACATGATACCCACGTCTACCTAAAGCCGCAAACATGCCGATGTGGCGTTCAATTGGATCTATAGGGCGCTGTGGGATGATTGGAGAGCGGTAGCACTGTGTCTTTGCATCTTCTTTTCTTGGCGGCGTCGGGAACCGGCCGAACAAGGGCTACTGTTCGTTGGTCATGGATACGGAGCAGGCATTCGAGCGGCGTATGATAGAGACGGGCGCTGAAGGTTGCGATTTCACTGGCACTGGAGTTCTGCATTACAGCAGGATTTCTGAGGCAAAATAATGGACACAGAATGGCTTCGTTTGCGAAGGTTGAATGTCGAGAAGGTCAAGGGGCACTCGTGGGTTTGATTTTCAACACCGTGCTATACGCACGAAAGCGAGAGTGACCATATAGGTCTGCTTTGCATGTCATCTCTTGAAAGAAGTGGGGACTCAACTCTTTGCGATGTATAAGAGTGATGAGATTTGGTACCTTTATGTTCCTTAAATATCCGTACCTTTACTCAAATCTGGAATAGAGCACTGGCCCAGCTATCCATTCCGTGTCTTTATGTACCGGTCTCTTCAAGTCTTCTTTGCTTATGTTGTCCATTCCAGATCTTCAATACAGTACCTCTTCCCATGCCATATACATACTCCACTATCAATTACAGTGGAAGGTGGGATGAGGTCCCATATGTCACTCCGTCAGACTGTCGGTTTAGGGAGCTCCTCACACAAGAGGACAGCTATTTGGAGGCAATTGACTACCTTTCGGAAAGTGAGATTCCAAGGGTGACGGATTCGGCAAAAGCCAGATGCCGGAGAGGCTGCAAGTGTGGTGCCTTTAGTCAGAGCGACCGTCTACTTTCCTCAATTTCAAGTTGTCGATATCGACATCTTTCAAGACACGCACCTAACACGGGCTGTTAGGCTCGGTCTTACGTAAATTGCCCTATTTCAACAAGAGCCGGTGAGGAGCGAGGGGAAGGGGGGGCAGGTATTGGAGGGTAAATCTGGAAGAGTGCTGTGCTGCTTTGGAAGAACAAAGTCGCCCCTTCAACTGACTCCACGGCAACCAGTCAAGAATTGTAGATTGGTTTCGTCCCGTGGATTTGTAATGCAAAGGGCAGAGCATGAGCCTATTCAAAGTACTGACATTGATGGCGCGATTGTCGCCGAAGAAGTTTGCATGCGTGCTCTTCCCGCCAATGCTGGTTCCGCAGGTCGGGCAAAACGTATGGGCGATTCTCTTCTGGCCGAAGGTGTAGGTCGTCATTTCGTCTAAACCGCTCTCCCAGGAGATGTTTGACTCGAGCGGGTATACCATCAAAGAGCCGTTTCTGTGGCAGATGGAGCCTAGATCAATGAAAGTCAGTGTCGGCCATTATAGAGCCGAGACTCTCCTTTCTCAGAGGCACACGCATCAAAGGCGAAAGCGCGGATTGGGTAGGACCAACTCACAGTTACAGCTAGTCACTGGTCCATCTTCAACGGGAGGGGAGAGCTTCATGGTGAATCTGATCGAGGTCAGGCCTGCGTTGCTCCGACAATCCAGGATGACCGTGCCCTACCTGACTTTCCCGCAGTGACAAGAACCCTCGTAGATCTTTGACTTCGGTTTCGTAGAATTAGAGACACTGGCCATATTCGTATTACGCCTCTCTTGACCGCTGGTTTGTGACGAGTTCAATGTTTTAGTAGGTGAACCAATCACTTGGTGTTATAAATAGGTCTTGACGGTGGTCTTGGAGAGCCCTGTCCTATGGATTGTCACTCCTAACGCCGCACTAACCTCGACCTCCTTCTACCTGGGTTCAACGGAGTGGGAGTCTGTCCTTTAGTCGTCGGTCGGCGTTCTTCTCAGACCGCTCCGGTAGCTCGATGAGATTCGGTTCGTACAAGGAAGATAATGTGACAGGATGGTAATGATCTGGGCCCTAGAGTGAGGCGAAATCTGCTGAGAGCTGATCTGGTACTTTCTCCTCGAGAACAGGCAGCCACACGACCTCTTAGTTGAGCAGAGAGCGAGGCCTAGAGAGACGAGCGAGTGGCGGGAAAGGAAGCATGGCGTTGCATTAGCCTCGAAACCCGGCTGATTGGAGTAGCGGGACAAAGTATGGGGAAGCAACGCCGCAGGGAGGGGAACTTGGACCCGATCACCACTCAACAAAAACCTGCCTGGTGCATCCTTCCAATCCACGGCGGTGTGATTGCATGCTGTGAACGATATTGCGCTGACAAATTGTGTAGCACTGGGCCCCCTTCGCAGTTTTCCAGCTCAATCTCGGGCGTCTGATGGACTTTAAACCTCCCTGAGCATGAACTTACAAGAGAAGAGAAACGAACTCTTGAAGAACATCGTTAGGACTCATCTGTCAGGGCGAAAGACAATTGTGTCATCTGTGTTACTTAAGATCTTGCAAGGATGTTGATTAGGAATTAGAACTCGTGGAAGGAATCGAGGATCGGGCTGCTGAGGATGGGAGTCTGATTCATTCGCGGCTAAGCGAGCCTCGTTGTGTATAGGCAATGTCGGTAGGACAAGATGAAAGCTTGTCGTGCCATGTCGTGTCATGTCGCGCAATGGTGTGATTACCACTCAAAGGACAGTCTATTGCGAGCGAATACGCGTTCGAGAAGCCAGGAAATGTGTTAATGTAACCGAGTGGTTGGCCCCAAGAACCACGCTATGCGGAACAACTCCGAGTATCCGTGCAGTGGTGAGCCAGGCTTGAAGCGGGGGATGCAGGGAGAAACAAAGCGTGGGGAAGCAGTATATGTCACTTGTCGTGAGGCTGGAAGTAATGCGCCAGTTGAAAATCGAGGTGGCATACAAATGCTATTCCAGATGCAACTTTCAGATACAGTTAAGGCAGCTAAAGTTCACGGTCACTCGGTAGCTAAAGGCGTGCCGTGCGGGAGGCGAACGGGAGATAAACGGCCGAACAGACGGTACTAGTTGGAGCCTGTTGGAGCCTGGAGACTGGAGACTGGAGCCTGGAGACTGGAGACTGGAGCCTGGAGCCTGGAGGTGCTCTTCGAGTTGAAGAACAAAGTCCAAACCTGAGAGCGACCTACTGCAACTGTTATCCAGCTGCTGGCACAATGGCCTGTAATTCCCTCAAAAATTTCTTCTTGCTAATATAGGTACCTAGTTGTTGTAACATACTGAATCAACCGCTGCCAGAAGCTCGACGCTGCTTGCTTCGGCCACCAGGGTCCCCTTAACTGGCTTGGGCCTAGAGGCTTATTTAGTTACCTTCCCCCGCTTACTGCGGGCACCTCACGGGATTCCTAAAGTGCTTAAGGGCCCCTTTCGGGCCTCCTTAGCCCCTAGAACAATCATGACCTGCAATTCGCCGGGCTGCAACCCGGCCCGACTCTTGTGCTGTCAGCGTGCAGGTCGCCCCGCTTATAACATGCAGTGTGTGACGGCAGCTCGCTAGCAGCCAGGCCTCTTCCCCTCCAGTAAAGCGCCATGACCCGCTCCGGAACTACCCTCGGGGGCTGCTCTGCCTCTCACCACTTCTCCCTGCGACACACCACTACTTGACTATTACACCACCAACCCCTCCGACCCTTCTCCCTCGTATTCTATTCCACTCGGGCGACTCATTCTACACCAGCTCACATCCCACGCACCTGTCTACCTCCTACAATCCCCCGTCTTTTGTGGTTGCTCGCTGACTGGCCAATGCACTCCGCACTGCACCACCAACTTCGCATTACCAGATTGATTTAGTGAACCTCCCACCATCGGACATCGCAATCGAGCGAGACCCAACTGTAACCTGAACCCATAGCCTGGCATGCCCGACATCCGCCCAGAAGCAAAACCAGCATAATTCTAAGGCCATCACCAGCGTTGAACCCTTCCATATTTGCCACAGGCCATGAGGAGCAGCAAAAGCAATCAGTCCTCTCTCCATTCCGCACCAGCCTTGCCTGCAGAAGTCACCTGAACTTGCTCGTTCTGTGTCGCGTTCTGGTACCTGCATTAAAGAGAGCCGCCCGTCGCTTCTGTCTGTATCCCGCATCTCCTCCCACATCACGGTCACCCCCTCGTCCTAGGCTGCACAATAGTCGTCCATCGTTGTTGACCAGAGTGCCGGAACCCTACCATTGACGTTAGAAGCCAGCGGTTTGGAGAAGTGCAGTCTGCCATACCAGCATCCGCCCTGTCGAGTACTCCTCAGCCCAGTCGCGCCACACCATCCTCCGCGAGCCACTATAGTGGCCACAGTGATTGTGCACGTTCAAGATTGTCTACTTCGTTCAAACACAAGCACGAGGACTTTCCGCTACTGACGGTTCCCTCCCAATAATAACGCATACCCATGATATTCTCTGACGCGGCTGCCTACCCATCAAGTCTCGGAAAAACCGAGACCTACGTTTGTTGCCATGGCGGCCGCAGACGTCTCCTCGAACAAGAAACAGAACATGGGCGCACCGAACGGGTCGTTCCAAGATCATCAGGTTGATCAGGATAACATTGGCAACGGTCCTGGAGAGCCGACCAAGAAGAGAAGGAAAGTCGCAAAGCCAAATCCGGACAAGAAATACGAGTGTAAGCACGAGGGCTGTGGTAAAAGCTACTCTCGCGCAGAGCATCTCTACAGACACCAGCTCAATCGTGAGTTCTCTCCGGAGACCTTGGTGACTCGGCCGTTCTGATTCCTGCATAGATACTCCAAAGACCATTTACCGTTGCGACTATCCTGAGTGTAGCCGGTATTTCGTGAGGCAAGATCTGTGCATTCGTCACCGAGAGCGCCACACCACTCATGGATCTCAGTTGCATAAACGAGATGCCTTTGCACAGAGTAATCCAAAAGCTATTCCTATTCCTCAAGCCCCTGCCCATCAACCCCAGCAACCACCAAACTACCCAATGTCCGCACCGAAGCTGAAAAGCCCTGAACAAGAGGGCCGATCCGTTGCTGGCTCCGCTGGATATCCTATCGACACCCCCAGCGGCCTCAAACAGCGTTCTACCAAGTCCAGCAATACAGTGTCGCCGTCGACGGCATCGACAGAACCTCGATATCATCCTCCAACACCACAGACAGCCATTGCTGGACCAACAGCCCCCCTGCACCGGACCAGCAGCACGGAGAGTAATCCCTTGAGTCCCATCCAAAAACAAGCTATGCCCACATGGCCTCTTGCTTTGCGCAGGCAGAGCTTCAACACCGAGGGGTTGAATAGGTCTCAGGCCTCATATACCCAAACGCAATCAAGGGATGGAACCTCCGGGGCCCCCGTCCCTGCATCTCCTGTTCGCCAATACTCGTCGTCATCTGCACCCACTTTTGCGCACGAGGGACCTAACCCCCATGAAAACCTGGACAGGACCTCCTCTAATGGTTTTGTCCAGCCAGCCGCCATAGTATCTTCCTACGCCTCTGCGGTCTATCAGCCGGCAGAAGTATCCCGGACAGGAGACGCCGCCTTTGCCGCGGCCGTCTCTCATGGCCTCACCCGGAGCGATCCATACCCCTACGCTATCCTGAACGGCGGCATATCTACTGGTGACTTGAACAGTGCTTACGGATATCCTGTCTTTGGGATAGACGAGTACACCCAGACACCTTACTCAGGTGCAGACTTTTTCACGCAATGGCTCTTTAACGACAGCCAGTCGGGATCCAAAAGCTTCTCTCCTCCGAACTACGTATCCGGTTACGGTGGTCAGGACCAATCACAGACACAGGGGCCTTACTTTTCACATAGCCCTACGTCCAGCAATAGCTACCCTGCACATGTAGGGCAACACCATCCAATGAGCGTTACCAGTATTCTCGATACTACCGCCACCAGTCAATACATAATGTCCGAGTCAAAACGGCAAGAACTCCTGGATCTGATGCAGAGTCAATTCATCGAGCGCCCTCACGACGCAGTCAAGAAGCGAAAGGACTCGGTGTTCGAGGGTGACCTTGACAGCGACGGCCATATCTTGAGTCTAAGGATGATGCACACGTACATCGGTTCTTACTGGTACCATCAACATGCTCAACTGCCTATCTTACACAAGCCCACCTTTTCGGCCGACCGAACGCCCAATCTGTTGCTCCTTGCCGTCATTGCGATAGGCGCGGCAACGTTGGACAAAGCTTATGGCACGTCTCTCACCGACTCCGCCGCGGAATTCGCCAACTTTGTTGCGTGGCATGTGAGATGGGAGATCGTACGGGATGCGGATTTTAGACCTCCGGCCAAACTCTGGGTCTTCCAAACTCTGCTACTCATCGAAGTTTACGAGAAAATGTATGCGACCAGGGCGTTGCACGAGAGAGCCCATATCCACCATGACTCCACCTTGACCCTGATGCGGCGAGGCAGTTCCCTGCTGGGTCGGTCCGCATCCGATTCACCCCCAAGTCTTCGGGGTGACCAGGATAATGGCAAGATTTCTGTGCCGTTTTCCGGGCACGAATCTTCCAAATCCGAAGAGGCTTGGTATCGTTGGGTCACTACCGAGGCCACTCGTCGAGCTGCCTTTGCCGCATTTGTGATCGATTCCATTCACGCAACAATGTTTGGGCACGCAGCAAAAATGGTTGCGCATGAAATGCGGCTACCATTGCCATGTGATGAAGGTCTTTGGTCGGCTGTATCTCCTGCAGAAGCCGGTAGAGTCCAGTTAGCGTTGCAAACCAATGGTGTCAAACCGACCATGTTTCTCGACGGTCTGAAAAAGACGCTGAATGGTCAAAGAGTGAGGACAAACTCCTTTGGCCGCACCATAATCATGGCCGGTCTATTGTCGGTTTCGTGGCACATGACACAACGAGACCTGCAAATTTCCTCGCTAGGACCTCGAACAGCAACCTCATTCGGAGGACCCGATAAATGGAAGGGAGTTCTGCTGCGAGCATTTGACAACTGGAAGCGGGATTTTGACGAAGCCCTTGCAGAAGCAACTCCGGCACCAACGTCGCCTCTGCGAACCCCTGCGGTACCGGTCCACGGTCTCCTCCGACCGGTTGACGATGAAAACATTTTCGAGTCACGCACAGTTCTGCATCATCTCGCCCACATTGCCGCTCATGTGGATGTGCTTGATTGCCAAGTGTTTGCGGGAGCAAATCGACTTCTAGGGCGTTCCATCACTCCCAAAGACTACAGTGTGATTAGGGAGAAGATCGAACGATGGGCAACAAAGGCTTCGGCCAGAGATGCCGCCTTTTATGCTCTCAAGTTTATCGTCCAGGTTCTCATCCCACCGGATGAAGGTATAGACGGTATCAACAGCCGGTTATATGGCCACGCAAGTCCTATCTTGCCTCAGGCCTTTGAGCACAACCAGTATATTGCTCGAGATGACTTTCTGTTAAATCGCCCTTGGGTCCTCTACATTTCGGCATTGGTCGTCTGGTGCTATGGATTTGCTCTCGAAGGCCCTATCAAACCTCCTCCCAAAGAAGAAGATTTCATAACATACCGGCAGAAAGAGCAAGACATGAAAGACTACCTCGATCGAGTAGCTGGGGTTCGAGCACCCGATGATCTCGAGACCGTGAAAGGCAAGAATCGATGCCTAGGCCTTTTGATGATTCTGAAGGAGTCCTTTGAGAGTACACGATGGGAACTGACGCATGAAGCTGCAGGATTGTTGGGCAATGCCTGTCTGAAGCTACGAGGCGTTGATTCCGATGTTCTTGTCGTTGGTGGTCTGGAGTTTTCTAATGGAGGCTCGAATGGGTATAGCCATGGAGACGGACACCATTCTCGTTCTGCTCATTCGCGCCAGGAGAGTCGGGACCATATGACTGTGGCGAATGCGGCGAGAGTTTAGGCTTCGACCTAATGACTTTGGCCTGCTTGCCAACGGCTGTTTTGGGCGACTTGACTTGCCTATCGGCTTAACATTTGTTTTTTTCCTGGGCGGGCACTTGTTTGGGCATTGGGAGACGACTGGTAATGAGGGCATCCTTGCCAGAGACTTTCTCGGCTGCACAGTGTGGCGCCAGCATGGGCATCGCGTCGACACACTCCGGGCTTTATCACTTGGATGGTTGGGGGACTCTGCGTAACGAAGTGATGAACTCACTGCGGTTGGATTTCTGTTTTTGGGGTGTTCTCAGAGTACACGTCCAAACACTTCAGCTGTCGTGGCCTTCTTTTGTTGTACTGTGCTAGGGGGATTACTTTCTGGATCACCTGTTTGTGCGATTGACGATATACGTGTGGATTTTGTTTTGTTTTTTGCTTTCCAGCAGGCGGCCATCTGATACCCTTTCTGTTGTGACTTTTGTCACTTTGCTTTGTTTCTGTTATATTCTGAATTGTGCAGGTTTGGTATTGTGGTTGATATTGCGGTTGTGGTTGTGGTTGTGTTGATTGCTTTCTCTCGAGTATCGATTGAGCATGTTCTAAGTTTGTCCTCTTCCTCGTGGCCAACATGCCCGGTCTTTACTATATGCATATACACGCACATATATACATACCTACCTATCTGAGCTGTGGATCTCTAATCTAGTCCTCCGGAGTTGGTAGTCAGCATTCAAGCGACGATCACTGGTCATGCCTGATTATCACAGACGTGTACTTGTCCTAGTTATCACAGATGTATACGTGTCCTATTATGTAGCTCCTTGATTCGAATTTCGCAGGATTAGGTTACATATGTAGTTTGCAGCCGTGGAAAGTTGATGTCTGAGATAGAGGAGCGCAGTGATTGAGTGGACATATACAGACACAGCTGTACACAGACACAGACACAGACACAGACATAGACACAGACACAGGACACCTTCAATTATATATATTCTTCCGTATAGTCTGAATCCAAGAGTCCGAGACGGACCGACGATGTCGTCGTGCCCCTGAACGTCTGAGCCAGACGTGTCCGCCAGTGCGGTGCGGTGCGGTGCGTGTCACGGAATGGAAATAATGCAGAGACACCAAAGGCACCCTTTTTGGGATGGCACATCTCATCTTGTCTGAAGTTTCTTTCCCCGTCCCATCCAATGCATTGCATGACATTCTCTATTCTGTCCTAAACTATGGCATTCTGTCCTGTCCTATCCCATGTACTCCCTGTAAGGCTGATAAGTTCGAAGACCTTGTTTCCCATGTACTTCTATAAAGGCTAATAAGTTCGAAGACCTTGATTAAGGCCGACAATGGAAGCGCGAAGCCAATTAGGATCCTCATCGAAGCGTTTGCGGAGCTCGCCGGACGACAATTCATCGACGTCCCACGAGGCCCAGACGAAGCGGCCATGCAGGAAGGAGGCGTTTTCGCTGGCAAGCCAGACGGCGAAGGCACCACAAAGCTCATCTGAATAGCAAAGGGCGGCTGGGTCAGCCTAATGTGTCTATGATATTCTGTGTGGGATGTGCAAGAAGGGAGAGCAGTAGAAGGGAGAGCAGTAGAAGGGAGAGCAGTAGAAGGGAGAGTAGTGGAAGTTGGCAATGATATTGACAAAGTAAGATAGGATGATAGGATAAGATGGGATGGTATGGTATGGTATTAGAATCATGGGACGATACAGGGCGGAGCACTCACCACTGTCAAACAGGTCAGGCGACAAACCCAGTGACTTCCAGCCATCGTTCCAGATCAGGCCGGGATGGAAACTGACGACCTGGACTTTCTCGCGCGGAGCATCCTGCGCGAGGAGCTGGAACAGTAGCGTGCCACTCAGTTTCGACAAGGTATAAGCGGGACGTTCGGCCACCCCAGGGTGGGTGGTGGAATGGATAGAGGCGGTAGAGACATTGATGATGAACTGGGCGCATGATAATACGTCAGTCCTGGTCCAGTCTCTTCGACATGAATAAAACCCAATTGTGGCAAAGAAAGACAAAAGACAAGCACCATCCTCGCGGAGTGCCCCGTTCACCATCCTCCCGAAAACGGGGGACTCCGCGAGGATGTGTGGACGAATGATAGTACTGTAACAACGGGGATGGGAGAGGATAGGAGGGGAAGGATGGGAACGAGTAGGAGAAGGCTAGGTTAGACGGTGGCAACGCATTGCATTACCTTTCGGGACTCTCCTGGCTGGGCGTAGAACTTCTCGGCGAGATATAACGGAGCCTTGACGTTGGTCTCGACTTGAGACCAGACTTCATCCGTGCCCAGCTCAAGCATGGGCTTCGGCTCGGTGGTTTTGGCGACGTTGGCGACATAGACGTCGACAGTGATGCCCTGGGCCGCGATCTCTTTCCAGACCGCATCGACCTCGGCCGTATTGACGACATCACAGGGATAGGTGACGATTTTGGTGCCGCTGCCGACGGTTTTCGCCTCTTCCTCGAGCCGGGAAGCGGCGTCTGCGAGCACTTGAGCACGACGGCCCAGGATGATGATGGTTTTGGCCGAGGCGCGCACGAAGGCTCGCGCAATCGCAAATCCGACACCGGTGCCGCCGCCGGTGACGAGGACCACTCTTCCCGCCTGGCTCAACTCGGGTCTCGACGGTGAGATGGCTGGATAGGGCTCTCGACGGACGGTGGTCGTGAGGTCGGTGCGGGACATACCGGCCAGCATTTCTGCTATTTCTGCTAGGGTCGACATGGTCACGGTAGAATGCCAGTTCTTTCAGATGGTGTGTGTGTGTGTGTATTTAGCCAGTTCCCACGGCGGGAGGTTTCTGTGTGTGTATCTGAGAGAGCTCTAGGGAGGAGAGAAGAGAGAGAGAGAGAGAGAGATGCTAGTTTCTTATCCCGTTCTTACAACCGGGCATGGACTTGGGTTGGACCTGTATTTATGGCAAGTCTTGACTCCAACCTGAGCTCTGAGAGAGGATCCGGGATTTCCATATTGAGAATGACACTGATCCAGCGGAGGGGCTCAGTGCGGCCGAGTCGACGTCTCTGCCAGCTCTATCGGTACTCCGGATAGGTAGAGATCGAGGGGACAAGACAACACGACAACTGTATGCGCAGTCCATTTTCAGATCCAACTGCGGCGGCCATCTCAAAGCGTGTAGCGTCCGCAGTCGAAGCGGGAGACGCCACAGAAACTCTTGATTAATTGATTGGGCCAGACATCAGGCTTAACCCAAAGCGTGTAGCGTCCGCAGATGTCGAAGTCGGATGCAAGTGAGCGATAAAGACGCAGGTGCACGGACGTGTTCAGTGAAGATCTGATCTGATCTGATCCGACTGACACTTGATCCTTGCTCCTTGCTCTGTATTGCTCAGCAGGCCGTCAGTATGTGGCCAACCGGACCATACGACGGCGGCGGTATCATCTATCCCAGAAGCAGATCGCTGCCGCAGCCCCAATCGTGACATGGATTGCAGGCACCGCCATTGGCACTCACTGCAGAGCGACCGCAATCATAATCAATGACCAGTACGGGCACACAGATCTTGGATGCCAGGGCATGTCGGGCCTGTGCAGCGGCCAAGCGGAGATGCGGCAAACAGAGACCGCTCTGCCTGCGATGCAGGAGAAAGGGCATCGACTGCACGTATCCTCCTCCCAAGCCGAGCAGCTTCGTGCTTTGCGGGGCGGCGGACGACACAATGTCTGCCGGGGCCGCGATGCTGGCGTTCAACCCTACACCTTCAACGCCATCCCCATGCTCTCCAAGGGCAACGACCGATGACGGCAGTTTGACTCTCGGGCTAGAGGTCTCTGGAGTCGACATGGGCTCGGGCATGGGCCTGGGCCTGGGGATCTTTGGTGCGCAGCCAGCCACCTTGTGGTTTGCCGGCGCCGAAACCTGGGAGGTCGACCATGGCCCACTGCCGGGACGGACGAGTTTCTCTTTCGAAGATCTCAAGGGCGTCATGGCCACGGTCCATCGGTGGCTGGCACAGTTCGTGAAGGAAAGCAGCAACCCTTTCATCCACCCTCAACTCTATCGCTATCGGTTTCCACGCTCCATCCAGGATGCCTACGCGGCCCTGTCGTGCCATCTGAACAAGACGGCGTCGAACGAGCAGGCCATTGCTCAAATCATCGAGGATCGAGTCAGGGAGCTGGTCGAGCATGGCAGGGCCACTGCCGCCGCCGGCACGAGGTCGGCCACTCTGGACTGTCTCGACCATCTGGCGCGGGTTCAGGCCTTGCTTATCTATCAGCTCATCGGTCTCTACGACTGCAATATTCGACTGCGCCATCTTGCAGAGAGCCACATTCCCGTGCTGAACAGCTGGATGCACCAGATGGTCGACCATGCCCGATGCGCCCTGTCCTTGGACTGCGCCGCCATCCTGTCCTGCGCCGAAGATGACGCCAATACCGAAGCGAGTGCCGGCCTGAGCTTCTCCGACTTGGACATTCCCGGAATGCATTCCGATAACCTTCTCTGGTACTCTTGGATCCTGGCCGAGAGCATTCGGCGCACTTGGCTGGTTGCCTCGGGTGTGCAAGGCCTATATGTGACTCTTCAACATCGTCGCGCTCGTTGCATGGGCGCCATGATGTTTACGAGCCGGCCGGGCTTTTGGGAGGCCCGCTCAGCTGTGCACTGGATGAAACAATGTTCCGAGGTGTATGGAGGCTTGATCCGTCTGACAGAAGCTGACAGGTTGTTCGCAGAGGCCGGCCCGGATGAAGTAAATGACTTTACAATGCTTGTTCTGCAGCTGAGCTTCGGCCCGGAGCGGCTGGAGAGATGGGGTGTCGAGAATGAAGAGTGATATTAGTGCATGCTTGTGAGCGAGGCTGAGCGCCTCTTTATCCACCCATCTGGTACCAATTGCCCCTGGGTTGAATACATACTTGTACCAAATTCAACGAGACGAGACGGGATCATCAACGCACGCACATAGAATATCAGGACGAAATACCACCATGGGAATGGCAGCGTGTATTGAGAGTGGAGAAGTGAGTGAAGCTCGGTAGTGTAATCAATCACTAGCGACGATGCCTCCAGTCACGATGCTCTAGAATATCGCCGCAATCGAATCTGGCTGTCCATGTTCAAAGAAGATGACAAGACAGGGTTTGGGAGGAGTAGAGACACCAGCTATGGACATTCAAATGGACCATCTAGGCTTCCATAAGGTAGATAGCCGATGAGATGTGAGGTCGAATACACGGCCTTCTATTCACCGTCCGTGAGTTGAGAGAGGAACATGGCCGCCATGGCCTCCATCGCCAGCCCATTCACACCACCACCCGGTCGTCATCGTGCCGCGCCATGAAGCGTTCTGCGCGCCCGATCAAGTCTTCGTACACTGTCCAGGCGAGTGCGGAACTCAGGACTTTCCTTCCCATCCTGAGCCCCAGGCCGTGGAAGAAACTCTTGACGCCGTCCTCCTGGAGCATCAGCCTGGTCGCCTTCAACATGTTGCCGTATTTTTTCGGCATGAGCTGCAGCCTCGTCTTGACCGCGTCGAAAGGGTTGGTCAGACCGGTGGCCAATCCGGCGGCGAGGACGCCGCTCGAGGCATTGATGGTTGCCGAGGTCGCCGATGACGGGGCTTGATCGGTCCTTCCGGAGAGAAGCTTGTTCAAGTCTTTCTTGCAGGATTCATAGAACAGCACGTACAGACCTGCGTACGGGGCGTCGCGGACCGCCGTGGCGCCCACGCCCGAGAAGAAGCCCTTGAGCCCTTCTTGGGCGTGGATCGATCGCGCCGCCGACGCGATCGATTTGTACGCATACAAGTCCGACTCGTAGCGCACTTTGATCACCGTCACAGGCATGAGAACGACGCCGGCGAAGACGCGCGCCGTCGCTCCCGTGAGCAGGTTTTGTGTATTCGACAGCTTCGGCAGCACGGAGCTGCTGGTGTTCCGTCTCACCAGTGAGCCTGTCGGAGAATCTCTTCCATCTGTAGAGGATCGGGCGCTGACGCTGCTGTTCGCAATGATCTGACGCAGAGAGCTTAGAGACGTGAAGTACAGGGCCGACCCGAATCCTGTTCGAAGCGCCGATGGTAGCGTTCCTCGCCAAAGGCCCGCCACCGGATGAGGGCTGGAGAGAATCGATCGAAGGACGGGAAGGAGGGAGGAAGACCGGGACTGCTGCACTCGCGTCTTGAGGAGGTCGGCTGGCTGGAGTAGCACAGCGCTCGCGAGCCCAGAGGTCAGCCCGGCGAGGAAATGGAACGTGGGATGGGCCTTTCTGGAACTCTGGACAGGGCTGGCGGCGCCATTGGACATGGTCCGGAAGATGCGAACGTTCAAACGCGGACGGAGGTTGGTTAAAAGATGGAAGAGTTGCTTGATTGATCAGAAACCAATAGAGGCCTTGACAGGCGCCGGCGCATGGTCGATTCCAATACCAGTCTCAACATACAGCTGCTAGAGCAAAACACGGGTGACGTTGCGAGAATATACGAGCTGCTGGGGAGGAACAACAGCGTAGATAGTTGTCTTGTGCTGTTTCCGAATACGAGAAAAATCGCGAAGAATTTGTGATGAAGTCATCCCAACTTGAGCCGCGCCGACGGCAGCCGAAATCAATAAAATCAATATTAATTATTCAGTTTTCTAATAATACCATTTAGTATGGAGTATGGCGTATTCCAGCTCCCGCTAGCAGCGCGCTGTTGTTGCTTGTAATCACTACTAATTAATACCTTCGCTGTCCTTATGAGTCTCAAGTTCAGGTATCTTGCTCATGCTGCATTGCAGATATCCCTACGGAGTACTCCCGCACGTACTTCAGCCCCTGTCACACCTAACAAACGTCAAGGGTGTCCCGACGTCTCTCAATTGAGGCAACTCATCCAAGCATTCTTGCCATCAGCTCTTTCGACATGACCTTCGTATACATTCACTTATATACAGTCACCCTGAACCCTGCTCGAGCTAGGTGCAGGGAGCCAGGCCAATGAGGTCAAAATAGACACCCACCTCGCGACATTCGATCTCATGTGTGCTGCCTTCTCCGCAGTATATCGCATGGATCGGGAATTCATGCTCCGGACTGTTCGGCAGGTGCATGCAGTGTGCGAGTCTGTCGGGCTGTAATGCCGTGCGCAACTAGGAATGGTTGAGATTTACATCAAGGCCAGGTGAGCCTCGATATCTCGACACAGAGCCTCGAAGTAGAAACCGGCCATTTCTCCTCAAGTACTCCCATTTGCATTCGCAGTCTCGTATCCTTCCGTCTTCATGTCTGTCAATCCCAGGTCTTCATTGTCTTCATCCGACCTTTGGTATTCCTCCGACTTGATCTGGGGATCCTCGCCAGAGTCCACTCTCTTTTGCACATATGAGTTCGCCAACGGATCTTCCAGAGTAATCGAGTATGGGAATTCGGCTTTGATGGCGCGGTCCAGTTTGTCAAAGAACTTACCCCATCTCTCCTTGGTTTGGTCAGCCATGGAATCTCCTGGCGCGAGGTCTCCATCGCCAATGTCAAATATCTGGTTATGAAGTTGCTCCCGCACCTGCGTGAGTAAGCCTTCTACTGTCGTAAATCGCCCACCGAGGGTGCCAGGCTGAACCTCCAAACCGAGGTCTTGGCTTTTGAGGGCGCAAGTTTCTGACTTGAGAATGTCTCGGGATAGATCTTCTACCGTCTTGACATCCAAAGTTATCCGCCGCCCTTTCTCCGGAATTTCGCCGCCAGTCTTCACGTCGTTAGTCTTGTAACCGCAGTAGTCACATACTGTGGCCATGATAATGACATCTTTAAAGTGTGGAACGTTGGTCTTTTTCATGTTGATTGTACATGGTTTCGAGCAAGCCGGGCATTCGGAGTGGAGTTCGTAGATCTGGTCATTAATGACATCGACGTCATTCAGCCCATCGTCGCCTTTCTCAATCTCGTCGTCGGCAATCAACCCAAGCTGCGCATTCTGAGCACGAGTCCGGGGATAGTCCAGTCGGCTGTACTTGGAGCCTTTGTCGTCAGGAGACGGTTCAACAAAGGAGTTGCCGGATGGATCATCCACAGAGACTGTAAATGGGAATGCTTCGCCTTGCAACATCTTTCCCAATCTCTGGATGATGGCCTCGAGTGCGTTGTAAACATCTGGGGTTGTCTTTTTCCTCTCAGGTTGGTCGTACTCTAGGTCTGTCTTGATCTTTATGATTATGCCCTCCAGATTCGTCAGCTGACCTGGCCCGGGAGGCATTTCGAGGTCGAGGTCTTCGATCCGGAAGACGCCCGTGTCGCTCCTGACAATTTGTCGTTGTAGGTCTTGGGGTTTATCTAATCTGAAGGTGTATCTTGATCCCTTCTCTTGAATCTGCCCTGCACTTTTCACGGTCTTATTCTCCCAGCCGCAGTGTTCGCAAGAAAAAGATTCGAGAAGGACATCTTTGAAGTAAGGGATCTTGATGGGCAGTATCCGTGTCACGCCCTACGGTAGTTAGCAAAAATCTGTTACGCATGCAAGGGGGCCGGTGAAAGTACCTGATCGCGACAATTCATGCACAGGCTTTGAATCTCATATACGCCGACCTCGTTGGGGTCGACGTGGACCACCGACGGAGTCCCAGTTGCTGCCATGTTGGCGGTGTGTTGTTCGGGTTTTTATTTTTGATAATTTGTTTCCGTAAAAGGTAATTCTGTCGACGGCGAGTGAAGGCTGGAAGTCCGACAAGATCTTTTTATCAAGTTCAAGTTTAAAGAGTCAAAAGGCCCAGAGCCTTCTCGAACCACAAAATTTGGAATGACGCAGAAGGTTGTCGCTCTGCCAAGCACCAGCTGGGGGGTTGCCTGTCGGAAGTGCGGCGGCTAAAGCAACCTAAATTGTCGCTTCGCTTTAACCGGCACAAAGACCGCTAGGGGTCTCGCAAGCCCACCCCCAAAAATTCGTTGCGCGGGACAGTCGTGACCATATCGCTGCCTCCTACCCACAGCACCCTTATGGTCGTCTCATGAAGTCCATCAGGCTGAGACCGAGGCTGGACTTGTTTTGTGCGCTTCTGTCAAGTAGCGACTGTAATCCTTCACGATCTTTTCTCGCCCTTGCCCTCTTCTTGCTGCTGAGTTTAGTGGACTTCTCTTGGGCTGCATCGGCAGGCAATTCGTCGCGCACAGGCTTTTCATTCAAGCGACTGGAAATTTGGGGCTGCCGTGTCAGACTTCGGACGTCTTTCTTGATTTCCGCCGTCTGCCTCGAGACCCTGTGGCATGAAGAGCACTTCCGTGACAGGATCTTTCTTCGAATCTTTTTCTGCGCTGTTGTCTGGGGTTTGGCCACCGCCGTCTGTGTCGCGGACCGCGTAGAAACAGTCCAGCCTGGCAACAACAGGCTGCCGCACGCTGCACACACATTGTTGGCGGCGCTGGAGGTCAGGCTAGATCGAGAATGTTGGAGTTCGACGCTCTGGGATGACAGATGTCGCGAGGTCGATGGACTTGAAAGGAGAATGATCCGAGCCGACCTTTGCAAGAATCTTGTCCGTAGATCTTGCACATCTTCCATCATGGCCTCACCCTAGACTGTTCTATCTTCCCGTTGATCAAGATAATCAGGGTTGTTGAGGTGACGCTTATTACCAGGACAAACGGCCTTCGAAAATACCTACCCTACAAAATACAGTAGATGCCTGGATGGGGTCCACGTGACACGCGTTATGAGCGATATCACATGACCATCATTACTCTGACGGGTGCTTTGTGTGATTGTCGCAGGAAGTACGAGTATACGAGGAACGGTCAATATTTTGAATGGTGCCGCTTAGATGAGGTCCATCTGCGAGGGCTGAACGCAGCAGCAAGACGAGGCTTGAGGTACTCTGTAGAGTAGGTAGACACTCAATAGGCCAGGAATGCCGCGTCAAGGCGGACGCTGCCGCAATTCTGATATGGAATAACAGATTGTTATATTATTCAATAAGTGTTTCAAGTTGATCTCGGAGTACGGATACTTTCTCTCCGTAAACACAACTCTGTAAAGTGCACGGAGTAGAGTGTATGGTTTGTTGCTACTGTGAGGTTAGGGGGCGCCATCTCTTAACTGATTGGCAAAGTGGAGATCAACCCTTTGGGAACCGCCGGCTCCCATTTAACATTGTGTCACTCTGCCGTGAGATAGAAATACCTATTGATTCTTCTTTCAAAAGAAGCATTGATGTGCAAATGTCCCATGTCTAAACCCAGGGGATTTACCGACGCTCAGGGGAATCGCTTGAAGCTCTTCAGAGCCAAGATCGGAGCGCCCGCGTCTCGAGTATACATAACTCCATAGTCAGGATGTATCTTGTTTCTGGGGGGAAGGGGACAATACGTGGTGGCTGTGACGATTCCGCCTCACCCCACACCCCGTTGATGGTTTGGACGTCACAGATTCTGCGTCTTGGGGCGTAAATGACAAGCCTAGCGTGAGGCCAGATCTCAGGTCAGGGTGTGGTTTGATCAATATCTGGGGGGGTTGAATGAAACCCGGGGCAAGGGATGACCAAGCACTGGCACCTCGAACACCGAACGCCTGCAGTGATGGACACGGCAGCTTTCTGGGCTACCTTAGTAGCATGTACCTAGTGCTAGCATAGCACTTCTATGTACCATGACTACTAGGTAGTCGCGCTCCGTACCTAGGTACTTAGGATCTAGGTACATGTAGGTACCAACGGGATTTATGGCTACGGCGCAGCGGGATGACACCCGTACCGGACGGTGGCGCGACGAGTGCGGGGCTTAGGGGCTGTGTGAGCTGAATGGGCGCAAGAGTCTGGGGAGAAGTCTTCCGACCCTTCACTAGAGCCCGCTGGGACTGGCGCCTCCTTGGCCTCTCTGACTCTCGGGTTGGGGGCAATTGGGTGACGGGTCTCACTCGTCGCGGTAGATCAGCCCGGAGTCCCGGACGCAGCCCAGACGCAGCCTGCGGCCATCTCACTCATTCATTCTCCATCAAAATCTGCTGCTGAATAACATGCACATCCTCCCCCAGCACCCACCCCCGCCCACCACCTCGCCGGCACCTCGACACCTCAACACCTCAACATCTCGACACCTCGCCGTCTTCTACAACCTATCTAACTAGTATCACCGTCCATCCCGAGCCATCTCTTCTTCCATCGTCATATGATTCTTGCCGAGTGTCAACCATCGAGCGGCCTGCCCGTTATCGACAAATCCCGGCCGTTTCTTCATCCTCAACATGGCTGCCTGTCCGCGTGATACCGCCAAAGGAATCACCAAGCCGCGTCGTCGCCAGAACCACTGTTGCGACCAATGTCGCCGCAGCAAGCGAGCCTGTGATGCGACCGGCCTCGGCACCGCAGAAGTCTGTTCCAATTGCGCAAGGACCGGGAAGGTCTGCACTTTTGAGAAGCTCAGGCGTACGGTAACTCAACTAGGCTCAAGCCAGAGCATTAAGGAGTCTTCGCCGTGGAAAAGCCCACTAAACAATCATGCCACCTCTGATAGGCGGCCAACATCAGCCCAAATGCCCGGCTTCTCTCCCAAGGTCTTGTACATCTCAGAACAGCCCTGCTGTGATCAGATATTGTCTTGCCCGAACGAAGATCTTTTTGAGGTCCCTTCCTATTTCACAGCACCGAATCACGAAGCTGCCAGTAAGGAAGTGCGTCGTGCATCTGAAACGAGCACCTCGTGGGCCCCTCCAGCTCTTCCAACGCCGGCCGACAGCGGCCAGGGGCAACTCTATGACACATCGACTCTAGATGCTGCGTCAGTCCTGAACGCCGCGGATCTGGCTCACTTCGATCTGTCCGAACAAGATTTCGAAGAGACGGACAGCATTTTCTCCATGGGTGGTGCAATGCACAACGACGACGGCATAGATCGCCTACCAGGAAACACGCCAGGCTCCGAATGTCATTCGTCCCGTCGGTCATCTTCGTCCTTAGCGGACCCCTCATCGGGTACCATGCTCTACCGTCTGGCGGAGAAGACGAACAAGTCCTTGATTGTGGATAGTTTGACACGCATATATCACGACACCATGGAGAATGCCCTGTCCTGCTGGCTGACAGAACGCACGTGTCCGTATACTTACGAAGGTATAGTCGATCACCCGACCCCAGTCAGTTACAATATGGACGGAGAGGCAACGACGGCATGGAAAACTCCATTGATCTCACGCATCTGTCAGTTGGATCGACCAGACTCCATACTTCGTGAACGACCCTTGACCCCACGAGAGAATCAAGCGGCATCTCGTGCTCTCAAGGCTACCATAATGGCATTTTCAGCCCAGTGGGCGCCGAGCACGAGTGATCGAATAAGCATGACTAATTCACTCGATGGTACCACCAGTACTATCAATGACTACGCACAACGCTCGCCTACTTTCAATCGATCGCTCCAGCATCGCTTGTGGAATGATGCGCACCGCCTCTTGCAGGAGACAGCCGGGCTTGACTCATTTAGGGTCATGTTCGCGCAGCTAGTGTTCTCCTTCACTCAGAAACCCCTTCCCTGCGAGGATCATGCAAGGATTCGGAGGCTCCGTGCTAAGCGAGGAAGCGGTATTTACTCCAGTCTAAATGGTGGTGGGATACAAAACGTCGAAGGCGACTTGGTTGTCGGAATCACTGCAAATTCTGCAAAGCAGGTGCATGGCCCTCGAGACTCGGGCGAGCTCGAAGAGCTTCAGGAGCTGCTAGATCTCCAGGGCCCCCCAATTTATCTTGAAAACGCGCTGATGAGGCTCTCTGACAAAAGGGTAAGGTTGGAGCAACTCGGTGCCGGATCACGAGCAGAGCTGGCACATCCGGTGTCCATCACGGACCGTAAATCGTTCAACCTTCTGTTTTGGCTGGTGATGATGTGCGACACACTTGTTGCTGCTCTCCAGGGACGTTCATTTGTGGTCTCGGACGAGGATTCGCTCATCCTGCGAGCCGAGGATCCAAACCAGCCTCCTAGCTCGGTATCTTTGGGCCTGTGCGAGGCAGAACAATCCGTTGCTGCTTGGCCTTCTCCCCCATTACCAGATAATGATGGCCTCGAGACGACACCGTGGGGCTCGTTCTTTCTGGAGAGAGACAAGCTGACCAAATTGAGAATCAGCTCACCATGGCCCTTCTCGACAGAGTATGCGAGTGACCTCCTAAATGACGCAACTCCCATCAAGGTTCTTCTATACCGCAAAGTGAAACGGCTGCGGAATCTTCTATTCAAAAGAGCTACAGCCAGGAGAGTCGAGGCAGGCATCGTTGAAGCCTTGACCGTCTATGAGCACTGGAACGCAACCTACGGCGACTTGATGCTCAGGTGTTTGAAGCACCATGACGAGCTTTCCCCCCGCATCCAGTCTTGGTATACAATCCTCCTAGGTCACTGGCACCTTGGAGCGTTCCTGCTTTCCGATTGTCTAGAGCAGATTGATCAACATCACAAGGGAGACACCCTCTACGGCGAACTGCGACAGTCGTGCCGACTTGTCTTTGAGATCAGGAAGACTAGCGCATTTCAGGTGGCGGAGCTCTGTCGAGTTGGAAGACCTCGTCATGATTCCAGCTTTCACCAGTCTCGCGACTTCCATACCACCCTCAGCGACGGGGCTATCCTGACCGAGCCGTGGACGGAGATCTTGATTCGCTGTTTCGCAAGGAGCGCGGATAGATTCCTGAGGTGGCTTAGCGACTGCCAATCGGGGCCCCTTCCTCCCTGGGTTGGACCGGATGATGGCGAAACCCTCTACAAGCATTGCGTCAATTGCATCGGAGGGCTTTTCGATCTCGGCCGCAAGTCAGACATGGCATATCTTGCCGCACTGTCGTTCTCTGCTCGACTGCAGGAGATCCCGAGCCCTTTGCGACAGGGTTGTCCAACGTGGAGCTGAAGGCGGTGTATGGAATATGGGTTTACTGGACTGGGAACTTTGTCTTTCTTTGGATAGGAGACGTGAAGCATGAAGCGTGAAGCGTTCTAAAAGCGGTGGTCGAGGTCGAGGTCGAGTGAGTCTGGCGCAGGGGGATGCCAAGACATGGACATTATGCACTGTACTACTATTAGTATTATCACTATCGCTGCTAATTACCTACTTCTACCACGCTACTGGTGCTACTACCTACCAGGCTTACCTAATGCAGTACATCGAAGTCATGAATTTATGAACCACTGACTTTCACCTGCTTCACTTCACTTCACTTCACGAACTTCCCTGTGAATCTCAGCCGCGCAATCCCCTGCGCTGGTTGGACCACGCGTGTCCTGCCGTTTCCTGTTACACGCTAACCTCCTTGTTCAGAACGCGTTCTGAAATGTCTTTTCACATCTCCACTGTTCGCTAGCCCTTTGGCCTCCTTCGCAACCACCAAATAAGCAAAGTAATCAGCTACTCTGCCAGAAGAACCTGGTCTCCAGTGACCTGCAGATTTGGCCATTCGCCATGTCAGAAACTCAGCCGCCAGACGGGGCAGTGTCCGCGATCTCCAGTGAAGACAAAGGAAGTGTCAGAGTCGCGATCGAGGGCTGCGTAAGTCTCTTCCGCGACTATCCTTGTCTCCCGCTGGTCAAGCCAGGCTGACGATCTTCTAGGCCCATGGGACACTGCACGCAATCTATGCATCTATTGATGAAGCCTGTCAAGTCAAAGGCTGGGACGGCGTGGATCTGGTAATCATTGGCGGTGATTTTCAGGTTTGTCGCGCTCAACGCCCCGTGCTTACCAATTGGCTAAAGACTTTCCTCTAGGCAGTCAGAAACCAGCACGACCTCAACGTCACCTCGATGCCACAAAAGTACCGACGCATGGCAGATTTCCATGAATACTACAGTGGCGCCAGAACTGCACCTTACTTGACCATTTTCATTGGAGGCAACCACGAAGCCAGCAACCATCTGTTCGAACTCTACTACGGAGGATGGGTTGCGCCCAACATCTACTACCTCGGCGCTGCCAATGTAGTCCGATTTGGCCCTCTCAGAATAGCGGGGCTGAGCGGCATATGGAAGGGCTACGATTACCCAAAACCTCACTTCGAGCGGCTTCCATACAATCGAGAGGATACTTCGAGTATCTACCATGTTCGAGAACTTGATGTTAGGAAACTACTGTCAATCCGCTCACAGGTCGATATAGGTCTCTCGCATGACTGGCCACAGGGCATTGAGATGCATGGAGACTATGAATGGCTTTTCAAAGCAAAGAAAGGATTTGGGGTTGATTCACAGTCCGGGAAGCTAGGTAATCCAGCGGCACGAGAATGTCTGGATTGGCTTAGACCTCCATACTGGTTCTCTGCACATCTGCACACCAGATATGCCGCCATTCTTCAGCATGACCAGACTGGAGGGTCTTCATCTAGAAAGTCGACATCCAACTTACGATCCCACAACTCTCCTGACCAGCATACGGCAAAGAAAGCCAAGGCTGGGCACCTCTCGAACCCTTCTTCCGTCTCAAGCTCATTGAGTCGCACCCACGACGCTCTTCCTACCCCTGAGGCACGTCAACGGGTTTCGGCATGGCAACAGTTTCACGTGTCTGCTCAACGTGACGATGCTGAAGAAAGAGATAAGATCCTGCAGGACAAAGAAAGTCGGCGGCGGGAGGAAGAGAGAACAGGTATCCGGTCTACGCCCCAATACTCGTTCCAAGAGACCTTCAAGCAGGTCGGCAGTGATGCAGGATCCGATCGTCAGCTCATCTCGACAACTCAGAGTGAAGTCAAGCCTGAAAATCGTGGCAATGCTATCCCCAACCTCGATGGGTGCTTCTTTTCGAGGCCTGTCAAGAGACAACGACTCGACTCTGCATCTCAAGGGTTAGCTCCAGGTCAGAAAAGCTCTGGCCCTGCACTCGTCTACGCTAGAGACCAGCTCGACGGCGCACAAGCTAGTCTACCAGAGGCACCGGATGCTGTTGTCGAAAATCCAGACGCGATTGATATCGATATGAGCGACGAGGATGAGCTCGTGGCAACTGGTAGAAACAGCACCACAACTTCTCAAGCAACTCCTCTTCCCATACCCGAAGCGAAACTCCACAGTGGTGCCGATCAAGACACCGCGGGGAAACGTGGACTATTCTCTGTCAGTACATCGGAGGAGAGTGAGGACGGCGGTGTCAAGCTCAATGCACATGCTGCGGCTTTTCTTGCAGAGCTGTCCATACCTACCCCCGCGAGCAGATCGCCCGAATCTCCAGAATTGCTGCCTGGGGCGCCCAACTCTACACTGAATCCTTCTGCAGAGACATTCCCACCGCCAATCTCAGAGTCAGCTGGTGACAGTACCATGGAGGACTCGACGCAGCTTCCAGTCACAGCTGCACCAAACCCGGAACCCCAACCAAGCGAAAACGAAGTCTCCGAAGAGATGCGAGCCCAGCTAGCAGCTTTATCCAGCACGTTCACGCAGAAAGAGAAGGAGAAGATTGAAGTCTCACCGAGCCTCCCATTCCCCACAGAAATCTCCAACAAGACGACCGAATTCCTCGCCCTGGGCAAATGTGAAGCATATCAAGAATTCCTACAGCTTCTGGAAATCCGCTCGACCACGTCTCATGAACAAAAGATAGTCGGGCCCCTCAAGCTTTCCTACGATCCGGAATGGCTCGCCATCCAGCGTGTTTTCGCTTCCGAACTCGCCCTGGGTGGATTGCCGACGGACAGAGTTCCCCCTCACCGCGGCGAGGCACATTACCGAGATCAGATTGTCAAGGAACAAGAATGGATCTTCGAACATGTTGTTAGGCCTGGTAAGCTGCTGGTTCCGGAGAATTTTTCCATCACGGCGCCGGTGTACGATCCTAACCTCAACGTCGAACCTACTGCTATGCCGACAGAAGTTACGAATCCTCAGACCAGCGCCTACTGCGAATTGATTGGGATCGAGAACAAATTCGATATCAGCGAAGGGGAGCGCAATTTCAGAAAGAGCCAAGGCCCACGGCCAGATCGACCAGAATATCTAGCTTATGAGAGCAGATTCTCCCGCAGACAGTCAGGCGGACACGGGCACGGACATGGAGGTGCTAGAGGCCGAGGTGGGGGTGGGGGTGGAGGCGGTCGTGGCCATGGTCATGGCGGGCGAGGCGGAGGCGGAGGCGGAGGCGGCGGTCGAGGACGAGGACGAGGTCGTGGTGGACGCTGGTGAGCTGCCATGCGTCGAGGATTGACAAGATCCATGTGGACCGAGTGCGCTGTCGCCCGGTCTCGATCATCGCTGATGGGCATGCACGCCAGACTAGACCATCACGGTTTCCGATTTCTGTTGTCGGCAATGGGGGGCACGGGGGTTGACGTCTACCCCAGCGGCCCTTCTGCTTACATGTATTCGAGTCATGACACCGATTTGGGGGCTTAGGACCTCCAGGTCACCTAATTATGTGGGCGACTTGCATAGGTTGTTTCTACAGTCCATGACAGGCTGCTTCATAGCTCGCAAGGCTGGTGCAACCTTTCAATCGTTGCACCGAGTCCCGAGTCCCAGTCCAGTCCGGACTGAGTTCGATCGCATCTCATCTCAGAATGGCCCGCGAGAAGGGGAAGGAAAATGTAAGATATCATCGGATACATACAGTACTATGCAATGGCTGGATGCCTTGGTCGCGCACCACTTCTATTTCGTTTCTTTGCAATCATGCCGCATGACGGCCGTCCCGTCTCAGGCTATCGCACCCCGTTTGTCTCAATCGTAGAGTGAGGTTTCACTTGACGGCCAGCCTCCTACCGGCACTGACTCTGGCCGGCTTTGGCTTTCCAGCCGCAGCCGCAGCCGCGTTATCCAATCTGTCGAGCTTCCTAAGAAACGTCCTTTTCCACGCGTCAAAGTCCTGCGTTCGGTCTTCACTCGTGAAGTCCACTGCGTGCTGCATCATCGTAGCCAGACCGGGAAGTAGGACGCCTTCGGGATCGTCGTCGTCTTCATCCTCATCCGTTCGCTCGGCTTCTCGTGCTCCCCGAGAGACGGTCTCCCTGCGTCTAGATTTGCGGGTGGTGGATATTATGCCATCCTCATCCTCATCCTCATCCCCTTCGTGGGCCAGCTCAGCATGCTCGCTCTCTACATTCGCTTTGCTTCCCCCGACAGCACGCTTACCGCCACTCTGGCGGGCACCGGTAGCACTGCTGTCAGGAGGATCGAAGTTAAATACCGACTCAGGCACACTGTCCCACCAGTCCTGGCCACGACAGTACCCTTCGCGATTGATCCTCCGGATCCACGCCTCCACACCATCCGTGCCGGGTTGGTACGAGAGTACTTGGACGCTTTTGGCGCATGTCGCCTTGTAAATGGGCGCCGTCATCTTGGCGGTCTGCATGCGCGTCAGGGTCATCAGGTATAATGCGATCAGGAGGCCCATGACGGTCTCATCGGAGGAGGAGCCTTGTGAAGAAGGGGGTTGTCCCGTGCCAATCCCTGAGGCAATTCCTGTCCCTGTTCCATTCTCGTCCTCGTCCCTGTCATCGTCCTCGGCTTCTTCATCACGCGGCCATAGCCCTGTCAGCTTCAGGACGATACATGTCCCCGTGTACACATGCGCAGCGAGTAGAGGGGTCGCAAACGTTCTGCACAGTTTGCGGATCGAGGGCACCACGAAAGCTGGTGCTTCCTGTTGAGTTCCATCTTGATTCTCTTGTGAAGCGGTTGTATTCTTCTTTCTCGAGGTGGCCTTGAGAAATGCGGCGTTCCTCGGTGTCGTAGACGGTGTGTGATTGTTTCTCGGCCTCTTAGACGGTGTTTCGTTAGGTTCGTCTTCAAGCTCAAGGTCAAGCTCCGCCTCGGTGGCCTTTCTTTTGCCAGTCGTAGGAGTCTTCGCCTTTGGTGTGGCTATACTCGCTGTGACGTCCGTGTCTAACACTCTCTCTAGAAAAGTCACCAGCTTCTTATACACGGCCGGCTTACACGGTGCCCCACCGGCCTTGACGGCTGGTAGGCGACACTGCGCGCGCAACCGCTTGCACGCAATCTCGCAGCACGCATAGGCCCGGGCGATCTCTTCGTCGGTTTTCAGGTGCGACGCCCGTTGGCGCGACTGCGCGAGCAGCGACTCGGACAGATGCACCAATTGCGACGGCAATTTTGCTGCGTGGCTGGGGAGGAGGACGCTGAGGGACTGGTGGATGGCAGAGGAGGCCGGCATGATGACCCTCTCTTCATCGAATCGATCGTTCAGGCAATTTATTAGTCAAGTAGTCAATCTGGTGGGTGCACGATTGGTGATGGTCAAGTAGGAAGACAAATGCGGAGTGGTGTCTGGCGACTAGGCGCAGGATATAATAACGTAGAGATCGATTGCTCGCCTGGACTTAAAGGACGCACAAGATATAAATTATTGCTTTGCTCTTGACGTCTCAGTTGGGTTTGCAGTGTCTGGCTGTCGTCTCGGCTTCCCAGGTCGGTGCGGCTCATGCATGCACTTTACATTTCCTTTCCCGCGTCGCGTTAACGCGTCAGATATCAGATAGGCTGCTTGCGGACAGAGAAGCTCTGCTCTAACGGAGTGGTAAGGATGGGGGATATTTACGGTGAAGTACTGTACTCTGAAGCACATATAGTGTATGGGAGTATTGGATTTGGTTACCAAGTAGACAGATATCTATCTTACGATCAAGTAACCTCAGGCGCGGTATCTTTTTGCCCGTGGAATATACTTCTTGAAGATTGCATCCTATTTCTGTTTATCAGCCTCGAGGCCCATGTATTGTATCTTGTATCTTGGACAAGTTAGATTGCCAGTGCTGTCTGTCATCGATATTCAAGAACTACAAGCCCAGTATGCATGACTAAATCACTAACTCTTGCTGTGCTACCCAGAAATTCCAACTTCCAGAATGCCGTAATAGAGGCCGAGCTAGAGAGATGACGTCTGTGTTCACGAATGCCTGAAACCTCGAGAATGCCGGCGACGTCTTGCATGGCCTGAGCCGGGTGTGGGACTCGACAGACTCGGCACAGGCGTAGAGGTGCACGTGGAATTGGCTTGTTGATATACTTGGACGCCCCCAATGGCCCAGTACACATCTTTGAAGGCCGTTGGGTTGTTGGCAACATAGTCCCGGCAGGTCGGGGCGAGAGAAGCACACTCGGAGGTATTCCAGGTCTGCTCGATCCAGTCGCCGCACAGTGCAATGTTGAATATGATCTTGAGGTCGAAGAAATGCTTGTCGAACGTCTGGTTACCGCTGCTCACAAACATGGCATCCGGTGGGCCCCAGACACCCGAAGCGTCGTAGGGATCGGGCATGCCGGACACGATGTTTTCGGGGATGCTGTCCCGTTGGAAATTCCAGATCTTGATTCCGTCGCTGCTGAACTCGGTAGCCACGACACTGCCCCCGGCTGCGTTGTAGTCGGTGCCGAAGTTGTTCCAAGAGCCTTCTGCGACGCAGCCCGAATTGCCGGCTGTGTCAAGGCTACAATCTAGACTGGACAACGTCCCTCGCATCTGCGTCTGGTTGGAGTATGGTGCCCCGGTGACGTTGAAGACACGGACCCCAGTGTCGGCGTGTAGGACCATCTTATTGACGTTCTGTGTGTTGATACCTTCCATGATGTCGATTTCTCCGGCTTGTGGCCAAGGAGCACCTTGTCCGAGAAGCCAAAACGCAGGCCAGCTCCCACACACTCCTCCTGGCATATGTTTGATATCCGCAACCCATAGAGAATGGTTGAACGTGTCTATGCTCTCAACCCGCGTCGACGGACGGCCATCGGGTGTGACGTTCAGCGACCACCAGTCGACACCGAGGTAGATGGCATTTTCGAAGGTTTCACTGGAGGCCAACCCAGCCAGTCCAGTTTGGTTCGCGGTCTCTAGATCGACATATTTGACGAATCCGTTCGTGGGGTCGTGGTCGGAAAAGAATTTGAAATCGTCGAAAAATGTTTGGCCCGTGTAGTTCTTCACGAGTTGGTAGTTTGTAGGAGGTGGTTCTTGGGCGCGAGAGGTCCTGACGGTTGCGCTGACCAGCAGCGCAATGAGTATGTTGGACGCCATATTCAGTTGCAAGAATTTGCGGATTTGGTGGTTGCTTATAGTTGTGACAATATCCTATGGTTTGGAGATGTTTAGGGGACGCGTGGAACAAATGTAGAGATTTCGAGTTCAGTGTGTTTGCATATTCCGTAGATTCAGTAAACGTATAGTAGAAGTGACAGCAAATGAAAGCTAACAAGCAGACGAGTGACATTGCGAAGACCGGGATTGTCACAGGACAAAGGTCGGCAGTATAAAGAGTGTCAAACAAGGCAGTTGACAATGCTAACAGGGTGAACGAAGTGATCATTGAGGTAGCTGCAACAATGCATCAGCCACAATAACACTGCTGGCTTAGTTTGGTTGGCTTAATAGGGAGAGCGGTGAATACACCCTGTTGAATTGAGTGAAGACAAGAAGGCTAGCCAATAACTAACCCTCCTTTTCGGCTTCACACTGGCAATTCACCATAACACTTGCCTTGGCCATTAAATATTATTCCCCCGTAATATCCTTTCACATTCAGAGAAGCCGTCCAAGTTTCCAAGGCCAATGGTGTAATGGTCGACACCTCGGCCTTGGAAATGCGGTAACTTCGAAGAATGAGACCAGAGAGATAAGAACCTCGTTCATGGGAACATGGTTCGATTAGACACACAGGTTGATGCTCTTCATGGAAGATGCGTCCCTGATTTGGGTTGGTAATTACAGGTTGACGCTCTTCATGGAAGATGCGTCCCTGGTTACTTGTTGGTACATCGGTTCGAGCCTCGTTCATGGAACTTGGTTCATACCTAAGAGCAAAAATCCAGCTAGAGCCTCGTTCATGGAACCTGGCTCAGTTGGTGCCATGGCACGTTCTCGAGCCTTGTTCATGGAACTTGGTTCATAAGATCAAAAAAAACCCCTTCAGTGGAGTTTCACTTCTCTTGAATGCCCACAATACTAGTCATGTGAGGCGTTCGAGGGAAGTGTTTTTGGCCCTTTGATCAGTATAAATTTTTTTGTCTTTGCCCGCTTGAAAGGACGGCGATAGGGGATTCACTCCACCATCAAAGTAGACTTACATGGGAGGAACGTCCCTTGTACACTGCGATGACCTAAGGCCTATCAACCTGGTGAATAGTTACCTTCCCACAGCCGATAAGGCCTACATCAGACCTGCTTGAGTTGCTGAGTTGCACAGTCATAGTTATGCAGGCGATGCGGGAGCATTTGAACCAAACCTTTAACGCTGATAAAGCTAGCTATACTGCTACAAGCAGTACTGTTCGCTGCTTTGTTTCATTGTAGTTCATAGAGTCGAGAATGAGTTATATTCCTCTCACATAATAACGCGTCGAAAACCACTTTACGCGCTTCCTTGGCATACGTCATGATTGGCTGGGAGACTTGTAGCCCTTTTTCATGTGGCCAAACATGCTCCGGGAATACCAGTCATTGTCTGCGCTCCTGGCTACATCTTGTATGCCAGTCGATGCAGACAGACTTCCCTCGCATGTCTAATGGCCAGACTGCAAGGTGCCACCGTCTCGCGGCAGGTGGTCAATCGCAAGCGAAAACGCCAGACCAAGGACAAAGACGACGCCTCGGAGACCACGACTGACTCACCCGCCGTCGCCGATACCACAACTACAACAGTATCGACAAAGACACACGATGGTGGAACCAAGCCCAGAAGAACTAAATCTGGATCCAAGCCTGCCCACCTCCTCCGAAGCTCGTCTACGAATCTGATCGAGTCCGACATCCCTTGGCCTGACCATTTCAAGTACCTCTTGCAACTGCACAAGGCTCTGAACCTGGTATACACTTTTTGTTGCACGCGGAAGCATTTTGCCACAACATGGGATAATATTAAGTCTGCGGTGGAAGGTCACATCAAAAGACCCCTACTCGAGGAAGATGTAGCGCAGGTGAAGGCGTTGGTGCCTCGTGCCATCCACTTTGCATATGTCGATGAGGAGCATTTGATGGTCACTATTATGGGAGAAGATGATGGAATCCGAGGTGGAAGAGCCGATTATTTTCGGTCGTTAGCAGAAGATAAGAGCGCCCTCAATGACAAGTCCGGAATTGCCAAAGAATTACTGCTTTTCGAGTTTATCGATGGTGATCTGAAGAGACAAGTGGTTGATCCGAAAACTGGCCAGCCTACTAAAGCTACTCAAAAGTTACGAAACGAAGACCTAAAAATGCCAGTTTTCAGTCAAAAATCCATGTTGACACTCATTGAAAAACGCAACACCAAATTTACTTCTGCCATAAATGCTTTTCTCAACGAATGCGCGGAAGAGCAAAAGGACCCCGTCGAAAAGATTTTGGACCTGGGGCGCCAACACATCCCGTATCCTTCCTTGAGCCCTCCAACTACACCTGGACCTGAGAGTATGGGTCTGCCGAAATCCATACCAAAAGAGCGCGAATCGATATCCGACATCATCAAAGAGATGACTGAGCTGGAATGGTACGCAAATCAGATCGTTCCTGATGGTCACCGCGTATTCGATCCCCAACCGGCCATATATGGCGAGCTTAATTTCCAGTTGTCGCAGAATTTGGTCAATGCCCTCTACAATAGCAGGGGCATCACACAGCTTTACTCCCATCAAGCAGAAGCCATCAACAACTTGCATGACGGGCACAACGTGATTGTATCAACATCCACTAGCTCTGGAAAGTCGTTAATCTACCAGATACCGATGCTGCACGAACTCGAAAACGACCCTCAAAGTCGAGGCATGTACATCTTTCCGACAAAAGCCCTTGCTCAGGACCAGCGACGAAGCATGAAGGAGTTGTTGCAGTATATCCCGGGGTTCGAAACTGTCATGGTGGAAACTTTCGACGGCGATACGCCCATGGCTGAACGAAATCTGATCCGGGAAGAAGGCAGGATCATTTTTACGAACCCAGATATGCTTCATATTACCATCCTACCCCAAGAGAGCGGATGGAGGACCTTCCTTCGAAATCTTAAGTTTGTCGTCGTCGATGAGTTGCACGTTTACAACGGTCTCTTCGGATCACATGTAGCATTCATCATGCGACGACTACGACGGATATGTGCGGCCCTTGGAAATCGTAAGGTCAAATTCATTTCGTGTTCCGCAACGGTGGCAAACCCTGAAGAGCATATGAAGACAATTTTTGGTGTTGAGGATGTCAAGCTAACGGATTTCGACGGCTCACCATCTGGACGCAAGGAATTCATTTGCTGGAATACGCCCTATAAAGATCCAGGAGATCCTTCCTCAGGCCGAGGAGACGCGTTTGCCGAGACTGCAAGACTGATATGCCAACTCATTTTGCGTGGTGTACGGACCATAGCCTTCTGTCGGGTTCGCAAGCAATGCGAAGTTTTGTTAGCCGCGGTGAAAACCGAGTTCACTAACCTTGAGAGACCAGAATGTGCAGCTCTGGTCATGGGCTACCGTGGGGGATATGCAGCCCAGGATCGTCGGCGAATTGAAGCGGAGATGTTCGGTGGCAAGCTCATGGGGATTATCGCAACCACTGCTCTAGAACTAGGTGTCGATATTGGTTCTCTTGACGCTGTCGTTACAATGGGGTTCCCCTATACAATTTCCAACCTCCGGCAGCAAAGTGGTCGTGCTGGAAGACGAAATCGAGACTCGCTTTCCGTTCTTGTTGGTGATTGTTTTGCTGTGGATCAATACTATATGCAGAACCCAGACGAAATCTTTACGAAGCCGAATTGCGAACTGCAGGTCGATCTACACAATGAGCTTGTGGTTGAAGGGCATGTACAATGCGCTGCGTTTGAAATGCCAATCCAACCCGATGAGGACACCAAGTTTCTAGGGAAGATGTTGCCAGAAATATGTGCGGAACGCTTGTCCCAAGACTCGACGGGATTTTATCATTGCAACGAGAGATTCCGACCTCTTCCATCCAGATGCGTTGCCATCCGGGATACCGAAGAAGACCACTTTGCTGTGATCGACATTACCCATGGCCGCAATGTCGTGCTCGAAGAAGTCGAAGCGTCTCGAGCATTCTTCACACTCTATGACGGCGGAATCTTCCTACATCAAGGCAAGACGTACATGGTGAAGGAATTCTCACCGGAGCGCAAATTGGCCCGCGTGCAATTGGTGAAGGTGGACTGGACTACTCAGCAGAGAGACTTTACGGATGTCGACCCGATCGAGACGGAGCAGGTCCGTCGTGTGTCTCCTAATTCACTGACCAAAGCATATTTTGGCCGGATCAAGGTGCATGCCGTAGTCTTTGGCTTTTTCAAGGTTGACCAGAAGCGCCGTATCTTGGACGCTGTCGCGGTGGATAATCCGCCCATCGACATCTACTCTCGGGGGCTGTGGCTTGACATCCCAAAGTATGCACTTGAGATCTTTCAACAAAAGCGGCTCAACCTTGCAGCGGGGATCCACGCCGCCGAACACGCGCTCATGAGTCTGATGCCGCAGTTTGTTGTCAGCATGCCTGGCGACGTGCGCACGGAATGCAAGAATGCGCTCAAAGAGTTTGCCAAAAAAGAGACTCAACGCAAACGGCCGGCCCGACTCACGTTCTACGATGCCAAGGGAGGCGCCGCAGGCTCGGGGATAGCAGCTAAAGCTTTCGAGTACATTGATCTGCTGCTCGAACGTGCGGTGCAGCGCGTTGCGACGTGTCACTGCCTCGAGGGCTGTACGGAGTGTATCTGCGACGAGCGGTGCAAGGAGAAAAACTTGGTCATGAGCAAGGCCGGGGCAGAGGTCATCTTGAAGAGCCTCCTGGGCATGGAGATCGACATCGATGCCTTGCCCGAGGGCGAGGAAGAGAGAATCCCCGCCGGCGTGGAGACGGTGGTCTTTGCCAGCGAGGTCTTGGGCAAGAACGGGCGAAGGGTTGCGGAGAGGAATTTCATCAAGCGGGAGAAGGACGACGACGATTGTATTATTATCAAAGATGAACCTGAATGAGATGTAAGATGATTGATGACAAAAACTCTAGCTGTAATTATACTCCCTACTGTCATATAAGGCTACAATGCATGTCATGTGACTGTTCCGGCTAAGCTTCTCCGAAACGAGGCAGAATGGACTAGTCCTATCTGGTGTTAAGTTGCTGCTGTATTTGGATCACTCTGCAGGGTGACTAGCAGCCTGTTCGCCGCATTAATTGGCTGCCCGTCTGAATAACCGCCAGACATCTCTGCGCCATCACACTTCCAACAGCCCAACCTTAGCTGTCTGCGCCCTCTCACACTCAGTCTCCCAGCCGACACCATCCCTTATGCATCGTGGGTTCATGCAACTAGGTCTTATCCATCAGCAACCCATCTGCATTATCCCACCCAGCGAACCCCAGCTGCCCAAATATTCTCTGGCAATAAGAACGCCGTTTGCCTGGCTAAGCGAGTTACCCTTTAGTTGCTGCCTCGAGGGCAAGAATAGAACACTCTTATGCGATCGTTCGCAGTTCCACTGCTATCAATCACCTTCCACTGCTGTACCTTTTCAGATGTGATGATTTTTAATTTCTGCTTTTATTGTTAATACATCCATGTTCTTCACATATTTCGCGAGACCCGACGATATGGCGTCCACTGTCCAAATATCCTATCCCCGGCAATCAGCAGATGTGACATGATCAATATGGGCGCTTAACCCACCAATCTTCCAAATCGGTGGTTGGGCGAGAACTCCCATGACTATGTATGTGATTCTTGCCTGTGACGGAGCCTGTTCTCATGTTTCAAAAGGCGACCTCTGCCTGCAGCCGAAGAGGCGCAACTGTCACCTAGACACTCCATAACTTGCCTTCCTCTCCCCCCTCCTCCTCCTCCTCCTCCACCGCCGCGACCTCAGAGGGATGGTCAATTTACAAGCTCTCCAGTACGGCCTGGGAGCGTCCCGCGTCAAACTACATTGACCGTCAACGTTGGGTCTGCTGGTGGTCTCGTGGCTCACACCCCCATATCGGCGACTTCGTTGTATGGCCCATTCTCCCCTACGTATTCTGCGTCCCCAGGCCCCAGTCCGAGGAGCCTGTTTCCTATGGCCGCAAGAGCATCGGGAAATTACAATGTGCCGTATGATCCCAGGGAGTGGGCTGGTGGGAGTCATCGAGCCTCAATAGTATTGGAGGATCACAATCATGGACTTCACGCTGAGGGTATTTTCATTGCCAGAGATCGGACTGAAAACTGTCGAGTCGAGCGTGTCTAATGTGTGACACAGATGGATTTACCAACCCACCTCCTCCATACACGGCTCCTTCGACGCAGAGCACCGCTGTGTGCACCAGTGCTGGTCCGGCGATCTCACCCACTGACTCGACCCGTGTAGGTGGGAGCTCCTCACACACACCAACTCCGACAAACACAGCATCGATGTCGACGGGTGAGGGAGACCAGGGTATCACCAGTGCAATGAACAGTCAAAACTTCAGGCAACCTGACCGGACCAATAAACTAGATTCACGAATGGCCCAGTTGAGCATTGCCTCGCAGCTCAATGATTCCCGGCGCGAGTCTTCTTTGGGTGTCACAAGGCCGATTTCTGTGGCATCTCTCATGATAAACACGACGGCCGCGCAACAAAATGTGGCTTCGATCGCCTGGGAGACCACTCAAGACCACACCGGTCACCTACCGCAACCTCCCGCGGCCAGGAGGGCAGCGTCCACAGGGGCAATCTCTTCTCAAGGAGAATCAAGCCATAGCCGGGATGCTTCAAGGCCGGCATCATCCTCCAGGCACGGGAGCTGGCTGCCTGGAATGCCGTTACCGGGTCCGCCTCCAGGACCACCTCCATCCTCGTCGAGGTCTCAGAGTGCAACTGGAGTTCGGAGTTTTGCTCGAGTGCACAATACGGCATTCGGCTCTCAGCCAAACAACTATCGCGTGCCATTGCGGCCACCGGTCCTGAGTCCGCTCCCTCCAACTCCAGCAAATTGGAGTGATGATATCTCAGATCGACCAGCAGCAAAAGCACCAATGCCGCTGCACATTGAGACGACCAATCTCGATAGACCCGTTTCTTTCTCTGGAGCACTAAGCCGAAGTTCTGCCCTTCGGGTCTCTTCGGCCAAAGGTCTGCTTGAGCGGCGGAAAAATCGACGAAGCGTGTATGAAGGACAAGCAGCAGAAAGTAGTGCTTTGACCATTGAGACCGATCCGTGGGCCGATGCTATAAGTCCGTCTGTCTACAGCAATGATCCTTCGCCGACTCTTGAATCCACCGGTGCTGGAGCACTCGACTCAGAGACTAGGATGTATGGCATCCGAACACCTGGCATATCGACCCAGCATGTCCAGCTCCACGAAGGTCGCAGTTCGCCATACCTCTCCACAAATGACCGCAGTTCATCTTTCACCACCGCAGCAAACACCGGCATTGGTGCACGAAGGGCTGCTTCCAAAGCACTCCCGACCCCTCCACTTAGTCAAAAGAACCCAACCTCCGCTCACAGCGTTCTTCCATCGACCGCATCTTCAGTTTCTGAACTGGGACAAGGCGAGATAGACCCTTTCATCGCGGAAGCGTCGCATCGACATCACGAGTTCTTGCTACAGGAAAGCCACGCCGCCTCCGATTTGGAACGTTTGCAGCTTTTCGTGGATTTCATGGTTGAAGAATCCCAGATTCGAAGGCAACGCTATCCTGCACCATTCGTGGAGGGAAATTTCGACATGGAAGCAGCTAAACAGCTTCTATTCGATGGGGGTACCAGCGACATCGCTATGGAGACCAGCCTAACGAGCCATAAGAAAAACGCCTCAGGACAGCAGGGTACCGAGATTGATGTATCTCAGCGTCCGGAAGGTCTATGGTGGAATGAGTTCCGCCCAGCTCTCTCGCCAATTGCTAGTATGAGCAACGACGAGCTGAGCTCTCGTGGTCGGACGGCCAGCCAATGGTGGCAGTCTCAAACTAGATCCGAAAGTGATGGTGTCGCAAAGAAGATGAAAAGAACCAAAAGGGAGTCCAAGTACATGGGTCTCTCTACGCTTTCGGTTGAAGAGATTCTGTCGGAAGCGGCAACGCCCAGAGATTCCCATGAGACTTACCAGGCGGACGATGCGTACCCTGAGGAAAAAGCCAACCCAGACACCCTGGGCATCTACGGTGACGAGGTCACCCACGCCACAACCTACGAACCCCTCGCCGATCCGCCGGCCCTGCCGCTGCTCGACATTTCACGATTCATTACACTGCCTCCACCATATCCAAGGCACTATCCCGCTATAACTAACGGGCATCCGAGACTGGCGACGTATCGTAATGCCGTCCGAGCATTGAGTGACTTGAATGAATTAGAGAACCGAAGATCCCGGTACCAAGTGGCTGTTGAGGCGCTACGCGCCGAACATGTGCGCAAATCCAGTGAGCGACAGCAGTCTTTCCAGGTCCAGGTCCAAGTGCAAATTAAGGAAGGTAGCATCACTTACGCTGAAGCGGCTGAAGCGGAGCAAGCTCTACGAACAGAAGACCACAAGGCTGAGAAGGCCTGCTTGCAAGCCGAGTTCGATACGCTGCAAGATGTGCTGATCAACCCAATGCATGATATGTTGAACGATCGTGTTGCCCAACTTAGTGCTGGGATCAAGGACTTGACTGAGGAGCTCGGGGTAGAAATGCATGCTCAAAATGTTGACCGCGCACAGCAAGAGGGAGACGCCATGCCAGAGATCCTGGAATATCTCACTCAACTAAAATGGCTCTTTGAGACCCGGGAGCACATGCACAGAGAGATCTTTGACCTTCTGAGTGAACGTAACAACAAGTACAAGGCCATTGTCCTGCTTCCTTACCGCCAAGTCCACAACCTGGATAAAATCCGAGACACGGAGGGTTTCTTCACACAAGATGGGTTCGAGCGACGCAAGAGCTTCTTTGCAGAGGCGGTTGTGCGTTGCGAAGACTTTGTTCGGCTAGTTGCGGAAAATGTTGCTCAAGAGGTAGAGCTGCAGTCGTCTGCCTTCTGGGATATCGCTCCCGGCCTTCATGATTTGGTGCAGAGGTTGCCAGATGCACCGGAGCAGCTGGGAGCCATCGCCATACCAGAGTCCGAGTATGCGGAAAACCCAAGCTATCACACATTCCCGCAACAATACCTATATTCGCTTCTGGAACATGCGGACAAATCGACATACCAGTTCATCGAGTCACAAATCAGCCTCCACTGTTTGCTGCACGAAGTCAAGGGAGCCCTCATTGGAGCGCAATATCGAGCTAGTGAAGCTGCTGACGCGACTAAGGCGGCAGACAAGCTAGAGGACGCAAGTCCAGACAGCGACCTGAAAAGATGGCGAGATGAGCAAGAGGCTTCGGCCACGGCTGAGTTGAAGCAGCAAGTGACGGTGATCGAAGAGCAGTGGTCCGAGGCATTAGGCAGGGCATTGCAGGCGAAGAAAGCACAGGTCAAGATGTGCTTGGAGAGTGTTGGAGGATGGGACGAATCTCTGCAGGGAGAAGGCTGACATGATGATGGAAACAATCTTCGAGAGAAAGTCCATGACTGATGAGCTGATGAATAGCCAGTGAAATCCTGAGCACGCACGAATATGGATAGAGGGTACTATACAAAAGAATACGTATGGTCTCTTCTTTTGTACAGGTATCTTCTATACCATCTGGGTGCCATCCTTATAGTGACTACAGCACATTGCTGAATAGCCGGGAAGTCCAGAAGCGGGATCCGCCCCGATTCTGCCATAGGTTGCAAGGCTTTGAGCACGGTATAGTCCCTGGAACTATTCACACGCGAAGTGAAGATCGCAGCCTTGTGGGAAGGCGCTGACGTCATCCGTCATTGTGGTGGAGGAGTAAGTCCCCGGGGGGTAGCCACCCCACCAGACATGTGATAGAGTGCATTTCAGACTGCGCCCAACTTCAACTCCCACCACTGGGCTGGGAGATCTCGATCAACGCCGCCCACGCACACGTTGCCACCTGGACGGCGCCAACGGCCTTCGTGATCAACATGTCATCCTGGCTTCGAATGTTCCGCCGTCCTGCCCGAGCATGCCACTAGACCTCAATCTAGGAACGATTGACTCGACCGAAGCTTCGCCTGCACCTCCTCATCAGAGTCTGCCACGAGCCCACGGACATCTTGAGAAGATGGCGAGCGGTGGCCTTGGTGGCCTCACACAGGCTATGACGTTGATAGTTGCCCTGGGCGAGCCAAATGTATCTTGTGATCAAGTCCTCTTGGACATCTACATAGCGAGGTGAGTGGTCAGAAAAAAGATATTCAAGCTGAGCTGTATCGCCTCTTGTCCGCTTGATGCTATTATATCTATCTTCTCGCGGTATTTTCTCTACCTGGATAGCATAAAATCCCTTGGAATTTGCTGCCACTGGGCCCAGACACGGTGATTATCACATCTGAACTGCCCTTCCTTGCCCAAGATGGCTGCCCAGGAAGCACATACTCGGGAAAAACGGTCACTCTCCAGCGGCAGAACGGCAACGAATGTCGAAAATGCCCAGCCTCCTCGCAAGAGGAGCTTCACGCAGTTCGACGCGGACCACCTGAGCGCAGCATTTGAGAATCCTCTGAGCGGCATCCCCAAGGAGCAGCTGCTACAAAACGTCGAGACCTTCTGCAGAGACAACAATCTGTTGGAATACGTCGATGTCTTCAAGAAAGGGGCCCTGGTTGCACAAAGCCCGAAGAATTTCGAGAGCATTCCTGAGCTGTCGCAGGAAGATCGCGACGTTCTTACACGGGAGCACACGCATCGATGGTCTCAACCCTTCACTCTCTACTGGTTGGTCATCATGTGCTCCCTGGCGGCTGCCGTTCAGGGGATGGATGAAACGGTCAACAACGGAGCACAGGCCCTGTACCTCAAGCAGCTCAACATTACTACCGATCGATTCTCCGAGAATATGGTTCTCTCGATCACGGGATTAGTCGTCGGGGCGCCATACTTGGCGTGTGCGGTGATCGGCTGCTGGGTGACAGAGCCTATGAACAAGATCTTTGCTCGCCGGGGGACCATTTTCATCTCGTGCTTCATTGCCGCAGTGGCCTCTGTGTGGGAAGGAGTCTGCAATTCATGGGTCAACTTATTCCTGGCTCGTTTTGTTCTCGGTACAGTACCTGCACTGGCTTGCTCCTTTCGAGGCGTGCTCTGACTTTCGCTGCAGGTTTCGGAATCGGTCCAAAGTCTTCAACTGTTCCAGTCTACTCGGCTGAGTGCGCCCCGGCGCCGATCCGTGGAGCCCTGGTTATGCAATGGCAGATGTGGACGGCCTTTGGTAAGCCCCAGGACTTGCTGCTGCTCTGGACAATTCTAACATGAATGTTGTATCAGGAATTATGCTGGGCAACATAATGGGCGTTGCATTTGGTGGTTTAGATCCAGATCTCGGCTGGAGGCTCATGCTTGGTAGCACAGTGGTGCTTCCCCTAATAGTTTGCGCTCAAGTCTATTTTTGTCCCGAAAGCCCCAGGTAAGCAACTGGTCAACGTGCTGGTCAAACCCCGGTACTGACGTACCTGGCAGATGGTACATCCAGCACTATAAGTCAGAAAAGGCATTCCGGTCATTCCAACGTTTGAGATTCACGGACCTGCAGGCGGCTCGGGATACTTATTATACATATGTCGGTGTCGAACTCGAGCGCGAGGTCCATCACGGCAAAAATCTCTTCACACAGTTTATCGAACTCTTTACTGTTCCACGCAATAGACGGGCAGCACTGGCCAGCTTTATTGTCATGTTTGGCCAGCAGTTTTGCGGGGTGAATGGTAAGTGAAGCAGGCTCAAACGGCTGATCGTCGAGGACGAGACTGATATGGAGGCAGTCATTGCGTACTACAGCACGACAATCTTCATTGAATCCGGCTACTCCACGACATCGGCGCTATTGGCATCCATGGGGACGGGCATACTGAACTGGGTGTTTGCCATCCCGGCGATATTCACCATCGACCGGTGGGGGCGGCGCAACCTGCTACTGTTCACGTTCCCCTTTCTAGCCCTCTTCCTCTTGTGGACAGGTTTCAGCTTCTGGTTCAAAAATGCCAAAGCCGAAGTAGGCATGGTGACGACAGGAATGTATCTTTTCGAGGTGTTCTATTCGCCCGGGGAAGGCCCTGTACCATTCACCTATTCGGCGGAGGCGTTCCCAGTTCATGTCAGAGACGTGGGCATGTCGTTTGCTACGGCAACCACGTGGTGCTTCAACTTCATCCTGAGTTTTACCTGGCCACATCTCCTGGGTGCGTTCAAGCCCCAAGGCGCTTTCGGCTGGTATGCGGCGTGGTGTATCATCCTCTGGTTCCTAATCCTGATGTTTGTCCCCGAGACAAAGGTGGGCATTCCACAAGTTTGAGGGTTCGCAGCTACAATTCTGACTGACATCTCTAGGCCCTCACCCTGGAGGAACTCGACCAAGTGTTCAGCGTCAGCACCCGCAAGCATATGGGCTACCAGCTGAGGAATGCAATCTGGCATTTCCGGACTCGGGTGTTGCGACAGAACCTTGAGCCATTGCCACCATTCTATCGACGGGCGGAGAAGTTGACCGAGGCATGATGCTGGAACCGAATTGTTCGCCTTCTCACCGACACCAGAAGAAGATGCTCCAGCAGCTACGAGGGCACCGTCGACTATTCTAGCCTGCGATAAGCGACAAGGAATTGTGATAGGGAGATAAGGCCATGTACGGAGTAGAACAAAGTGTGCTGGCTGTGTTGGGTGGTTACATATTTCATAATCCATCCGTCTCCATCCCCATGTCCGCCTCCGTCACCTCCATGTTCCCGCAACTACCCGAGCTCCATGCTACTCTATGTGTCTATACTCCGTACTATGACGGAGGCTCGGGGTTGCGAACCCGACGACACCGAGGGCAAGCCACGTGATGTACGGCGGAGCTTTTATCGTGAACTACATGCGCCTCAGACACTGACTACTACGTATCCGTACTTCTTTCCAAATAGCTCACAGATATTTAGTTCTGTTCCCAGAGGTGACGCTCGGTACTCCTCAGTAAGTAAACCTTCAATCCTGCTATCCACAGGTCAGATAGGTATACATGGTATTCTGTGAGACTTTCGGCTATTTCAGTTCTTAACTCCGGTAGGACCGCTGCTCGACACCTCGTACTCATACTACTGTGAACTGCTGACTGCAAATACTAGCTTTGTTGGCCCACAGCAACAGACAGTAGGTTCTGTTCCTACAGGTGACGCTTGGTACTCCCTATATACAGATCAGATAGGTCTACACGGTACTAGATGGGTACTTCGGCCACTTCAGTTCTTAACTCCGCAAGGACCGCCGCTCGACACCTGAGGTAGTCCTCATATATGAGTACCACAGTGAACTGCTGATATACTAGCTTTTCTGGCCACAGTCGATTAAATCCTGCATCAACAATCAACATGGCAGCAGCGCGTCCGTCCACCTGGCTGATCACCGGCGCCTCATCGGGCTTTGGCAAATCGCTTGCTTTGGAGGCTCTCAAGGCTGGCTACAAGGTCATTGGAACCACCCGCGACGTTGGCAAGGCTGAAAATGGCTCTCCTGAGTTCTCCGCCAATGGTGGGATCTGGATCGCTTTAGATCCCGCCCATAAGAATGCCTTCGATCAATTTTCCAAATGCTGTCAAGAACACGATGTTGACGTGCTCGTCAACAACGCGGGCTATGCGTTCATTGGTGTCGTGGAAGATACAAGGTCAGTAGGCGCTCTCCACGGGGTGTTTTGATCGTGTTGAAAGTCGCTTACCTGTGGACATGCGCAGCGAGGACGAAGTCCGCGACCAAATGGAAGTCAACTTCTATGGCCCTCTCCGCACCGTGCGAGCCTGTCTCCCTACCATGCGTGCAAAAGGCTCTGGTAACATTGTCCTGATCAGCAGTGGTGCTGGGTACGCCAATCCCCCCTCCCTCCATCGGCTTCTCTCCTCGTCCTGAAACACAGTTGTCATTCTAATTCAGAGACATGTGCGCACCTAAACAGCTTCATAGCCCGCCCTTGTCGAGCTATGTATTCCGCCAGTAAATTTGCTATCGAGGCTGTCCACGAGTCCCTTTCCTACGAGGTCAAGTCCTTCGGCATCAAGGTTCTCATCGTGGAGCCGGGTGCATTCCGTACGCCCTTCTCGAGCAAGATCATCACTCCGGCTCAGTATGATGGCAATAACGGCTTCAGCGAGGCCTACAAGGATACCCCAATGGCGCAGATGGTCGCCGGATCTCGAAACCTCTCTACTCCAGACATGTGCAAGGGAGACCCTGACAAAGCTGCACAAGCTATCCTTAAAGCGGTTGTCGGCGGTCACGATTATCTTCGTCTGCCTCTGGGGGTAGACTGCGTAGCTGCACTGGAGTCCAAGATAGGACAGTTGCAGAGCGACTTGGAGGCTACCAGATCAATTGCCATAGCTACGGCTGTCGATGACTAGGTGTTGTACACGACCAGTCGATCGCAGATGTTAGACCCTGTGAGGCGCGAGGCGCTGTTCGTGCCTGGAACTCTGCGAGAAGGAATGATCGATCAATCGGCGGAACCCTGACCTTTCTCTCTCTCTCTCTCTCTCTCTCTCTCTCTCGTCTCCGGAGTATTTGTTACACCAGTTGCGCCACTGCTCGACCCTAGCCACGCCGGTCGGGAAATCCCGGGCGCAGGCAGCCTCGGGCCTGAATGATCGAGAGCTGTTTGCCCCTCCATCCACTCGTCCTTCGTCCTTCGTCGCGATGCAATTCAACTCGGATCCCAGTGGCATGCGGAGTGCATCCACTTCCTCCCACTTTCTGCATCATCTCCCGAAAAGTCTGGCCTCAGAGCCCTCACGACCCGAAACGAGGTCGTCGGGTTCTTATATCTGCAGATAGCTTCCTCAACAATAATCAATCTCCTGTTTGACCCTTCAGAAGCATATTCCGCGGTGATTCTCCTTTTAATCGCGCCTTTCCTGTGTGAACTCGATCTTCATCCGCCCGGACCTATCTGTCGCTTCCCCTGCGGTCGAGTCTCCATACTCCATTCTTCCGAGGCCGAGCGTTCTTCGTCGCGTGTCCGAAGTCTCTCCGCTACTCGCTACTCGCTGTCCTGTTCTACAAGTTCTCGTGATTGCCCTTGAATCCGATCCGCTCCCATCTAAACAGCACAACATGGCTGGCAACGGAGAGTCCAATGGCCATACCACTGGCACCGGCCAGGAGAAGATCAACACCGATATCATCACCCTCACAAGATTCCTCACGGAAGAGCAGGCCAAACACAAGGAAGCCACTGGTGATTTCACGTAGGCTCAGCTCTTCTCCGCATTGAAGCCTCGAGACTGACGCTTTCTCTAGGCTGCTCTGCCACGCTCTCCAGTTCTCCTTCAAGTCCATTGCCTACTACATCCGACGAGCTACTCTGATCAATCTAACCGGTCTGGCCGGTTCATCCAACATCACGGGAGATGACCAAAAGAAACTCGACGTGATTGGAAATGACCTGTTTATAGCTGCCATGCGAGGCTCCGGCCGTTGCAGGGCTCTGATCTCGGAGGAGGTGGATGAAATCATATACTTTGACGAACACCCCAATGCCCGCTATGTGGTTGCATGCGACCCCATTGACGGATCAAGCAATCTGGATGCTGGTGTCAGCGTCGGTACCATCTTTGGCATCATGAAGCTCCCCGACAGCGTGATTGGATCTAAACCCAAGCCGGAAGATCTGCAAATGCCTGGAACCGAACTGCTTGCTGCTGGGTAAGATGGGAGTCCTGCGAGACGGAGGAACATGTTGCTAACTGGGCTAGATTCACCATGTACGGCGCCTCGACCCAGTTGGTCATCACCTTGAAGGGTGGCACGGTCAACGGTTTCACCATGGTAAGCTAGAACCTGATGGAAATCGGAATAACCACTCGTCCACTGTCTAACCCAGGAGCGATTAGGACAACGCCCTCGGCGAGTTCATCCTCACCCACCCCAACATGCGCATCCCCAAGAAACGAGGCATTTATAGCGTCAACGAGGGCAACTCGTTGTACTGGTCAGACAAGACAAAGGCATACTTTGAGTCTCTGAAATACCCCAAGGAGGAAGGCGGCAAGCCCTACTCGTCACGTTACATCGGCTCCATGGTCGCCGACGCTTACCGGACCCTGCTGTACGGCGGCATCTTCGCATATCCCGCAGACAAGAAGTCGCCCAAGGGCAAACTGCGGATTCTGTACGAATGCGCGCCCATGGCCCTGGTCATGGAAAACGCAGGCGGCCAGGCCATCGATAGCCACATGCAGAGAATGTTGGAGGTCCAGCCCAAAGGCATCCATGACCGGTCTGGTATCTTCATGGGCAGCCACGATGAGGTGGAGAAGGTCATTGCTGCGCACAAATAGGCGTCCTGGCTCTCAAGACAAGTTGACGACAAGAAAGTGCTGAGCGACGAATGTTGATTCAGAAGTTCAAGTCCATTCTGACTCGAGCACGTCTCAGATAGCCGGGCTGGCTTGCTCAAGCACCACAAGCTTGCTTTACTACGGATGGGCGTAGTTGTGGGTTCTGGAAAGGAAACGACCTCACATATATCGCACTGGAGGACCTTGGGTGTAGCGTTAGGTACTGCATGCCCCTGGTGTATATACGGTACCTGCCTGCCCTACTGTGTACCGGACGAATTCTATGGTACCAGAATGACATTACCATTCACCTAGACATTGAACGTGAATTTGAAAATGAAGATGAAAGTCACGTCGAATCGAATGAAAAGTAAAAGTCCATGTGCAAATCGGTGGCACGGCATGTACTATTACCACTAATTACTCCGTATGAGTATGATCGGCACAAGCATGTGTTTGATGTGTTTGCTCCTTTCCTTTGAAGCAGGCAGGCATTCAGTTATACCCCTATACTGTTGGGGCTCCGGCCTCTACTTCCGCCTCTTCGCGACCTCTTCCCTCTCTCTGTCTTTGCATTGCATCTCTCTGGCCAGACGGGCGGTGAAGTCGCGAAGCGCATCCACCACTTCCGATTCAACAGTAGAGGCCACGGCCACCATATCCCTATTAGCATTCTCAGTCTCGGTCTCGGTCTCGTTTCTGGTTTCGTTCCGGCTTTGCTTCTCGCCGGTCGGCGTAGGAAGGCCGTTTGCATTGCTGCTCCTACTCTCGCCCCCATCCCGCCTCCCTGCTGAAATAGCAGGAGCGGCGAACCGGCCGTAGCGCAAATCACTTAACCCGCCCACGCGCTCTTCGCAGGTGCGCCGCCCACTCTGTACTTGGGCCTCCAGGTCGGCGATTTCCAACTCCAGATCGGCCCTGGCATCGTCCATTGCGTCGAGGAGGCTGGATATGGTGTGGTTGCGCGTCGGTCGAGGTAGTGTCTGCCCTCGAGGTCCGTCGAGTTGGAGATCGATTTGGGTCTCTGTCCCTCCGTCATTGTCTCTGTCGCTGCTATCGCCATCGGATTGGTTATGGTCATGGTCATTTCTGTGCTGGCCATTGTGTCGATTTCGGTTGCTAGCCCTGTGGGCGGAGCCATCGCGGTTACGATCAGTCGTGGATCCAGGGCCAGTTCTTGTAGCGCTGGCCCCTTGCTGTGAAGCTTGTTGGATTTCACTCTCACTCTCGCTCTCATTCTCGTCTTCATCTGCGTCATCGCCTTCATCGGCAGCGCCACGCTTTCTCTTCCGCCGGGATCTTGGACTAGCTGTACTTTCGCCCTCTTCCCGCCGTACTTGGTGCCTCAACCGGGCGAGCAGTCCCGCGCTGCGTCTGACCTCGTCGTCAATGCGCCGCCGGACATCGTCGATCGTGATGTCCCGCTGGAACTGGAGGTCACGGTACAATCTCTTGAGTTCTGGGTTTGGGCGGGCTGAAGATCGTATTGAAGCATGATTCGGGACGAGACCTTGGAAAGTCTGGAATGGCACGATCGTGGGAAGAGGTGATGGATGGAGAAGGTAGGAGTACAAGATCTGGGATTCAGATGGAGGTGCCATTGTCGAGAAGATTAGTTAGAGAGAGAGCGCCTCGGCTGAGGAATTGGAAGTTGACAAGCCTGCTGGTGTTCGGTTGGAGGGTTTGAGGTGCGGACGATAGAGTCTAGCTGGAGGATTGAATGGTGTTGAATAGAAATTCTCTAGTCGGTCGTGAAGGGCAGTAGATAGTAGATTCAAGGCCGGGTCTTTGTTTAAAATCTGATGTTAGACTCCCCAGGTCTAGATTAGTTGTGGTCGTCCTTTACCGTTGCGGAAGTGAATCAGGTGTCACTCATCCGCACAGGGCGCTGAGAAGATTTCACTCCGTGTCACTGCCAGTTATTGTCCAAGCTCAACAGACGCTCGCAGTTGTTGTTGTTGCCATTGCGATTGGTCTGAATCGACAATGATAGCTTGTATGGTCGGCGTGCTTGGTCAATCGTGGTATACAAGTGTGTCGAAAACGTTGCTATTGCCAGGTCGTCGTCGTAGGCCAGGCCAGTCCCGTAGTGTCTATCGTATGGTCAACAGGCGTTTTAGCTCTGTAATGTCGTCCCAGCAGAAGGTATGAGTATGCTGGGTTTCCAGCCGCAATTCAGATCCGTTCGTCAAGATACAGTACAGACTGCTCACTCAAGCCCAGAACCAACAAGCACACAATGCCGCTGGAGGACCTGTCTGAGATCGACGGCCTGGGCGAGGCGCTCGTGGTCAGTGTCGAGAACTTGGTGACTTGTGGAAGGAGGATCGATGAAGACAATCCGGCATCTCCAGGTATATGGAGCGCAGGGGCTGTGGAACGGCGGCTGGTGAGTATCCGCTCTTCTTGGGCAGTCCGACAGGAAACAGATGCTGACGAAGGCGGTGGTGGTGGTTCACAGTCTCCCTCCCGCGGTCCGGGTGTCGGTGGATGGGCCAGAAGCAGGAGGATGGTGGAGGATGGTTGCAGTCTTTGGCCAGTCTGGAGGACGCGTCGCCAGCAGCCAATCGGAGGCCGGAAGAGCACTTGCACTGTACGGATGGCTGTGTCTGCGCCTCGTGCACCGACTTCTTTTCCCAACGCACGCCCTTGGCTTCGGTTATCTTGTACAAACTGTCCTTCTTCACCGCCTGGTTGCGCGATCGAGTCGGTGCGGGTTTTGTCTCTGTGATCTGGGGAGGTGTTGGGGGTTTTTTCGCCTCTCTGTGTCCCAGCTCTGCTCGCCGCCGCAGAATCTGATTGCCATCCATCAATCATCAACTCCCACACCAGCAACGATGGCGCCGCAATCCAGCGAGAGCAAGCCCATGTACCAGAAGGACGAGAAGGCGCTGTGTTTCCACGGCGAGCTGCTCTATGAGGCAAAGGTGCTGGACGTTCGACGACAGGATGCGAAGGACAAGACAAGTCCCCATGAATATCGAGTCCACTACAAAGGGTGGAAGAATACGTGAGTGATCTCCTTCAGACTTAGCCGGCTGGTTGCATTTCTTCAGCAAATGGATAGAAGGAAAGGCGAGAAGCAATCCTGCCCCTGCCTGAATTTGGACACTGCTGGTATATTGCCGTGCCCTGCTGGTTTGCGCCAATGAGCGAGCGCAGCTTGGGTGTGAATGCAAGTGAGGGCGCTGAAAGCATCGCGCGGCCTTGTTTCTTTCACTCGCGCGTCATTCTGGAAACGCCCTTACCACAATACCACCACCACAACCCCCGTGTCTATGCCCGAGTGACCCTGGATCGTTGCGCCTAGCGGATACTGACTGCTCCTATTCTAGTTGGGACGACTGGGTGCCTCAGGACCGCTTGCGCAAGCTCACTGACGACAATCGGGAACTTGCAGCAAACCTGAGACGAGAGTTGACTGCATCAGCACCCAAGGTCGTGCCCAAGTCCACCACCAAAACTCGACGTGGTCAAGGCTCAGAGATCGGCTCGGGAAGAGGAAGCGAAGAGCGTACTTCATCTGTTCCTGCTGCTTCCGGTAGAGGTTCAAAACGTGCCAGGGACAACGATATCGAAAAGGTTGGTGGTCCCATCCACAGTTCACAGCTCACAAGGCTTCCCCTTAACCCACTTAACCCCCTGGATTCTCGAACGGACGAGAAAGCAACGTGGTCGCTGGCCTGGCCTTGGAACCACTTTGGAGACTGCTTTGGCGCACCCCAGGATACACCAGGATACCCCGGACATCCCAGACACGAACGAAGACCAACAGCACAGCTCATCACAGGACATAGCTTTCTTGAAAGCAGTTTGGCTCAATGGCTTCAAAGAAGAAGAACTCCCCGATCAGTGCAGACATGGACACTCACAGCGGCAACGGGTTGAAGAGACGTTGGAGTGGCTTGAGTGAAGATGGTGCCAACAACAAAGAAGTCGGCAAGGAGATAGACCTCCAACAATTCCTGCATCAACCACGACGAGCTGCAGTTAAAGCCGCGCAGGCGATCTCAAACACTGCATCAAACAAGGCTCCAGCAGTTGGTGGTTCAGTCGACCATGCTACCGACAAAAGAAAAAGCACTGCGAATAAGATGTCAGCGCCGCCCATTACCCGCTCTGTTGAACATATCTCAAAGAACAGAAAGACGACGGGTGAAAGCAAACCACAGAGTGCGAATTCCAACCCTGCCAAAGCTGGCACTGCAAAGCGGCCAACAGGATCTCTCACTGGTCATAACCACCGCGGTCAAGGAAGTTCCGCTGTCAGCAGACGTGAATCAGTGGTGTTGACGCCGTCGACCGGTGCCAAGCACAAGCGAGAGACAAGAGAAGAAATCCCAGACAGTGACGAAGAAGTCGACCCGACTGTAGGGAGGAGCGTAACAGGCAAGGCTGCGGATGGAAGTAATGCCAGACCCGTAAAGCACTCCCACAAACTGACACTGAAATTGAAATTGAAACCGAAACCCAAATCCGAATCTGCCACCGTTCGACCATCCAACTCTTCTTCATCAAAAGCCATCAAGAAACCCGTTGGCAGCTCCAAATCAACAATGAATTCCTCTTCATCCTCCAAGACTCCAGATCCTTTGACCTATGAGGAGTTGGTCAAGAGCCTCCCGGACCCACGAGATGAACTCGCATCCTTGTCGATCGATGAGATTCTCGCAAGACCAGCTCCGCCAGATGAGCCAGAATACATGAGCCTCCAAACCTCATCGGAGCGACGACAACGCAATGCGCCTCTCATCGGCGGTACCACCACCGATGAAAAGCATAGGATCACCGAGGAGCTGCTCGCAGCGCAAGGGGCTGGCAGAGCCCACAGATACCGCCCGGCCGTTGTGCCAAAACACGGCGTTGCCGTAACCCCCCTCGACCCGCCAGGGTCCGGCACCCCCTTCGACGCCCTCAGAGACGAGGACCGCCTCGTCAATGCACTCAACCACAAGACTGTGGAAACCCTGGGAGGTTGGAACCAAGAGGCCCTCCTCAAGATCCCGGTGCACGTCATGCATCGTCTTGACGCACCTGCCCTGGTCCGCCTCCCATATGCGGTCTTGAAGGCACAACCGGAGAGTGTTGTGCACAAGTTGCCCGAGGACTGTTGGTTTTGGGAGGAATGCCGGCGAGACTGGCTGAGGGAGGAATGCCGCCAGGCAACCAACGCCCTGGACGATCCAGAGGCAGAGCCGGAGCCGGAGCCATTGTTGCATACGGGGCTGCCACCGACTCAAACAACCCGCCCCAGCCTTGGACCGGCCACTTTCCGCCGGACAAATGCTGTGATGCAGCCAACTGTGCCGACCAAGAACAAGCCCGTCTACCGCTACCTGGACTGGACCATGTTGTTTACTTCTTGTGGAAATGACATTCTGTATGCAGCAGAGAGGACCCATGCTTACAATTCTCCGTCTGAACAGGAAGAAAACTACCTGAACCGCCCTTCGATCCGCATCTCAATCCCCGACCACCTCAAGAACCTTCTCGTCGACGATTGGGAGAATGTCACCAAGTCTTTGCTTCTGGTCCCCCTGCCCAGTCAAGCCCCAGCAAATTACATTCTTGACGAATACTTCAACGAAGAGAAGTTGAATCGACGACTAGGCTCGGTCGAGGCAGACATTCTCGAGGAGTTTGTCACCGGATTGAAGACTTACTTTGAGAAGGCGGTGGGAAAGATCTTGTTGTACCGGTTCGAGCGCAATCAATTGCAAGATGTGAGTGAATCATGGCATAACCTGTGATCCGATGTGATTCTTCTGTCCAGTACTAACCCACTTCTTGTTCCAGGTCCGCAAGCTTTGGGAGTCTGGCAAATACAAGGACTGGGAGGGCAAAGGTCCTGGAGATTGCTATGGTGCTGAGCATCTCACTCGCCTGATCGGTATGTTTTCATCAGCCTTCTTTCTGTCCGCTTCACTGACACTTGAAATAGTCAACCTTCCCGAAATCGTCGCCCAGACCAACATGGACGCTGAGTCGGTCACCAGATTGAAGTTGGAATTGAGCAAGTTCACCACCTGGTTGTCGAGAAATAGCCAACGCTTCTTCTGCGCCAAATACGAGAAGCCTTCGGCAGAGTACGTTGAGGGTGCTCGATAAGCCAAACATCTGAACATGAACATGCTGGGAGTCAAGGATTCAGATCTGCTGCAGACTGGGAAGAGATCAATCATCATGTTGAGGATGCTGAAAGGGCCACACACACAACACTAAGAGCTTGGGAGCGTGGTCTAATGTTCATCGTGCGCACACACGCGAATTGAGAGCTATGGGGCTTGGTCTACGGTCATTGTGTGCACACACAGGCGCATGCCGCGTCTGCGGTCGACAAATGCCGTGTTTACTATTGCTGAAGCTCATCATGGTCCTAGGGACCAGGGAGGACCTGCTTTGTCGTTGTCACGAGTCATGATCAAGAGCGAGCGAGGATGGTGGGAGGGATATGCTCGCACCCACAAGTGTTTCGAGTCGAATAGCTAGCAGCTCAGCCCAATAGCTGCGCAATGGCAGATTTCTCAGTCCAAACGCGTCTTTTTTGTCTTGTAATTTAATGTCTGTCCCAAGCCGCCTCGTGCTGTGTGGTGCCTAGGGCAGTCATTGACTGGCTGCCATTGACCGGCTGTTATTGACCAGGCAGCACCAGCACCAGCACCAGCACCAGCACCAGCACCAGCATCAGCATCAGCACCAGCACCAGCACCAGCACCAGCATCAGCATCAGCATCAGCACCAGCACCAGCACCTCCATCAGCACCTTAATCCAGGCCGAAGCCTAAGCCCATCTATCTCCTACGAACCATGACCGCCATTCGACCGACTCTTCTCCGCCCTCTACGACGATTTCAACTCCTGCACCAAACCAATACTGTGCCACTGATTGGCAGACGATGACGATGACGACGACGACGTTTTCAGTAGGTTCACTCCTGGGGAAAGGCCCAAAAGCGGCTTTAGCTCTAGAAAGTACGCCAGCGCAGTGCAGGGCAGTGCAGCGTATTGCCCTATTCGTTGCGGAATCGTCCAAGTCGAGCTGCCGCTCCCATAGTCAAATGCCAGGCAGGCAGCATATGCTGGCCGTCAGCAAAGCCAAGTCAAGCCAAGCCAGGCGGAAATAAAAGTACAAGGGACAAGACGAGAGACGAGAGACGAGAGACGAGAGATAAGAAGCACATGGATATGATGTGGTATAATGGACTGGATCGGAATGATCTCTTTCTGCTCCTCAACATGCTGATGCTGATGCTCGATGCAAATAGTACCATGACACTATGTAGTGTACTGCCATAGTTCCGGCGGTGCGGTGCGGGAGGTAGATGCGGAACCTCGAATTGAATAGTCTAGAAGCAGACAGGCAGACAGACAGACACCCAAGTCTCGGATTGAGATGGTGTAGGGGCAGCCTTAGGCCAGACGCTACTGTCGTGGTATGTATACGCACATAACGCCCCCGACTTGTCTACTGGAATCTGCGCTTCTCCCAGCGGGCGGGAGAGTAGACTCCTGACTCTTGCCTCCTATTTGGCTTCTCTCACGGGTTCTCAAGCCTTCTACCACACACACACACACACACACTCTCTCTCTCTCTCTCTCTCTCTCTCTCTCTCTCTCTCTCTCTCTGGCTCTAAAATTTCTCCTTGTTTCTGGTTCTAACGCTTCTCTTTCTCTGATTTCAAAGCTTCTCTTTCTCTGGCTCTCAAAGCCCCTTCTCTCTGGTAAGCAGGGTTGCGACACGATCGCCGGCAAGGACGCCGTCGCCCGATTTCAGATTGAGCGGCTCCTCGACCAGTACCGGACCGTGAACATCCAAGTTAGCTTCGTCCGTGTCTTGTCGCTGCTTCTCGGGTGAAGCTGCGAGCTCCCGCTCCAGTTCCAGTTCCAGTTTCCGTTCCCGTTGGACAAAATACCGGAGGACAAAGATCATGGCGAATTCCATGACGCTAAGGCCACTCATGACGCAGAATCCGAGGTGGAATCGCGGAGCATATTTGCCCACGTTGAGGATGAGAACTGGAGGTTGGGAAAATGGTCGGTCAGCCATGTGTAGATGCATATACATATGCATATACATGCAGCTTGGAGGGGCTCGACTACATGCAGCTTGAAAGGGCTCGACTCACTAGGAACCCAGGCGATAAAAGCCTGGCCGAAGGTTTGCGCAACACCAATGACAATGGCACGTTCTTCGGCATCCTTGTGGCAGAACTCGTTGGCCCAGGCGTACAGAACGGGCCAATACCCCCATGAAGCCGCGTTGATCATGTAGCCGAAGAATGTGGCGCCATAGTTGGGATAGGAAGCAACAATCACCATGCCGACGAAGTTGCATATCTGAGTGGTAGGTAGACCGATTAGTTAGCAGGCATACAGGATTGGGATACTAGGATTCTTCTTCTTCTTCCTCTCCGTGTCTCTCTCCGGAATGCAATACGTACCGCTGGCGGGATCAGAAGCTGCCAACGTTTGCCTCCCAAGCTATCCGAGATCCAGCTGTAGGCCAAGGTGGTGACGAGGCCGAGCGCCTGTGCGGCGGTGGGGAAGAGGTTGACCTGATAGACGGAAAAGCGATCGAGAGACTTCAGCCAGACGGAAAAATAGTTCAGCGGCTGGGTGACTATGCAATGGAAGCTGTTGATGGATCAGTCCATGAGTCAATGAAGTCTTGTTGAACGTTGAGCCGAGAAGGCGGGGGGGTGGTGGGAATGGGCCAAGCAGGTAACAGGTAACATACATCAAAGCCAAGGTCAAGATATAGATGGGCCAGTTGGTGAGGATCTTCTTGATCTTAGCCCAGGAAAGCCTGACGGGTTTCCGACGATCGATGGCTTCGGCGCGGGCGCGGAAGGCTGCTCGATGGTGCGGTTTGAGCCAGCGGGCGTTGGTGGTGTAGGGGTTGTCCGGGATGGCATAGAGGCCCCAGAAGGCGCCGGGCAGCGAGATGATGCCACAGAAGATGTAGAGCCATCGCCAGCCCTCGAGGCCCAAGTGGCCGTGCATGTTCTTGTAGATGGCGGCCTGCAGGTAGCCACTGAACATGCTGGCGGCGTAGCTGGCCGAGTAGAAGATGGCGATGCGCTTGGCCAGCTCGCGCGGCGTGTACCAGCTGCCCATGACGGTCAGGACGCCGACGGCGAAGGGGGCCTCGAACATGCCGACGAGGAAGCGGAGGGCGAAGACGTGCTCGACCTTTTGCACCGCGGCAAAGCAGAAGGTGACCACCGTCCACAGCAGCTCCGCGGTCGGGAGGTACCACGACGGCCGCAGCCGGGTCAGCAGCAGCTGCGACGGGATCTGGCCGACGAGATAGCCGCAGGTGAAGAAGGTCGCCAGCAGGTTGTACTGGTCGCCGTGGAAGCCCAGGTCTTCCTTCATCCCGGACACGTACGCGTTGGTCACGTTGCCCGAGTCGAGGAGGCGGATAAAGTAGCCGAACGTGGCCCAGCTCCTGCATGAGCATCAGACCTCAGACCTCAGACCTCTGTTGGAGTCGCCGCCGTCGTTGCCGTCGCCGTCGCCGTCAACGTTCAAGCTCAAAACTCACATGACATGGAGGTCCAGTCTCTGCACCAGCTTCCTCTCCTCCTGGCTGCGCGGGCCATCCCACACCACTTGCTGGATTTTCTGCCAGCGAGTCTGCGCTTCCGCTTCCACTTCCACCGACGTCGGAATGACAGTCACAGTCATTCTTATCAATTTGCCAATGGACTTGCACCGTGTGCTTGGTGTTTGCGACTACGACGGGCGCATGGTGATGGTGGCGGTGGTGGTGGTGGTGTACATGCCTAGGTACTATAAGACTTTTGAGTACTATCCGTCTATGTATATGTACAGGTGAATACGACGGTCACGTCAATCCAGGCTCAGTTTGAGTCATTCAATGGGGAATTGGCCCGTCAATGGTCACTGATCACTGGCCCCCGGTCGCCAGGTGGTTGAGTTTGACAATATTAATTCCTCCGTCCTAGTAACACGGTCCAGACAAATAGTATTAGTAGTGGCGGCAGGGGAAATCCACAATCTTCCCATGGCCTGTAGGTACTAGGTAGTCTACTAGCAGGTACAGTAATACGTAGTACATCATCGACAGAGGAAGCTTTCAAGCTATACACATGGTGCGCCAACTGACGAGAACAAATCGAAATTTTCTCGGTTAGTGTCGGTTGCGGGTTTGATCGCAGTTCCAGCCGATGGAGATCCCATCGCACAGGGGCGAAGTAGGGAAGAAGAGAGACGGATGATTGATCGGTACAGACCCCAGAATCTGACTATGCTGCCTTCATACTAGCCTTCTGCCCCAGTATACGAGTACAATGGTAAAATGGTATATTTGGTCCATAGATTTGGGGTGGGAGGGAACGCCGAGTTTGTTCCCCGGTATCGGGATTGGGATCGGGGTGGGCTATACGGAGTACACCATACAGAGTACAGATACAGAGTACAGATAGACCCAACCCGTGCGTGATCGAGGAGTGAGATGGTGCCATGGACACTACTACTACTACTACCACCACCACCACTACTAGTTTCCGTCATATCGGTCGTACCGGTACTGACTGCCGACGTGATCTTCCCTCAGCCGGGACTGACCCTTGCCATAAATCCTCTCCCTCAACGTCCCCGACTCACCCACCGGTCCATAGCGACCTCGTCTGCGGAGTTCAGGTACCAGCAGCTCCACCACGTCTTCGAACGTGCCCGGAGTGGTGATGTACCCAACATTGAACCCATCCAAGTCCGCCGTGTCGGCCCAGTGCTCCAGGACGTCGGCAACCTCCTCCGCCGTGCCAACCGGGACAGGCCCGTTGCCGCCCAATGAAACTTGTCTTCCAATGTTTCGCGGCGTCCAGGGAGGCAGATCGTCGCCGTGGTACGACAAGCTTGCCACCAGAGAGCGCACCCGATGGTCGGTAGAGACATCTGAGGTGGACAGCTCCACGTCCAAGTCGTACTTGCTCAGGTCGATGCCGGAATTTCCAGAGTAAAAGGCCAGCCCGCCCTCGACACTGGCATATTTCAGAGCCTCCTGGTACTTGGCTTGCGCTTCCTCCTTGGTGCGGCCAATGATGGGGGTGACGACGGCGAAGATTTTGAGAGACCTCGGATCCCTCCCAACCTCCGCCGCTTTTGCCCGAATGGCCTTGACCCGAGGCGCCAAAATGTTGGGCGACAAGGCCGACACAAAGATGCCTTCGCTGTGAGTGGCACCAAACTGAATGCCTGCCGGGGATGTTCCGGCCTGGAAGAGGAAGGGCGTTCGCTGGGGGCTGGGATCCAAGATGTGTGGCCCCTCGACTTTGAAGTATTGTCCGCTGTGGTGCACGGTTTTGATCCGCGCTGGGTCGGCGTAGATCTCGTGCTCGGCATCTTCCCGCAAGGCGTCATCCGCCCACGATCCCTCCCACAGCTTGTACAGGACACGCACATATTCGTCGGCGACCTCGTAACGCTTGTCATGCTCGACCGGCGTCGTGCCCAAGGCTTTGGACCCGGACTCCTTGAATGACGTGACAATGTTCCATCCAATCCGGCCTTGAGTCAGATGATCAAGCGTCGAAAACCGCTTGGCGACCGTGTAAGGGGCTTCATACGACGTGGACGTGGTGATTGCGAATCCCAAGTTCTTCGTCACTAAAGCCATGGCGGTGATGGGCTGTCAACCACAAGGTAAGTGAATGTCCTAAGGCCCAGACGCCAACACCGCAGATGCGGACTCACGACGGCAGGGTCGCCCATGGGAAACTGGGCAGCAGTGCGAATCCCAGGCTCACTGGAGTTCTTGTACACATCATACTGTCCGTAGCCGTCGGCCAGGAACAGGGCGTTGAAGTCTCCCCTTTCAAGCAACTGGGCGAGATTCGTCCAGTAGGAAAGATCCCTTCGTTTAGTTTTGGCACGATCCTTGGGGTTTCGCCATTGACCAAACGAGAGATGCCCAACAGTAAACATGTCGAATCCATTGAGAAATATGCGGCGTTTGCCGGAGCCTGGACTCTGAACCTCACTGACCGAGCCCATGATTGACGATTCTTCTGAATGAGGAACTCCGTAGCTGTGACAGAACCCTCCGAGGAAAAGGCAACTGTACTCGGCCACGAGTTATAGCAAGGATCTCTGTTCCATTTGCAGGTGACGACCATCCGTAGCGTCGTGACTCAGCCGGTCACCTCATTCCCACAAGGATGGCGTTCTTCTATAGCACGCTAGCCCTTTGTCCTTGAAGGCGCCATAGACCCACCAGGCCCGAACATGAAAGCTCTCCAGCTCCCATGCCCTGGCCTCTGCACAGATTGTTCCTTCTCTCGAGCAAAGAGCGGACATCGAGGACACCATGGCACCGCACGCTGTCGAGAGCGGACCAGTAGTGACCCAGCTGGTCGGTGCCGAAAGTGCAGCGAAGCCAGTGGACGAGGTGTTGATGAAGCGTGCTCCGTTACGGACCGTCTTCCCGCCGTTCGAGCTAGAGGAGCACCCCGTGGATGAATATCCTGATATTACTGTAATCATTGTCGGTTCCGGTCCAGCAGGCATCATAGCAGGGGCCCTGCTACAACACAAGGTGCCAGGGGCGAACTTGACGATATTTGAGAGAGGCAATGACATAGTAAGTCACGAAGGGACACGTTGCAGCTGGGTCGGCACCGCGCTGACCCTAACCACAGGGCGGTGTTTGGAACGCCAACATCTATCCAGGCGTCAGGTGCGATGTGCCATCGGATGTCTATCAGGCAACGTTCGCTCCCTCGACAACATGGTCTGCAAACTACGCCCGGGGGCCCGAGATCAAGGCATACTGGAAGTCAGTCGCCAGACGATATCAGCTGGAGCGCTTCACCAAGTTGAACCATAAAGTGACGAATGCTCGCTGGGCCGCGGACCGGGCTAAATGGCAAGTCACCGTCGAATCGTCGGGTCGAACGCGTGTGGAGGAAGCCGACTTCCTCCTGACTGCAACCGGCCATTTCAGTGACCCACGACTCCCCGAATACCCTGGCATCGGGGAGTTCCAGGGACACCTCAGGCACACTTCGCAGTGGGATGCTGACTTCGACCCGACCAACAAGCGGGTGGCGTTGATTGGGAATGGGGCAAGTGGCCTGCAGGTTCTGCCTCAACTGCAAAAGGTTGTCCAGCATTTGGACCATTATGCGAGAAGTCCGACCTGGATCGCCGGGTCATTCGGCGGAGAGAAACTCCCCCCATCGACGTCCGACGAGCGAGAGCCTGCTCCTCAAGATCCCGAAGAGTACACCAAATTCCGAAAGTCGATTGAGAACAAGTCGTTCGGTCGTTTTTCGATCATCTTCAAGGATCAAAAGCCAAACCAGGCTGCGCGTGACCAATTTGAGAAGCTGATGGCGAAGCGCTTGGGCGAAGGCCACGAAGACCTCCTTAAGTCCGTTGTGCCATCCTTCTCGCCCAATTGTCGTCGCCTGACACCCGGACCGGGGTATCTCGAGGCCCTCGTGCAGCCGAACGTGTCGTATATTCAGACTCGGATCTCCCACTTTACCAAGGATGGAATTGTCACCACGGACGGGACACACCGCCCGGTGGACGCCATCCTTTGTGCGACCGGGGCAGACATCTCCTTCACCACGGCGTTTCCAATCTATGGCCCCGAGGATCTGGCCTTGCAGCAGAAGGACCCGTCGTCCACGGTAAACCTGCAGAGCCGCTGGCGGCCCCCAGGATTCCCAGATTCGTATCTTGGAATTGCCGCACCGGACTATCCGAACTTGTTTTTCCTGCTTGGACCCAATAGCACGGGTCCCGGTGGCACGCTCCCTCACAGTGTCGAGAACAGCGTGACTTACATCGCGAGATTGCTACGTAAATGCCGGACACAAGGAATCCGGACCATTGCGCCAACGGCCCAGGCTACCAGAGATTTCCGTGCCTATTGCGAGTCCTTCTATCCACGGACAGTCATGAGTGAGAATTGTTCATCTTGGTACAACGGTGGGATCCCCGGAGGAAGGATTCACGGCTTCTGGCCTGGCAGTGGGACGCATCTGAACATAGTCCGACGAGAACCTAGGTGGGAGGATTATGAGTACACCTACCGTAGTCCACAAGGGAACCGCTTTGGGTATCTTGGAAATGGCTGGAGCAGGAAAGACGTAGAGGCGAACGAGGCTTCTCTCAGAGGTGACAAGGAAGCAGAAGAGGCGGTGGACTTTGCCTCGTATCTCCGGAAAGAAGCAGTGGACGGGACCATCGACCTGAGGAGACTACATGAAGACTGGTGGGACTTGTAGCTAGCTGAAGTTTGAAGCTAGAATGGAGTCCAGAGGCGACAGTTCTTACCTCCTTTGTACAGGAGGTGTGATGTTTTGAGTCTGATATTGAGTACGAATCGAGTGTAGAGAGTATCTCTCCACAACAGGCAAGTCAAGCGACGGTGAGCCAGGGCGGCGTCACAATATTTCCCAACCGGGAGAGCTTCCGATCCAGCATCCAATAATGTCCAATGCAACTGGTGCTAGCGGGTATACTAGTGGTACTGCATGGAATCTTCCTCTCTTGGCGCAAAGTCCGCCTTCCACTGCCAACGTTCTAGAGGTTTCTCCGAAATCCACCATTTGGTCGCCAGTTCTACATTTAATTGTCACAAGTTAACGCCGCCAAAGATTCCAATGACATTCCTTACAGACTAATGTCAAGACCTTTCAAAAGGTAGGCTTACGCTCCCCTGTCTTTACCCCTTGTCGTTAGGATGAGAAACATAGCTGGCACCAGGCTGAGAAGATTTGTACTCTTTACATGCGGAACAGCTTTCCAGGGCTTTGAGCCTATAATCTGAACTTTCCAAACACTGTTACAGTCCACAGATGATTTGCGAGACTTTGTCACTGACGATTGTGTAACAAACAGAACTGTTTTTAAACCCCTTCACCCTGCTACGAACATCTCCTCTCCAACATGGTTCTCCACAACCCCAACAACTGGCACTGGGTGATGAAGGATACCGCGTCATGGGCCAAAGACTATCTTGACGCAGAATCCAAGAAGGTGTCGGCAGAAGAGAATGGAGTGTCGGCCAATATCACACGACTCATTTCTATGGATGGCGATGTGGAAGTTAGTCAGCGGAAGGGCAAGGTTATCACGATATATGATGTTGCGCTGCAACTAGAATATGCAGGTGCGCGCAGATTTTCCCGGGTCGGCCAGGAAATCCGGTGATGTTGAGGCTGACGATTCGCGCAGGCAAGACACAAGATGGTACCGATGTTAGTGGCAGCATCAAGGTTCCCGAGTGCGCATACGACACAGAGCCAGACGAGTATGTTGTACGTTCCCAATGCTGATCCTCCGGCACACTCTCAAGGGGTCACTAACACGTTGGCTGCAGTTTGAAATAGACATTTATTCGGAGAAGAAGGAGATGCAACCGGTTAAAGACCTAGTGCGGTCGAAACTTGTCCCTCAACTGCGCAATGTCTTTGCGAGCCTTTCACCTGCGTTGATCAAAGAGCACGGAAAAGACTTGCAACACCCACCAGGTTCCAACCCGTCCAGCGGATGGGCAACGCCGACGTGGCATCCACAGCGAGAGCGTACCCCGACCTCTACCACCACCACCTCCGGCTCCGGCTCCGGCTCCGGCTCCGGCAAGACATCTGTAAATACGACCACGGTAACAGCAACCGACGAGTTTCGCACGACTGCCGAAGAATTGTTCCAGACATTTACCGACCCTCAACGGCTTGCCGCCTTTACCCGCGCGCCTCCGAGAGTCTTTGAGGGAGCGAAACCTGGTGGAAAATTTTCAATTTTCGACGGAAACGTCTCAGGAGAGTTTGTCACCTTGGAGTCCCCCAAGAAGATTGTACAGAAGTGGCGTTTGGCGCAATGGCCCGAGGGACACACGAGCACCCAAGAAATTTTCTTTGACCAGAACGATGTGGACCGAGTGACCAACATGAGGGTAACTTGGACCGGAGTTCCTGTGGGCCAGGAAGATGTTGTGCAGCGGAACTGGGAGGGCTACTATGTGCGCAGCATAAAGCAAACGTTTGGGTAAGTGGTGGCCTCGTATGTCACTGGTGTCGAAGCTCGCTAACACCAGATCTAGCTTTGGTACTATTCTGTAGGCGGTGTCTGTGCTACTGGCTTCTACAGAGCATTTACAGGAGGGACGGCGACCGGAGCAAAAAGGTCCAATTTGGCCAGCGATGCTTGCATTTGATAGCGGTACTTGCACTATTCTAGACCATCTTCCCGGTGAGTCTTCGTGGCGACACCGGTAAACAGAAACCGAGCCCATGCAGCACCTCCCGGAGGCGTGAATCTACCATTCCCACCTATTGAGGATGTCACCGCATTGGTATGTCGTATACTTGTATCATGCCCATTTACGCCGGTTTCGTGGTGTTTTTTCTATCGTGGAGCATTGCAGGGAACAGGGGTTCAACCCAAACATCCCAATACGTCATCGTGTGTTCAGCTCCTCCTCAGTCTACACTCCACGTACTCATTACCTGATTTATTTTGCCTGCACCGCAACACCTTCAATCTCTTGCCGTGGGCTGACAATTCCCTATCTGTTCTCTTTCTCGTACGTGCTGTTGTCGATGCCCAGTTGTCTCTAATTGCCCTCTACAGACTGTTATCGTATAAGCATAGTCCGGGTTTGTCTGTGCCTCACTAGGCCTCTTGGCCAGATACCCATCCACGCCCCCTCACCTAACTCAACTGGGAGCTGCTTCAGAACCAAATGGCAGAGCGGAAGCAATCCTTACCAGCCAGCAGGGGCCGCGTAAACCAGAAGGGAGGGCTGGACCTTGCTACCGTCCTAGACGAAGGTCAACGCGCTGATCTCACGCTGCTCGTCGCGAGCATAACCGAGTCAATGCGCAAACAGATCCTGGACAATTTCGACGCCATGGCCGGACTGGATAAATCTCTTCTGCGAGAAGGCATGACCGAGGATGAGAAGATGATGGCTGCTGACCCTGCCAACGCTGATGTCGCGGCCTACGACCGAGAACGCAAGCTCAAGGAAGAAAGCGACAAGGACCTGGCCACTGTGAAGATGAAGAACCTCAAGAAGAACGCGGTGAAAGCATATGATGAGTGGCGCGAGCAAATGATCCTGCGAGTCGGTCAGGTTGTCAACAGTGAAAGGACTGCCAAAGAACAGGTGCAGAAGAATGCTGGCAAAGCCGACATTGCGAGACCCCAGTCGACAACCACAGCCGGGAAAGTCGTGGGAGCGCCAGCTAAACTTGTTGGTCTGAAATTCAAGGATGTGTTCCCACCCACGAGGACCCCATTAACGAAACTGCCAATGGACAAGCGAACGCTGATACTGCACTCCGTGCTTCTCCTATTGCTGTCTCTGGAACATTACAACGCCTACTCTCGCATACTCATGCTGAATTTGACGTCTTCTCTGAAGCTGCCTCTGAGGACTTTTGAACAGGACGAGTATACTACGGCAAAGGGTCTCCTTGAGGCAGCCAAGGAGATGACAGCTGATGAAGAAAGGCTGAAGAAGGCCGATGACAACAAAGATTCGAGGAAGTGGAAGGTCGGTCTGGCTACAGCTGCTGGTGCCGCCATCATCGGTGTTACGGGCGGTCTTGCTGCACCTCTCGTGGCCGCAGGTGTCGGCTCTGTCATGGGAGGTCTTGGACTTGGAGCAACGACCGCCGCCGCTTATCTTGGCTCCGTGGCTGGAAGCAGTGTCGTCGTTGGTGGCCTGTTCGGTGCTTACGGAGGCAGAATGACCGGCCAGATGATGGATAATTATGCTCGCGAGGTCGAAGACTTCCAGTTTCTTCCTGTCCATGGCAGAAGCACCAAAAAGACCAGTGAAGACGAGACCAAGGGCGCGAAGCAGGCGAGTGAACACGACCACAAACTCCGTGTTACAATTGGTATCTCTGGCTGGCTGACCGAGAAAGAAGAGGTTGTCAAACCATGGCGCGTGCTAGGCGCCGGGGCCGAGGTCTTTGCGCTGAAGTACGAACTCGAAGCGTTGCTCAACCTGGGTAACGCCATGAATGGCATGGTGCAGTCTGCAGCATGGGGCTACGCGAAGAAAGAACTTATTCAGAGGACCATCTTTGCCGAGCTAGCAGCTGCCCTGTGGCCTATTGGACTACTCAAGGTTGCGAGAGTGATTGACAACCCCTTTAGCGTTGCAAAGAGCCGGGCCGAGAAGGCCGGCGAAGTGCTTGCCGACGCCCTGATCAATCGCGCTCAGGGGGAGCGGCCAGTCACCCTCATAGGGTATTCGCTAGGGGCGCGAGTCATATACACCTGCCTGATGAGTCTGGCGAAGAGAAAAGAGTTCGGCATCATCGAGCATGCCGTACTCATCGGTTCTCCAACTCCGAGCGATACCAGTGATTGGCGAGTCCTGCGCAGTGTCGTCGCGGGAAGACTCGTCAACGTCTTCTCGGTCAATGACTATATCTTGGGATTCATGTACCGCACGTCAGCTATCCAATACGGCGTCGCCGGTTTGCAAAAGGTCGAAGGTCTGAGCGGAGTTGAGAACTTCGACGTGTCCGACGACGTGAACAGCCACCAGAGGTACCGCTACTTGATCGGCGCGATCCTCAAGAAAATCGGCTTTGAAGATATTGACATGGCTGCGGTGGAGCAAGAACATCAGTTGCTCTTGCAGGTGGAGGATGAGGAAAAGAAGCAGTCACTCCAATCGCAGCGCAAATGGTTGCTGCGACGCCAATCCACCGGCGGCAAGGAAGACGAAGCCGCCGAAGCAGAGGCCGAAGCCAACGAATTAGAACAGAAGGTGCAGGATCAGACACAGAAGAGCTTGGTGACCAGAGCGATCGAATACTTTTACGTGCCTAGCATTCCCAGTACCAAGGACGCCGAGAAAGCCGCGGGAGACTTGCAGAAGGCCGGACAAGATCCAACTCAGGCAGGAAATGTAGCAGGCCAGACCACCCGATCTGCGCCAGACTCGACGCAAGGCTACGCGGCCAAGTTGTACAAGAGCCTACCTAGCATGCCGTATACGAGCCGGACGACACCGACGAGCGCGGCCCAGATGTCTGCAGGAACAGGTCCAGCTACCAAGGACATTGCTGGCCAAGCCACCGGAGCGGGCGAGGGTACTACTGGGCAGGCTAGGAAGTATGTCCAGCAAGCCTCGTCCTATCTCCAATCTCTACCCAGCAGTGTGCAATCGCTTTCCAGGGGCACCAGCGGCAGAACGAAACCCCAGCCAAAGTCAAAGTCATCGGCGCCTGAAATGGCCCTCGACTCGGCAAAGAACGCAGCATCCACCACGGCATTTGCAGCAAAGAGCACAGCAGGTGTCGTCTCTGACACACTAACTCCAACCGTACAGAATGCTCTCAATCCAAAGGACAACCCGGCCGTGGCATCGACAAGACAAGCCGCCGATAAAGCACCTATCATCCACCAAGCAAAAGACAATACATCTATACCTGAGCCTGCGCAATCTGCCGCAGGTGGCGTCTCCACTGCAGTAGGCACAACCGCGCAAAATGCAGGCCAGCTGGCGCAGAAGGGTCTTGATACGACTAGCAGCAAGGCAGGCGAGACAGGGAAAGCACTATTCACCAGCGCTGCGAGCCCCGGTGCCAATGCCACGAAGACAGGGTCAGGCCAGAGCTATACCACGCGAGCCGCGGCGTATCTACCCCAGGTCAGCATGCCGACTCTTGGATTCGGGGGCGCCGGAAAGCAAGAGAGGACTAAGCCGCCGAAACTGGAGAAACGGTCGTCGGCGGCATCGGGGTCAAGGCCCAACCTCGACAAGACTTCTTCGGGATCACAGACAGGGGTGAAGTCTCCTTCTCTCCCAAGGCTCGAGAAAATCTCGTCTGGTTTCAGGTCACCGCCTGCAAAACTAGAGCGGCTCCCATCCGGCATCAAATCTCCTCCCACTTCCGTCCCTTCACCGAACCTGAACATTGCGCGCCAAGTTTCGGGTGTGAAGTCGCCGCCGCCCAAACTGCCCCCACGGCGGCAGAGCTCAAGACAACAAGCCCGCCAAGCCCAGCAGCAAGTGGGCGGACCTGATGCCAGGGTCAATCCAAAGTCTCCTGTAACCTCACCTACGAATGCTGGTACTGGCCTGCCGTCCGCCGCTGCCCTTGGTGAGCGGTTGGCAAGTCTACCATCGAGCATACCGTCCACGTCCACGGTGGCAGACGTGGCACAAAAGGTCGGAAAGAAAGCGACAGGTGTGGGTGCTGCGGAAAGCGGAGTCAAGAGTCCTGCTCCCGCTCATGCCAACGCGAGCGTGGACATAGATCAGCAGAACAACGCGGACAACAAAACTGCAGCTGGATCAAAGCTATCGTCTACTATGCCTGACGCAGGAATGTTAAAGGGCGCAGCCAGCGATACCGCCTCGGCTACTGCGAAAAAAGGAGAAGCCATGCTTTCGGGGATGGGACGAACGGTCGGTTTCGGACGGTAGACTGCAGGGAGGTCGAGTCTTTGGAGGAAAGGTCGGGACAGGATAACCTTGCGGGGACAATGCTTTTCCAACTGCGACGGATGTTCGTGTCTTTGACAGATCACAGACTGGACGTAATCATTTTGCCTCGGGAATGGAAAAGTACTCATTAACATGTACCTTAGAAATGGAGAAGAACTGTTCCTTGCTTAATGATTCTCCCTAGTGTTTATATGGCGGAGCATTAGTCCCTTAGCCCCGAATCTCCAATAGTCAGCCTTGGCATCGAATGGAGCAGGCTGGCGTCCGACCGCGTGTTGCCCATGTTCGCAACCTATATGCACCCTACATTTCCAACGCCTCGTCCCTAACCTCAACACCTCAGTCATCTCCCTCATTGCTACCTTCATCATGGGTTCGGATTCGCAGTTCATCAAATACCCGGACCTCTCCCTTGCACAGCACATTTTCTCTCTCGGAATTGCCGCCCGGACCTCACAAACAACGTCTTTAAACTATCTTCAAAATGCAATCAAGGAACACAAGATGGCGCCTCTCTATAGGCACCTAGCCCACCCCACCGAAGGCGTTCTCAACTCGATCGGCGAAAGTACAGCACAAGCTGTGAATACTCCGTTCAAGGCCCCTTCTCGGAGAGCCTCTCTCGTGTCCAGTAATCTGCTGCCATCCAAGAAGCTCCTGTCTTCGGGCATCCTGCCTTGGGACGAGGCGCTCTATGAGCAGCTCAAGGCCGACAATGATAAAGAGCTGGAAGAGTATCAAAAAGAGGAAGAGGAGGCCGAAGAAAAGGCGGGTGAAACCGAGGTGCAAGCTGTTCGAAGTAAACGGGCCGAGTTTTGGGCTCGAATTGGTGACAAGGCAAGTCTTTGGACAGGCTGTGAGCGAAATATAACGGACGCTGACTTGAGCCTAGGACAAAGCGATCGCAGCATATGAGAAAGTGTTTGACAAGACTGGCCCTCTGGGGACCAAAATCGACACTGTCCTTGCCATCATCCGGATCGGCCTCTTCTTCAACGACAAGGCATTTGTGAAAAAGCAGGTGGAACGCGCAGACATCCTGGTGGAGAGTGGTGGTGACTGGGACCGAAGGAATCGATTAAAGGCGTACAAAGGCCTGCACCTCCTTACTGTTCGATCCTACAACCTCGCTGCCCCTCTACTGCTCGACAGTCTCTCCACATTCACCAGCTACGAACTCTGCAGTTACTCGTCCCTGGTCGTGTACGCCGTCCTTGCGGGGTCATTATCCCTTAAACGAGTCGATTTCAAGGCGAAAGTCGTAGATGCACCAGAGATCAAGGCGATCCTGGGAGATGGCGAAGAGAAGGTACCGGGCGCGGATGAAGAGATGAAGGATGTGTCTTCATCAACTGCAGAACGCGCATCCGGCCTGGTGAACCTGGCTACTTTAGGTTCTGGCTCGGCGGTAGAATCGCAGACCGAGACACCCCTGGACTTTGCGTCTCTCGCAGGACTAGTCAACAGCTTGTACGGAGGCAACTACCGCAATTTCTTCCTTGCTTTGGCTGCAGTGGAAGAGAACTTCTTGACGCAGGACCGGTATCTGTATGAGCACCGGGCGTGGTTTGTCCGCGAGATGCGCCTTCGAGGCTATCAGCAACTGCTGCAATCCTACCGAGTGGTGGGCCTTGCTACGATGGCGCAAGCATTCGGGGTCAGTGTGGATTTCTTGGACAAGGATTTGGCCAAATTCATTGCGGGTGGTCGGGTGAGCTGCACCATCGATCGAGTGCAAGGGGTCATTGAGACGACGCGTCCGGATGACAAGAACAAACAGTACGCCGACGTCGTGAAGCAGGGGGATGCCCTCATCACGAAGCTGCAGAAATATGGCCAGGCTGTGAGATTACGAGGAAGCGAGCGAGCCTAAAATGGTAAAATACCTGGTCGGCGTGTGATCATTTTCGGCGGCCCCCGCCGTTGCTGCGTAGGGCGTTTCGATGGGATGTGAGCAGTGAGCACAAAGGCTGCTGATTGATATGTGGGCGCAGTACTCCGCACTCCGTAGAGAGAATACGATGGCCAGACATTGTCCTTGCCAGCTAAAGTCATCTCGCCTCAACCCGCGGTTGGCGACATGTTGAATTCCCTCGCCTGCGATTTCCATCCCACGCAGAGACAATGCCAACCAACCGCCGATTCGAGATGGGCGATTGCCGCAAAGGGCGCAGCGCACCCCACACTAGGTGATAAGATACCGCACCTAAGATGAGGGGAGCTGCCTAACTGTAGGCTTGGGGACCGTAGGGCGTCCTGAGCCTATCCCTGCTGGGATCCCCCCCATCACCACCGCAGACGGCTCAAGCAGTTCTCTCCGCGTCTCGAGTATTACTCATTATTCTAGTGCAAAGATTTTCTCGAGATGCCATGCACCCCGTGTCTAGGTGCAACAACACAGTCCACGTCCGTCGTCTAGTCCTCCCGGCGAAAGGACAAGTCTGTCGATTTTGATGCCAGCGCTCCGATAACGCTTCGTCAATCCCCCCACCAAGTTCATCCTCCTCCCTCGAGAGAAATGCAGCTGGGGCCTGCACCCAGGGCTTCCTTGATTTTACTGCGTGCCCAGTCTCTCTGCTGCAGATCTGGCGCGACGACCGCTTCCTTTCCCTCATCCTCGCTTTCATTGCGGCCGGTCCAGACTCGAGGTAAGAAAAAGCAAGACCCCTTGTATGCCGTGGCCTGATAATGCAGTCTCGTGTGCTGCACGCGACTGGTGACAATCACGACCCCATGCTTGCTTCTTCCCCGACTTATTTTCTGCTGATACGATTACGACCGACATGTCACTGACATATATGGTGGTCCAGTTCCCTCTTCACCCTCCAGGCTCAGATCCCCTTCAAATCGTCGCAACATGTCGTCCACACCGCGCCTTCGCAGTTTGAACATCAATAACATCAACCCGCACGTGAAAAAGGCCCACTATGCTGTTCGCGGCGAGCTTGCGATGAAGTCAGAGGAGTACCGTCACCAGCTGACGCAAAACGACCCTCCTACTCCCCCAGAGTCTCCCTTGCCCTTCAGCAGTGTCATCACGGCCAATATCGGTAACCCGCAACAACTTGATCAGAAGCCGATTACGTTCTTCAGGGAAGTCCTCGCCCTACTAGAGCACCCGGCTCTGTTGGACAATGAAGAGGCCCTAAAGTCGAGCTTCGGCTACAAGCAAGACGCGATTGACCGTGCTCGGTGGTTGCTCAAACAGGTCGGCTCCGTCGGTGCATATTCACAGTCTGCAGGGGCTCCTGGCATACGGCAGTCCGTGGCCAATTTCATCGCGCGACGGGATGGGTTCCCTGCCCACAGAGACCACATTTATCTGTCGGCTGGTGCTTCGTCGGGTGTGAACACCCTCCTGAACGTCATTTGTGCCGCACCCGAGACGGGTGTGTTGGTGCCCATCCCCCAGTATCCTCTGTACACGGCCACACTCGACATCCTGAATGCACGCTGTGTACCATACTACCTCAAGGAGTCACACGCATGGGGCACAGATATCACGGTCATCAAGAATGCGTATGACAAGGCGGTCAGTGAAGGCACGGATGTCCGTGCCATTGTCATCATCAATCCTGGCAACCCTACAGGTGCCTCGCTGTCTGAAGATGACGTTGAGGGTGTTATCAAGTTTGCCGCGGAAAAGAATCTTGTCATCATAGCCGACGAGGTCTACCAGACCAACGTCTTTATTGGGAAATTCCACTCCTTCAAACGCGCTTTGCGCACGATGCAACAAAGGGAGCCGGGCACTTACGATACCGTCGAACTCGCGTCGCTCAACTCTGTCTCCAAAGGTATGGTGGGCGAATGCGGACACCGTGCTGGTTATTTTGAACTTGTGGGGTTCGACCCGGAGGTTCAAGCTCAGATCTACAAATTCATCTCCATCATGCTTTGTCCTCCTGTAGTAGGTCAATGTCTGCTGGAGCTCATGGTGAATCCGCCCAAGGAGGGCGATCCCAGCTTTGCACTCTACAGCAAGGAATACGACAGCATCAAGAATGGCTTAAAGGAAAGAGCCTATGCGCTCTATGAGGCATTCAAGCAGATGGAGGGAGTGGAGATTGGTGAACCACAGGTAAGTCTGCCATACAGCCGGCGATCCCGCTTGCTACTTCTGGATGCTGAATTACTACAGGGTTCCATGTATCTCTTTCCGACCATCAATCTACCTCCAAAAGCGGTCGAGGCGGCAAAAGAGGCCGATCGTGTCCCAGACGCGTTTTATTGTCTCCGTCTCCTCGACAGTACAGGGATTTGTGTGGTACCGGGATCTGGGTTTGGTCAGGAACCCGGCACGCTCCATTTCCGAACAACCTTCCTCCCTCCGGGCACGGATTGGATCAGCAGATGGACGAAGTTCCACAAAGACTTTATGGACGAGCATCGTTGAGCATCAATTGGCCGGGGCTCGGCTTCAGCAGAATCAATGATTGATTCGGGTGTCAAGCCGGCCGAGGTAGTGTATGGTTCAACTTGTACGTTCTGTTGCGATGGGAGCGCTGTTATTCTTCAAGTATACGGCTACGTGTGATCTAACGGACCTGAAAAGTTTGGCTGAGCTGGCTTTAGCACAGGAGCTCACGGCAACTGCAATGTATTGACCTGTATCAGATTATTATGCATACCTACCAGGTAGTATCTGGTACTTACAATGGATGATCTTTCAACGGAGACACGGTTACAAGGCTAGTCTCACTATTCTCCGACGGCAATGCCTATATCACGTATACAAGTGCGACGTTGCTAGCACCACCCGCACACCACCTCTCTGTGTCGTTGTGTTCTTGGCGGAAGGTGCATGGCATCAACAGGCTGCTATCCTCCAGACGCACCAGGGCTCCTGCTTTTGTGAGTCTTAGAGTGGCAGTCACAGTTGACGCTGGCGGGTTCAACTGTACTTCTACCTCACTTTTGCTTCCTCTTCCTCTTCCTCTTTTTTTTCACGCGTGTCATCTCCATCCTCATACACGACAATCGACGCAATCCAGACCTGTGCTTCAGCACACTTATCCCCCGCTGGCGGGTTGTACTTCTACTTTACTTTTGTTTCCTCTTCCTCTTTTTTTCACGGGTGTCATCTTCATCCTCATGCACAACAATCAACGCTATCCAGACCTGTGCTTCAGCATACTTATCCCCCACAAAGGCGAGTACTCTGGTGACCGTACTATGAGATAGAGCTGCTAACATTCTATAGCATTACATAAGACGAGTCTTTATCGTCTATCCGTGAGTATCCCTTTATTCACCCCTTTATAACCTTGTCGACTAACAGATAGCAGACTCGTTTTCGAATTTTTGGAGTCCCCCTTTCTTTCTCTTTTTTTTTTTACTTCATTTTTTATCGGGTAAGTGGAACAGCGGCCGCCTCACTATCAACTAGTACTGATGATACGGGAGTAGGCCATGTCTGTCAATCAAACTATCGTATATGGTAGTTCAAGGTTAGTTATACTATATCCAGATGATAATAGTGATATTTACTAACAACGTGCTCCTAGTTCGTTGGGTTTTCTCCTCGTTGGAGAACCCGAGGGCGTTGCCCTCGTCGTCGTCCGGGTTGTGTTGTGGTCAATTCTATTAACCATTTGGCTTGCCGCGGTGGTGTTTTTGGTGGCGGTGGTGGTGGCGGGCCGCTTTCCGCCGCCAGAGGAGGAGGAGCGGGAGCAAACCCGCGATGTCGAGCTGGGGGTAGTGCGCCGTCGAGCGCCCAGGCCGGCCTCAACGGCCGCAAAGCCACCAAGGCCGAGGCCCGCGAGGCCGGCCAGGGCAGAGAGGCCGGGAAGGCTTCATGTCTTCCCCGGATACGGGGGCCGGGAAGGGGGGGGGCTCCTGGCTGCTGATATGAGCCCGATAGGCAGAAGGAGTTCCTTTCTAGAGGTCTGAAGGGCGCCGCCCTTATACTCCTACATGTTCTAGTGTGATGGTGTGGTTCCTGTTGGGCATAGCTACCTATTCTCTCTCTAGGCCATAAAATACAGGAAGAATACAAAATATACAGCCGCGTCTCTGAGGTGCTAACGTACCGGATAACAGTGTGCCGCCTTGCGCGGCGGGGAGGACGGGAACCGGCCCACGACGTAAAGTTGGGGTGGGTGAGTTTGAAAGGCCCAGGGAGTTCCTTTCTAGAACCGGGTGGCTCACTGATGTTGTTTTCCTCCGGGTGTTAAGGAGAAGAACTTGAATGGGAAGGCAAAATGCTGGGGTGGTGAGTACGGGCTCCCACGCCACCGGGACCATGACGGTCTCCATCATGAGCGATCTGAAAGGGGCTGCCCGTGAACGAGTTGCCTCTACTCCCTGGACGACCCTTTCGTGGACCTTTGGGCGCGCGAGCATATCGAGCTCACGCCATCAAGCAAGGGAAATACATTTTTCTATTCCTTAGTCAACGAAACCCGCGAGCACATCTACACCACCAACGCCAAATATCAGCCATTCTGTCTCGCAGGCCTCAGCGTCGCCTATCCTACTGGGTGAGGAAATCACACTGTCCAGAAGCAAAGCACGAGTCTGTGACGCCGAACACTACGAGTCCAAGACTCGAGTCATCGACGCCGACAACCAACCCGCCTGCACCTGGCTTGACCGCACCAGCTCGTTCAACCAACTATCTGGCCTCACCGTTGGATCTATCTCTCCCTCGTCTCCACAGATACGACCAAGCCACACAACATCACGTCGCTGAAGGACCTGTGCAAACCTCCTCTCCTCATAACCTCATGCAAAGCCAGAGCCAGAGCAGGCCATCCGCCCACGCCAATTCGTGGTGCAAGAGGTGGAAGCAGAACGTCTAAGGTGTCAAGAGCTTCGGTCACGTCCAGGTCTGGGGAAGACGAATGAATCAAAAGGTGTTGTAAATAGCCATCATGAATTGGCATGACGATGTTGCGGAGTTGGTAGGGGTATGGGTATTACACAGGCAGTGCATAGTATGGGAAATACTTTCAGAGCCCGGTTGACGGTATTGTTCTGCTACTGGCATATAAGACCTGATTGTATCACGCAGAGAGAGTCGTTGTTGTCTCGATTCTCTATGGCTAGGTAGTGCACTGGGCTTGAGTGTCCTCAATTGTGAGTCCAGTCAGTCCTATACTATATAGGAAACAGACACATCCTCAATACCTAGTATTTGTGATGCAACTCTTGTTCTCCATGCTCCTCACGAAAGCCCCTGAATCTTCCCCCCAGCAGATTGAAGTCCACCTTGTGGTCTTGACCAGATTGTCTATCTAGGCTCGGAGCAGAAAAGACCTGCATAGATGCTGCATGCCGATGAAGTAACATGTCTGGGTTAGGGAGGGTAGCGTGCAAGTTTGGCAAGTTGAACACGCCAGAAGTTGAGTCGCTTGGGTCAGACAAGTATATGTTGCCTAGAGGTAACCCTTTCAAGTACGGATCCGGTACTACCCTCTCTTGTCCTGCGCTCCTGTGCTAGCCTGCGCCCAGGCAGCCCGTGAGCTGGGTGGCAGCTTGACCTTGCCAGGGTGGACGCAAGCCGTACGCCGCAAATGTTCTTCCGAACTCCACATGTTCCAGCTCCATCAAGTTGTTGATTGGGGCACAGGGTCAGGTAACGAAGAATACTGTATGTAGTCTTCGGTATGGCCTACGGCTAGAGGGCCAAGATCATGAGGAGGAACGTGTCGAGGTGGTCGATTATGGCCAATTGGTTGTGAAACTGGGCGTTCTCTTTCGTGGTCTCTGCCGTTTGCAGCAGTTTGTTGCCATTGATGTTTTCCACGCGGGCCAGGAAAAGATATCTTGATGATCCAAGTGTGAAGCGCTCCCCTCTTTTTTATCAAAAGGGCCTAGGTAGAGAGCCTTAGCTACAGTAAATCCACCAGTGGTCCAGCTAGAAAGAAGGGCAAGGCTGCGAATGCCCAGTAGTAGGTGCCGAGGCACGGATACTAGATATTTGCTGAAAGGGGATTCATCCATTGCCGCTTTAATACAACGTCTGTTCACGTGATAAGGCCATGAATCGGCAAATGAAACGTTCAGTAGCCGTCGGGCCAATTGCCACCGACGCGAGCTCGTCACTTCACTAAAAAGCACCCTCATGAGAAAAGTAGGATCCGTAATTCGTCAATAATCGACTGTCTATCTGGTGACTACAGTTTACTCGTCACCTCTTCACCTCTTCACTCACTTTCAACTCTTCTCGTCGTGGAAGAAACTTCCCCAGATCATCTCACGAGCATACGGAGTACAGGCTCTTCCGGACCATATCCCGTTACCAGCACCAGCACCGTCCAGTATGAAGCTGCTCTACCCCACCTCCCTCAAGCTCGACACTCAGAGCCTCGAAGGGTTCAGTGTATCGCTGTACCCATACGACGTCAAAACCCCCATCCCGGCTGACCACCGCGACGCCGAGATCCTCATCACATGGACCAACTCGGCAGACAACCTGAAAGACGCCGCCAAACAGCTCACCAACCTCCGCTGGATTCAGTCTCTGGCCGCGGGGCCCAACGACGTACTGAACGCGGGCTTCGACACGTCGAAAATCACCGTCACCACCGGCTCCGGCCTCCACGACCGCACCGTGGCCGAACACGCTCTGGGCCTCCTGCTCAACGCTGCCCGTCGCTTCTTCGAGATGCGCGACTACCAGCTGCAGAGGAAATGGCCCGCTCACCTGGGGGGCCCGCAGCCCGACCGTCCCAAGGGCGCCTTCACGACGCTGCGTGACGCCAATGTTCTGATCTGGGGGTTCGGCAACATCGCAAAGACTCTCGTCCCCCACCTGATCGGACTGGGCGCCGTTGTTCGCGGCGTCGCTCGCCACGCCGGCGTGCGCAACGGAATCGAGGTCTACGCCGAAGACAAGCTTGCCGAACTGCTCCCATCCACCGACGCGCTCGTCATGATCCTGCCCGGCTCGGAATCCACACGCCATGCTCTGAACGCCGACCGTCTGAAACTGCTTCCGTCGCACGCTTGGATTGTGAATGTTGGTCGAGGCACCTCCGTCGACGAGCTCGCCTTGGTCGACGCCTTGGAGAAAGGCGAGGTTGGAGGTGCTGCCCTCGACGTCTTTGACAAGGAGCCGCTACCGGCTGAGTCGCCTTTGTGGACCGCGCCAAATGTGATTGTGAGCCCGCACGCCGCGGGAGGCCGGCCGCAAGACGCTGAGGTCTTGATTGCTGACAACCTGAGGAGGCTTTTGGCCGGCCAGACGCTGAAGAATGTCATTTAGAGACCAAGCCGCGAGAAAATCAAGTTCTTCAAACCTGTGCTGCTGGCCGCGGAAAGGAGTAGTACTAGTAAGCCATAAATACATAGGGTGCCCTTAGGGAATAAATATAGTAGTACTGGCAATAACTTACCTGTAGTTTAAATCTATATCCAAGAGACGTGTCTGAGAATCTTGAATTAGCTTTAATACCGCTTAGATATCTATGTTAGTACTAGACTAAGACAGTGTTGATACCATAGTATTAGGTTCTTAAATCGGTGAGAATCTTCAAGTGTCATCGTGTCAACACTATACCAACACCGTGGTAAAGCTGTCTTAATACAGTGCACGCTAAAGCCGCGTTAGAACTATAGGGACACTGCTCGGAGACGTTCTAAACACTGTCTCTAGTCTGTATAGATACCTAGTATAGCATTAAGTGAATATATAATGTACTATTGACTCGAGAGGGTTCAGGCTATAATATAGTACTATATATTACACCCACTTATATCTAGAATAGAAACCTCCCTATAAGAGTCCCACCTACTATATACTAGTAGTACTCTCTATCTATCAGGACCTAGCTATTTAAAAAACTACTACTAATTATATAAATCAAGTATATATACCTAACCTAACGTCTTACTAGGAACCAAGCCTCGGACAGACTATAAGCGATAAGACGAGTAAGTGCCTAAAGACTATTAGCGACATCGTCTTATTTAATCTAGTTTCGATCCGGTTTCGATCCGGTTTCGATCCAGTTTCAATCTAGTCTCGATCCGATCTTAATTCGGTCTTAATCCGGTTTTAATCCGGTTTTAATTTAGCTTTAATTTAGCTATTAAATTACTACTAGGTAATATTAATATAAGATTATAGTTATATAAACTTAAAAAAACGGTTATATGGTTATGTAGTACCTTATACTAGTATAGGTTTAATTTTAAATATTAATATTAAATTATTTTTTTAAGAAAAATAAGTATTAAAATAATTACTAATATAGGCTTTATAACAACGAAGCTACGTATAGTAACGAGTATTTATAGTTAAAAGAGAATAGGTAGGACTATAGTAATAGGATCTAAGTAGATAGAAGGATATCGATATAAAAGACTAGCGAAAAGAAGACGAAAGAGCTATAAAAGACTACTCTAAGCCCGAACGATAATCTATAGCTTCGAAAAGTTACGAAAAGCTTTAATAAGCTATAGAAAGTATTAGATACTTCGAAGATTATTAAAAAAGATAAAGAAGAGTATATAATAGTAGAAAAACGTGTTTTTTAAAAGATAATTAACGAGATTTTTTATATCTTTTAGAGATCTAACGCGATATTATATAATTAAGAGTAATTCTAAATAATAGATAAAATTCTATAGAATATAAAAAAGATTAAATAATAAATAATAAAAGAGTACTCTATCGTTTAAAAGATATAAAGTTAGATAGCGATATAAGAATATTACTAAAGTTAAGTATCTATAATAGAATTAATTTACTTTTAATATACTATTAAGAGAAAAGATAAAGAAATTGTAGTTATAATCTATAATAAAGATAATAAGAAAAGAGTCTAGAGTATCTAGATAAATATCATACTTATTATAATTCGTTATAAGAAATTAAAGAAGATAATAAAAGAGATTATAGTAGTTTAAAGACTTCTAAGCGAAAATCTTTCTATTATAATAATATAGATAGAAGTCCGTTTAGTACTTAAAAAAAGTTCTAACTAATTATAGATAATTATATTATTAATAAAAGTAAGAAGAATAGTATTTATAATCTTTACTTATTTAATTCGTAAGAAAGAAGTTAATCTTAACTAGCTTCTATAGCTAGTTTATTTATTTATTTGGTTCCCTTTATAGTCCTCGTAGCCAAACTCGGGCTAATGTGGACTCAACACCCTTCCCTAACCTCTAAGCCCTGATCGGGTCTCCATCCCTCTCTTCTTCCTCTCTTTCCTCCCTCTCTTCCTCCGTCTCCACCGCCAACACCTCACAGAGGCGGTACTGCATAAGTAGTTCCGTTCTCTGTATCATCCTGACTGCCGCTCGACAGCCTTGTTTCGTGTTCAGGAGCGCCTGTAACGTCGGCCTGACCCCAGTCTTGAGTCCGTCTCTTAGACACTCCTCTCTCAGCTCCGTCCATCTCTGGCATCTTAATAGGACATGTTGTACCGTTTCTAGTTCTCCGCACATCGGACAGAGTGGGCTGCCAATGTTCGGGACCTTCATTTTGTGGAGGAAGGCTCGAAAGCCTATCTTCCCCGTTCTTAGTTGCACCGTAATCGCCGATTGATGCTTCTTCATCCCCTTGTGGAGTTGTAGGGTCTTTTTTCCATTCAGCCGGGGTTGCAGGACCCGGCTGTGAGCCCCTTTCTCTCCATTTTCCCACCGGATCCTCCAGCGGCGCTGGCACTCGGTGGTAACTGCTGTTTTCGCTATTTCGAGTAGCTCCCGGTTGGCCTTCCGATTTGCTTCCTCGTTCAGCCCCTGTCGTCTCTCCAGAGGTTGGGGTGAGATCGCCGTTATCCAGGCTTTCAGGGTTTGAAGCGGTCCCCAATGAGTCGGCATTCGACCCCGAACTCCCCGTCCCCTCAGGATTGCTGCCACCCTCCTCTCGATTCCCTTACCAGCTTCCGAGAGCACACAGCGCGCCACAGCCACTAACGTGAGCTTGTCGAGGTGAATATCGAGTGGCTGAACCCCCGTCTCCGCCTCTAAGGCTTGGGTGGACGTAGCCTTATAGGCTCCGGCTACCACCCTTAGGCAGCGTCCTTGGATGGCCTGCAGTTTGCTCGCGGTAGTCTTTCCTCCACCGATGGCCCCTTCCGGTCTGTGCCAGGCCAGCGAGCCGTATGTCAGCGCTGGTCGGACCATCCCTAGGTATACTTGACGACTCGCCTGGAGAGATGCCCCCCAGGTAAATTTCTAGAGTATATTATCTTAATTAAGAGTATATAATCTAATTTAGATAAGGTGTGATCTATATAGAAATAGCTAGAACTAAGGGATATTAAGAAAGTATAAGTACATCGAAATATTACTTTTAGCCTAGTTCTTATAAAAGCTAAACTAGTATTATTCTCGTCTATCTAGCTAGATTACCTTAGTAAAGTAATTCTGGTCTACGCGACGCTCTAGTAAATCGCGATTAATCTCGCCGGCCTAGTGTACTCCTTTAATACCGTCGCCGACGCTAAAATAGATAACGAGACGGAATCCGTTACCCTAATCTACAATACGTCCGACGTCGAGAACGGTAGTTTCGCCCTAATCTACTTCTTCGTAATAAACGTCGGCCGCGAGTAGTCGAAGCTACTCGCGACGTAACGTCGTTACGAGGTTCTAGCCTAAGTCGCGTAAATCTATACCGGCGTCGATAAAAACCTAATCTACGCGCCGGTCGAGATCTTCGAGTAGAAGTAGAGTAAGGAAGAATAGAGTAAAGGCTACCCCTATCTCGTTACCGTACCGGACGTTATAAGTAGCGTCGGCTACGCTATCCGAGAGCCCTTTAGTAACGTCTACTTTATAGGAACCGAGACGAGTATAGTCTAGAAAGAGTATATAGAAGCGGCCGTGAGGAGCGGAGAGCACGGGGCTACCGAGGTGATAGAGGCATTGCAGAGCAAGGAGAACAGACCCGCAGAGGTCAAGTTATAGATATGATAGCTACATGTAGTACTTCTGTCTGTATGTATAGACGTATAAAAGTAATCTACTTGTCGGTGTATTCAGAATCTTGTTGGAGTATTCTTTTGAGAGTATATACTACTAGAAAGTACTACATGTATAGAATGTCCTCATCATAGGCCAACCCGGTAGTACCACTACTGGACACGTCAAAGCAGCCGAACCCACTGGTGGCACTGTCCTCGAGATATTCCAGCTGGTCCAGAATTTGGGGGTGGTGGCATTGCACGACAGTCGGACTGCCGGCAAAAAACATTTTGGTACTTGGATATGGTTGCTGCTGCATCCCTGCGGCGGCTGCTGCCAGTCCTCCAGTAGATTCGGCGGTGGTGATGGGAACAAGATCAAACATGCCGGGTGACAACCCGCCGGTCGAGCCAGTAGTAGTGGTGGTAGTGGGAGTGGAAGTACCAGTGCAACTACCACCTCCTGCTCCCACCAGTGGTTTTTGGTCCATCATTTCTTGTAGCCGGATCCTGGCCTCACTGGCAATGGCCCATGCGTGGGAAAGGTCTCCAAGAATGGCATCCAACATGGGCAGCAAGCTGTCTTGGATTCCTCCTCCTCTGCTGCTGCTGTCTTGTTGGTGTTGTTGTTGTTGTTGTTGTTGTTGTTGTTGTTGTTGTTCCACAAACGCTGATACCGGTAACATGGCAATCGTGGCATCGACCGAGGTGATGGCGCCGTGGACAAAGACGAGGGGGGCGTTTTTCAAGGTGTGTTGTGCGCCAAACCGGCGGATGATGCCGACAATCATCTCGACCGAGGCGTCGCAGATGTTGAACGCGGCCGAGTGTGAACTTGAAGCTGGCCCCGTCCGTCTCTGACGCACTCTTGTGGTGGTGGTGAGAAGAGGACGATTCAGAGTGATGCGGACTGTGTGGTAAAGCACGCTGGACCCAAAGTCATGTTAGGACTTTTCTCTGGTGTGAAAGGGATACAGGAAATGGTAGGAAAACGTACTGTAAGGCAGCCAGACTAGGGTCGACCTCGACGAGGTTCGAGCCCCATCGGTTCCACCGCATGTCTCCGGGCAAGGAATCGTGCCAGCTGCAGAGTCGAGCATTGAGCTTGTTGTAGACGGCCTCGGCCCAATACTCGGACCTACCGACCGATTTGGCTCTGGACGAGTGGAGCTGGACCTGGATTTCTTCCATGATCCTCCCCAACTGGCCTTGTTTGGTGATCAAGACGGTCGAAACATGTGCTGGACATGGCTGCTGTGCGTGGTTGTCTCCTGGATTACCGCCGCCGCCGGCGCCGCCGCTGATGCTGCCAGTTTGACGCTGGAGCCATGCCATCCAGATCCGCTGGGCCGCCGAGTCGGCCGGGTTTGGCATTGTCGGTGAATCAGAGACGATCATACCGGTATCCAGGTCGGAGTCGGCCTCATCCATGGCGGTCGGTCTCCCGAAAAAGAGACTCAAGATCCTAGGGCGCTCGAGTTAGTGCGGTCTATCGCAGGTCATTACGTGGAATAAGTGGGAACTTATCGGATATAGCAAAGGTCAAAGACATGCGTCGCCGTGACTCCAAGTCAACGAGCGGCGCACCTGAGGGGTATCGGTGGTGATGATAGTAACTGTTGTGACACGAAGCAGTAGCCGCCGCCGACCGGGGCCCTTCGTGGAGGCCCAAGTCTTGTGCCATCCGGAATGCCATTCCTGCGAAGAGTGAGTTTCGTTGGTGCCAGTAAACAAACCCCTTGGTGAGTAACACGGACCTGAATACATCCAGGACTTGGATGCGCTGCCCCGCCCTGCTTCGAAGATTGCACAGAGCAGCATTGCTTGCGACGTGGTCACGCTGGGGATCCAGGGTGGCCTTGTAGATATGGCTTCTTCCGCACACGTCGAGAAGAGGTCGGCGAGGCCCCTTATGTTTGGGTCATGAGACATCAATGCCCCGAGAGAGCACACGGCATACAAGAGGGCCGGTGGACAGTGTTCACCGGAACCTGAACTGTTCGAGAAGTCGAGCAGGAAAGCATCCCGGTCGATGAGCGTGGAATAAGGCTGCTGCCACCGGAAGAACAGCGTGATGCACTCGTGGATGATGATCCCCGACAGGCTGGAGATGGATCTGGTGGCGATGGTGGTGGTGGGCATCCTAGAGCACGGCCGAGCTGCTGACGAACGATTCATCGCAGACTTGGAAGTCCCAAGGAGACCCGTACTGTATATACTACCGGGACCGAAGAATATCGTAGAACCTGATGAAAGGACGAGAGTGTGAGCTCAAACGGCCGAACAGTATGCTGGGATATCAACGACATACCCTCTCCACCATCGTAGCTCCAGGAGGAACCCATGAGGTCACCGCCATCGCCGTCATTCCCATCTGCCAGGACGTCTTGATCCGAAGCATCATGTGCCGGTGCTTGCATTACGGAGTGGTGGTTGCCGCCTCCAGAGGGCATATGGTCGACGAGATCAACACCGTCAATGATGGATTCACGCTCAGGGCCCGACGACGCCTTGATGCGGGAGAGCAGGGACTCCAAGGCAGCTATGCGGCCCTCGAGCGCAGAGACATACTCGTGCGAGATGGGAGCTCGTTTCCAGTCTTCGGCACGGAACTCGCATTTGACGCCAGCGACGGAGCAGCTACGGCAAGGCGTCGTTCGAGTGCATTTGATCTGACCCGGAAGAGATAAAATGAGTCTTTTCCGCAGAAGAGGAGGCCACAAGTGAGAAGAGTATAACGTACCTTACGGGTTTGGCATCGTTTGCAACTGCAGTAATTTGTTAACCTGTGTGGTTCTCAGTCCATCGTTCTCTCGCGCAAACTCACGAGATTCTTTTCTCCCCGGGTAGCCGATGCATCATTGTTTGAGGTACGAGATCAATTTACAAATGGTCGGTAGTAGAGATAGATTGGTGAGAGGGATTGTGGATGAGGGATGGGGAATGAGGATGGGGATGATGGGTGACGGTCGAAGGTGAAAAGCCCCTCGCAGACAATCACGCAATCAGGTGCGAGCAGGGCAATCATCGCCCCTGGAACGGAGTCCAACTCCGAAAGCGACGGGTGACTCGTGGAGAGGTTGATTGGGCCGATCTCGAAGTGGTGGTGGATCTGATATCGGTGCACTAGTAATAGTAGTAATTAGGGGCATTCTTACAGGCTACCTGACTATCGGAAGAGGGTTTATCTAGAAGGCGATACTATATAGACATGGTTCAGAGTGAAGTGACTTCCTCCCCTCGTTCTAAATGATAACCCCGTGTTCCGTATTGGCTAGTCATCTTCCGTGCGCCAGTATAGTACAGGTCTACCTCTCAACGAACTTCTAGACACACCGCCGCAGCCATGAAAGGGCAACGATGCTGAGTACGCATTCTAGCAGCGCAAGATGGAGTGTCGCGGTGCTCCATATTCCCAGACTCGTCAGCACCCCTTTCTAGTGACAATAGCAAAACTAGCGAGCGAAGCGGATATTGAGTTTCTTCGTGCCCGTATCCGTGGTGGTGGTCAGGTAGTTGTCCCTCTCAGATTGACTTAACGCCCGCCACTTTTTCTCCTTCTGCTGGTTCCGCTTGATGTAGTACAACTTAGCCAGGACGAACAGGACAATGTTGGCCGAAGTCAATCCGACCAGGATCCTGTTGCCTCGATAGTCTATGGCGTCCAGGTGATTAGTATGTACGTACGTACTCTCCTCAAACAACAAAGAGGTAGTAATCAGGGAAACGTACAGTAGGGCTTATCACTGTTTCGATAGATGTTGACGGCGACGATGGATCCAATCTGATAGCAGATATTGTACACCGCCGCAGCGACGGCGCGAGTAGCCACACTGTTGGCGTTGCGGGAAATCATCCCCACCAGAATGGCATGAGCTGGACCAAGGTACCGACACATTAGAAAAATCCGGTGATGGTGTGGCTGGTCCCCGACAGACTTACAGTAAGGCTCTCCGTTGACTCCCGTCAACAGCGCGTACCGAACCCAGGGTCTGGCCGTATGGGGGATTGCAACCAGTCCAATCAGGAAAGGCAGAACCCAGACGTTGCTCAACGACGCGAAGATCAAGAGTTCCCTGTATTTCTCGCTGGCCCATACCACGGCGAGAATCTGGGTTTTTCGTCCCTGTCAGCTCTGGCAGAACCCCAAGCCGAGGCAGGGGGCAGAACCTACATTGACAAAGAACAGGAAATAGCCCGGAATGGCGAGCATGTTTGCCTCAAAGACGGTGTAGCCCATGTTTCGCAGGGTGAGCGACATGTAGTTGGCGGCAGGCTGGAACGGGATAAAGGCCAGGATACCGAGCTGTAAAACACAGAAAAATCAGTCTCGGACACAGCACCCTTCGACAAGTTATCGGTGCCACGAGGACTTACAATGTACGTGGGCCAGAGATCCACGTCCGTGAGCGCGGTCAAGATGCCTTTGAGGTCGACGTGCTGTCGGTTGTTCATGTCTCCCTTGGACGGGTCATCTCGCAGGATTCGGTTGACCAGGATCTTTTCTTCTCGCTCCGTAAACCATCCGGTCTTACCATGGAGCCAGCTCGCCTTGCCACCCAGGATCTTGTGGGTCTCAGTGAGACTGGGTGGCATCATGAAAAAGGTCACCAGGCCAACGACGACGCTCATCAATCCCTCAATCAAAAATCTAGGGGCACAGTCAACTCGCTGTATCCACTCTCTCAAAAGGGGAATTCTCACAGCCACTGCCATCCTGCCCAACCTCGTATCCCACGCATTTTGAGAAACCCTGCCGCAAGAAGTGATCCAGTGATCTGCGTCACCGGGATTGCTGTCCAGAAGACCGACAGTCTCATGGGTAGCTCCGTACTCTTGTAGCAATAGGACAGGTAAAGGACAAGATCCGGGATGAACCCTCCTTGAGAGAAGCCGATGAGAGCACGGAAAACAAAATAGGTGGCACGGTCCTTGATCAGAGACTGTAGGCAACAAAGGGTCCCCCAAAGAGTGATGGAGATGGGGGTCATAACGTCTGGCCCAATCTTCTTACTCAAGAGACCTCCAGGAAGTTCAGCGGCCAGGAACGAGACGAGATAGATGGTTTGACCCGTGTTGTAATCGTTGGTGCTCATGTGCAGATCATCAAGCTGGACATGGTCATCAAATTTGCTCCAAGGGAAGAGCATGGGTAGTTACCAGGTTGTCCGAGACCGCGCGGTTGATGTTCCGGCGGATCAGGTCGAGAGAGCAGAACATGATCCAGACCCAGACCATGATCCGGAGATCAAGCTTTCTCACGAGTCTCTTCTCTTCAGTGGAACTCCATTGACACGATGGGTCGTAGCGATGGCGCCCTTCATAACGGGCAGACTCATAGACGCTGCGCCAGTGCTCTGCATCAGCCGGCGAGGAGAAGGGATGTTGCTCAGTCGATCCGAGGTAGCAATCTTCTCTGATGCTGCCTCCCTCCGGGCTGTCGTCCGCTTCCACGGGGAGGGCGGTGCTTGTGCCGACGGGAGGAGGTCGCTTCTCTCCAGAAGTCGCAGTCTTCTCATTCCACCCATGACTGACACTGTGACTGTTTTCCTGCGCCATCATTGTGGTTCCAGAAGAATGGTACCGAATGTGTACAACCGGACCTGAGGCAAAGAAAGGAGGTGGTGCTGGCTATGTCATCACAAGCTCCTAAGTCTGGTTCATTTCGAACAGGCGAGGGAGGATGGGATCCTTCCTTTTATGCACCTTTTGTATAGACATGCTACTGGTACATCTCGACAGTAGCAACCCGAGCGTTATCAGCGGCAACGAGCACGTCGAGAAGGGTGTCTGGCACGCAATTCGCAGCAAGCGGGTCCTGGATGTTCCATGGCCTGGTGGTTGTTCATGGATTTTGGCATCATGACATCTGAAGGATTCGAAGTTGCGCCTGAGACCTTGAGAGCGTTTCGGAGTTGGCCCCCGTTCGCACCCTGGCCGGCATTATCAATGGACTTGGACTCCAGATGGCGGTACAATCCGCGGCTAAAGGATCCACCACCGGGTGACTATGAAAGTCTATCCCACAGGCTCGAGCCTGAGCTTAGTGCGTCACAGACATCTGTAACCACGAAGTGCAGAGTAACCGTAGAGATCGAATATGATGGGCAACATGAGGTTTGTACACGTTTCGATTTCACCCAGATAGATTTTCGGAGAGACATGGGACATTTTTGGTAGATACGGTGGCAACGTGCTACATAATGCTACGCTGAAGGAACAAACCGGGTCCTCAGCTTCGATCGAGGCTTTTCCCGCGCGCAAAGAAAGACGTGACCAAAGCCAGCGCTGCAACTGCGGTGTTGGCAATGAATCCACACTGCAAGGCGTCGTAATATACGTGACGTGCTGCCGACTGAACTTCGGGTGGAAGCGTCTTCAAGCTCGTAATGGAATGACGGATCTCATCGATGATCTATAGAACTCCCAAGTCAGCATCCTGAACCCATGCACGCAGGCCCCAGGACTGTATCACCTTTTCCTTCTCGGGTATGTCTGCCAGTGCTGACGGCAGCTGCTGCGCAAGAATGTTTTGCAGTAAAGTAGAAGAGGCAGCCACACCCCAGACAGTCCCCATCGAGCGGAACAGATAGACCATGGACGTGGAGACAGCCTGGTCTTGGGGGGAAGTCAGCCTGAGCCCCACCATGCGAAGAAAGGGGAAGAGGTACTTACGACTGTGATCGAACGCGGCCAAAAATGTAAAGAGAATGGCAGGGTACGACATGCCCTGGCCGAAGTTCGCCGGCATCAGATAGACAAGATACTTCCACGACTCGTCGTGGTATTTGAGCGAGGCCACCAAGCCATTGCCCACCATCATCATCAGACAGCCCACCCGGACGAGCTCGCTGAGACGGCCCCATCGAGACATGATGATGCCCGAAGCCAGCCCGCCGACTGGAGTGGCCAGCGAGGGTATCACGAGACGGATGCCCGCTTCCGAGGGGCTGTCTCGAAGAACAACCTGGAAGAACAAAGGCAGCATGAACAAAAACTCGCCTTGCAGTCAGCAAAGCCCCCCGTTGAGGTTGGATTCAGGGCTGCAAGAACTCACCGAATATGCCGCCATGCCCACACACACGTTGCTGATTTGATTGGAAATGGCCAGCGTGCCTTTCAACATGGACATGGGCATCACTGGAATTGCTGTGGTTCGCAGTTCCACGAACACGAATACGACCAGGAGAAGCACGCTCACAATCATGGCGAGGATGACCCGGAAGTCGGTCCAGGGGTAGTTGTTCCCACCCATACTCATGGCAGCCAACTGTGCAGACAGGCCGAGAACCAAAAGCATGGCGCCGGCCAGGTCAATCTCCTTCCACTTGGACGCCGGTCTCTCCGAGGTCGGGTTTTCTTCGTCGACCGTGGTCTTGGTCTCAGGCTTCGTGATGACGAAGAAGCCGACCGCGAAAGCAAAGATGGAGACCGGCACTTGACACAAGAAGCACCAACGCCAACCAATATGATCGGCGATGAGCCCGCCGAGGGACGCGCCACAGATGGATCCAAACCCATGGAGCACGTTCTGACACGCTTGGTACATCCCACGCTCCTTCAAGGGTATCATGTCCGAGTTGATGATCGTGGCCATGGTCATCAGTCCACCTCCTCCCAGCCCGGTGAGAGCCCTCATCAGATTCAAGGTGATCATGTCGGGGGCCAGAGCACACCCGAGACACCCCAACAGGAACGTGATGGTGGCAGTGAAGAAACAGGTTCGACGACCGAGAATATCGGAGAAACGGCCGTAGAGAGGTTGAAACGCGGTGCTCGTGATCAGGTAAGACGTGGTCAGCCAGGAGATGGTGTTCGCCGCCTTGAACTCCGACCCGATGACTGCGTAGGTCGAGGCCGTGATGGTTCCGTCAAACCCGGAGAGGAAAACGTTGGAAAAGATGGCTACGGCAGTCAGTATAATTGTTCGCCTTGCCGCCGTTCACGTGTGATGTATGCAGCTTACCAATTTCGATCCAGACGAAGCCAGCCCCCCGCGTCCATTTCTCTTCCACTTGCTTCGCTCCACCTGGGTAGGCGGCGAGAAGTGGTGTTCTGTCGTCGATCTTTCCGACATCCTCACTTGAGCAGACCTGGCTATTCCCTTCGTGGGGAGATATCGGGGGGGATGAATCCATCTTGCGCTGATGCTCTTGAGTCTGCAGGATCAGGAATCCTAATGGGCGTGTACGTAGTTTGTAGGGATGCACTCAACCCAAATTAAAAGAAAAGAAAAATTATGAAACCAATCGACTACCCGGTGAGTAGAGGGCCACCAGCCAATGTCCTACACAGCGTTGATCTACCGCGATCGATTTCCATCAATAGGACAAACAAAAGATCCATGCCCGAGTCCATGGGCGTGGTCGCTCCTCGCGCTGGCTTCGGGGTTCATGTCCGTGGTGGCGGTGAAAATCCGGCCGCTGAGTTTGGACTGTGGAACTGGGAAGCGGAGTTGCTGTCCGTGTGCGATAGAGCGTCGGGGACGATGTGCGCAATGGGATCGACGCTGCACGCTATACAAGGCGATAATGGTCCAATCCCCACATCATTCCGCCATTGTAAAGTCGGATTCTGACATGGGAGTTGTTATGCTATATCCTGCTGTGACCGACTGGGCCCCTTATAAGACGACCGGCGCTTCCCTCGTGCTTAACTTGATTTCCACCAACAGTCTGTCTCTTCCGAGCACTACATCAACATCGACCGATCTGTATCGAAGTCTCCCAGTATGGCACCGGCGAGAGAGAAGAGAGGTCTATGGGCGGCTTCGTTCATAGCCTTCACCCTGGGGCTTGCATGGATTCCGAGCGTCGCGGCCGACTGGCAATACAAATCTAGGCCCGACCTAGCACCTCCAAGACTGAACATCACAATCCCGGCCAGCAAGGAGGTCGAGAAGGGCTATTTGTTCATGGCTCCCTTCTCTGGATATCCCGAGGGGACCCATCACGGGCCTGCCCAGGCGGCACCGTACATCTTTACCGACACGGGTGATCTGGTCTGGTCGGGGTTCACCTACTTCTCCATCTGGGCGACCAACTTCCAGATGGCACGATACAAGGGGAAAGACATTCTCTTCTGCTTCGAAGGAAGCCACAATGCCGCCTACGGTCACGGCCACGGCCACACGACGTTTCTCGACCAAAACTATGAGACCATCAAAGAACTCCGAGCCGGGAACCATCGCTTAACGGACAAACACGAGTTCCACATCATCAACGAGGAGACGGCCTTGATTCAAATCTACCACCCGGTGCCTTACAATCTGACCGCCTACGGGGGTAGCGACGAGCAGCAGTGGATCGTCGACGCCCGGTTTCAAGGTTGGTGCTGCCGAGCTGTACACATGTCTGTGCGAAAACGAATGCTTACTTGTCTTCTTTACCAGAACTTGATATCGAGACTGGAGCGGTTTTGTTCGAGTGGAGCAGTCTCGAACATGTTGACCCATCAGGTACGTCTGTGTTTACTACTACTGCTACTCCTGCCTCATGCCACCACCACCATCATCGCTCTCGCTCACACAATGCTGATTGTGTGTCACAATAACAACAACAACAGAGGGCTATCTTCCACTCAACCCGGGGCAAGCAGGCGCCGGGTACAACAGCTCGGACGCATGGGACTACTTCCACATCAACTCGGTGGACAAGGATGACCAGGGGAACTACCTGATCTCGGCCCGAGACGCCAACGCGGTGTACAAGGTCGACGGGCGGACGGGCGAGATCATGTGGCAACTGTCGGGCAAGTCGTCCAGCTTCAAGATGGGCGACGAGGTCGAGTTCGCCTTCCAGCACCACGCTCGGTTCCAAGCCCGGTCGGAGAACGGCACCAAAGAGATCATCAGCCTGTACGACAACTCGGCCCACGGCACTGAGAGCGGGCACGGGCACGAGGTGCACTTCTACAACATCTCGCGCGGCAAGATCATCGAGGTCGACACTGAGACCTGGGAGGCGACCATCGTCCAGGCCTTCCACCCGCCCGACGACCTGCTCTCCAAGTCGCAGGGGTCGACCCAGCTGCTGCCCAACGGCAACGTCCTGGTCAACTGGGGCTCCGAGGGCGCCATGACCGAGTTCAAGTCCGACGGCACCCCGATCTTCCACACCTACATGGACTCGGACTACCTGGGATCGGGGGTCCAGAACTACCGGGGCTTCCGCTACAACTGGACGGGCATCCCCCACGAGGCGCCCGCCATCGTCGCCCTCGAGGACGAGGATGCCGCCGCCACCAACGTCTATGTGTCGTGGAACGGCGACACCCGGACCAAGGCCTGGCGCTTCTACGAGGTTCTGGGCGGGCGCCGGTCCTTCATCGGCCAGGTCGACCGGGAGAGCTTCGAGACCGTCCTCACCATCGCCCGCGTGGGTGTCAAAAGCGTCCAGGCCGAGGCGTTGGATGCCGAGGGCTCGGTTCTGGTCGACACGTCGGCCGTCAAGCCCGAGATCATGATCCACGAGTTCAAGGGAGAGAGCAAGGTGAACAAAGGCCGGACTGGCCTGGTCCCATGGCTCACCATCAAGGGGCAGAAGTTCTTCAAGGCTGGAGATTTGTAAGAGCTGTAGTAACCATTCAGCCATGACTTGAGTCATATATGGTGTCATCATACTACGATAATACAGATACAGTAGTACCTCTACATAGAGACCAATGTATACAGTCACAGGGGAAAACAAAAGATGGTCTCGGTCTGTTCGTATTCGGACCAGATGGTTCGTCTTATCTCAAACCTTCCAATTGCACCCTTCGATGTTTACTACCAAATCCAAGACTTGATTAAAAAGAGATGCGGCTTCGAGCAGGACTACGTAGGTCCAACCTAACTGTCACGAATCGTTCCGCAAGGTCACGAGTTCGATCAGGTTCACTAATAAGCAGAAGTATAGAAGGAGTATAACGGTGTAAGGTACGTCAGAACGAAAGCTATCAATGATAATATATCACCTAGCTTGTGAACGAAGTTAACTACGAGAAGGACTATAGAACTATAGGAGATAGGCGACTATATAGATATATGAAACTCGTAGTGCTCTGTTACTCTAAGTGCTCTATACAGAGCACCAGATTAACTAGAGCAGTCACGTAATCGTGATCTCTTCCTCCGGAGTCCCCTATAGTCCCGTATTCTCGGCCGACTTTCCCTATTATGGCTAACAATATCTCGTCCTGCCTCCAGGCCGTATAAGCGTTCTTCTGCTGACCGTTGTCTTGCCCTTGCCACCGCTATCGAGCTTTCCACCGATCCTGCGATAGTCTCCTGTTCGAACTGCGCCCGTTCGGGCGACACCTATTATTTTTCTAAAGAACGGTCCAAGAAGTGTTCCTACTACCTCCGTAAGAATATCGATTACGATGGTTCTTTCTCTCTCGAGGAGTTTCGCCGAGTAGCCGACGAGAAAAAGGCCTTTAAGGAGAAATCCCGCCGGAAGCGTAAGGAGATTGCTCGTCTCCGCCGGGTCCTGGCAGACGCCGAAGCCGAGAATTCGGCAATTTAGGATTCTATTGCTTAGTTAGAAGAGATTTCCTCCAGAATACTTCGTCGTGAGATATAGGCCCTTAGCGCACTAGAGGAGCAACCCGTAGAGGGGGAAGGCGCCTTTACCGATCCTGACTTCCCTTAGGCTGAAGTCCCCTTCCACGAGTCCGTGGACTGGGATGCGATTCTAAGTAGTAGCGAGCCATAAGCTACCGGGTAAGGTTTTCTACTAGTTCCCACGTATTCTCTAATTCGCTCTGTCCTAACTATCAGTGATACAGCTCTTTATTAATCTCTTCGTAATTCAAGATTCTTTCTACTAAGTATCTAGACTCTTAAATTTCTTTATTAACTTTAACTAACGCTAGTTTAGTTTTAATTTTTAATAATTCTAGAAGAGATATATAGAATACTACGTATATTCTTATATTTTTAAGTAGTTCTAATTTAAATATAACTAGTCCTAGTTTTCTTTTAATTTAATATAGTCTAATCGGATATAGTCTAACTTATTACTTAGTCTTTTTATCTTAATATTTCTTCTATTTGAAATATCCGTAAGAGTAACGTGCATGATAAGCGAGTGAAACAGACAAGCGAGTGAAACAGACAAGCGAGTGAAACACCTCAACCCGACCACC